AGAAAAATCGATGCCCTTACGGGTTAACCAGGCCTGTAAATGGGTATTAATTTCAGTGCCACCATCGAAATGGAATTTTCTTGGGTATTTTCCCCACTTGTTTTTTAGACCACGAAATAGGCCTTTAATTGCGTTGAAAACAGTAGGACCCTCTTTGTTTGGCATTAAAATTACCCACCGGAACCGCGATTTTCGATCTATTAGAAATAGGGCTACAGGAAGCCGATTGTGTGGAATTGGCTTGATTTTTACTGTATCCCCCTCTATTATATCTAAAACGGCCGGGGGATCTGGAATTGACTTCCAGTCTACCCTCCTAGTTACTTTAGCCTTAGAACAGGCTATACATCGAAAATCAACCTCCCTTATAGGGTCTAAATCAGGGATACCACTAGTATTTTTAGTGGTTTTCTTTAGTAGGCGTAGGCCAAGGTGCCCTAGCCGAACATGCCACTGTTTAGCCACTATAAGTAGATCTTTATAGGCCTGAGAACCAGGCACTATAGTAGTAGTTCCACTACTTCCATCCTGGGGCCCCCTCTGCACACGGGGCAAGTCCTCCTCTAGAAGGCCCCAAGATTCGTTATCCCAGGGCTCTATTTGCACACGGGGCCATTCCTCCACTATAGAGCCCTGGGGTAGATCCTATAACCCTATATTCCCAGGGGCACCCAGGCCTATAGATCCTTCGTCAGAATCACGGGGCCTATTCCTCCGGGGTATGCCCTGAGATTCAGGGCTCGATGGCCCTGAAGAGCCGATAGTACCCCTACTATCTAGCTCTACACTACTAGGTTCGTTGTCATCGTACCTAGTATAACTATCCTTCCAAGATTGGGTTTTAGAAGGTAGTTCAACCACTAAATCTTTAGTAGTTTGGGCTAGGCTATACCCTGTACCAACTATATTAATATAGCTAGTAAGGTAGAGCCTTGGCCGAAGGTGACCCTCAATTTGAAGGAAGAAGCCCGATCTCTGGAAGTCCAGAGCTGCAATGGTAGACCCTGTAGGGCCTTTCAACGTTTCCCGGTCCAAATAGCCTCCGGCCTTATAGTGCCGGATCCCACTAAATAGATTGATATCTATAGAGGGTATATAGAGGGCCTTATTAAGGACCAACTCTAAGTATTTCGGGGGACTCTTCTGGACCAGTACTTTGAACTTTGCAGTTCCAATACCTTTGGGTTTTACAGGGCCACCACCTGTATAAATAGGTGGTATTTGACCAGTATTTTTAGTAAAACTGGTAAACCATTTCCTATTGTTTATGATATGGTCTGTGGAACCAGTATCATAGAGTAGAGCATCAGAGGTAACCTGGTGGCTACAGTGATCTTTACAGGCTGGCTTCGAAGATTTCCCACTAGTTGGTTTAGTGGTAGATTTTGAGGCCTGGTGGGTAGCATTGAAGAAAGAAGGTAGTTCTTCAGTATCTGAATCGGATTCAGAACTACTATCTTCGCTACTATCACTATAGTGCCCTGTAGTGATATTGTATGCCCCTGTAATACAGGCAAAGGAATCGGGCTGGGTACTGTGGTTCGAACTGGAATTTGAACCCTGACCCTTCTTCTTCTTCTTCTTTTGGCCGTTTTGACCACTATTCCCACTACTGCCGTTGGTATTTTGTTGGCTTTGGGGACCCTTTTTCCCCTGTTTTTTAGGGCCTTTATAGGGGCCTTTAGCACCCTTATTTTCGCCGTAGGCCCTATTAGCCATACCTTTATTGGTAGTAGAGGCTGGAATTCTATGCTCTTCCAGAAGGTCGGCTATTAAGAAGCTCAAATTCAGGTTTTCAACACCTTGGCCAACTGTCCTCAGGGCCCGCATTTGACTACGTTGCCGTTCAGCCCACTGTGGGAAGGCTTTTTCCATAGCCTTTAAGTAGTGGTTCACTTGGTCTATAGGCTGTATTTCAACCCCGTTTAGGGTTAGCCGGCTAGCCAAGTTGGAAAATTCAGCGTTGAAATCCGCTAAAGATCCACTAAATTTACTGAAATCCAACTCGTGGAACTTCCTATATAGTTGGTCCCGTTGAATTCCAGTGGAGTGCGAATACCGTAGTATTAGAAGCCTATAGGCCGCTACAGGGTCTGTTTGCCAGGCTATGGCGGCCTGTGGTCCAGGGCCTATACTGTTCCGTAACAGCATTAGAAGTAGAGCCAACGTTTGGTCGCTACCCCCTATAAATCCCTCTGGGTTAGAAGGAAAGGTAGGTATGCCGATAGCCCTAAACATGATATTTAGGCCCTGTTTCCAGATATCGAAGTTATCTGGCCCTGTAAGGCGTAGATTTTCAGGGAAATCGTACACCTTTCTTGACAGTTCTTTTACCAACCCACTGTTCAAATTGTCTTGCGGTATAGTGGGTTGTAGGGCAGGGCTTGGAGGCACTGTATTTGGTAGTGGTACCGTATAAGGTGGTACTACTAGTGGCTCCGGAGGGCCCTGGCTAGTATTACGGGCCTGTTGGGCCTGTAAAGCGGCCTTTACTCTATTTTCTACTTCAGAAGCAATAGCTTCTGTAAGCTGCTGTTCGGTAGGCATCTGGGGCCGTTGTTGTTGTTGAACAGTAAACTGTTGTAAACTATCCGTCAACGTAGCTATAGTGGCATGCAGTTGTGCCATTTGGGTAGCCTGGGCCTCTAATCGGGTTTGCAACTCCTCTATTTGGGCTTGGGGGCTCCCAGCGCCCCCAGGCTGTGCCATGGTGCCTCTGTACAGGCCCGTAGGCTACAGCGGCTATACCAGTTGCCGTAGGCTGGTAAGCACTATCCTATTACTACCTTCGCTGTAGTTATAGGGCCTATGCCACTATATAGGTCTAGGACTTCAACGGTATAAAATACCGGGTTATATTCTATACTGTAACCACAGTAAGTTTTTACACGCTACTAGCCTTGATATAGCGTAACCACTATTCGCTCTTATAGTGGTAGTCTAGTTACCTAGACCAACAACCTTACAGTGGGTTGTTAGGGCCTTAAGTTCTACTCAGTGCGGCTCTTAGAGGTCCTTGTTTTACGTAGTTTAACTACAACTACTGGCTACAGCAGTAGTTAGTACCTTGAGGTACTACGTTTTACCTACCTACTAGAATCGGTAGAACCAATACAGTTGATCAGGCTGTTGGGAAGGCCTATAAATATAGTACCTTCAGTGGGTATAATAACCCCTAGCTTTCGAAGTTAAGCTAGATTTTTCTATCTCTTTGAGAAAACCAACGTTTCGGGCTTTGTTGGAAAAGTTAAAATATAGGCCCCCAGAAGCTCTATATTAACTGTCAGCTATCTAGTATAGTTGACGACCTTGCACTAAGAGGTCTATCTATAGGTCGAAGATCCTATAGTGGTTTCTAGCTTGGAGAAACGAAGAATTCAGGGATTCCAAGCTACAAGCAGTAGAAACAGGCTAAGCTTATAGCGTTCAAAGGCTCTAATTTGCAGGGCAATTTATAAGCCTACAGCTGGAAATAGTACTTTTCCGGGCTCATAACCTAATTAGATTTAGGTGGGTGAGGCCCTGTAGTGCACACACTAACAGGGCTTACAATGCATTTTGGGGAAGCAATGCACAGTACTATTGCTTAGCTACCAGCAGTAATTACAGGGCCTAGGCCCTATAACAGTGGTTAATTTAGTAGGTAGACCACTATTGTTTTGGGAATGCCTCTATATTTGCTATCTTAACCACTGGAGTTGGATTTACTACTTCCTTCTCATATACCCACCGACCGGGGCACAGTGCCGAATTCGGCCCAGCGGTCTTAGTGGTAAAAAACTGAATCCCGCAAAACTCATTTGTATAGGTTTGACTAAAAATGGGCTCACCTGCTCGCAGCCGCACCCAGAAGTGCCCGGGCCCACTTGCACTACTACCTTAAAAACCGGTGCAGGGTAGGCCGGTTGGGGCCAAGCGGTGCAGGGTAGGCCGCTTGGGAGCCAACCACCGGTGCAGGGTAGGTCGCTTGGGATGCCAAGAGGTGCAGGGTAGGCCGGTTGGGAACAACCGGGTGCAGGGTAGCTCGCTTGGGAAACCCAGGTGCAGGGTAGGTGCAGGGTAGCTCGATTCGGGAGAAACTAACACTTAGTGAAAAGAAGAACCAACCTTCTTCAAACTAAGATAGCTAGCCACCCAGTAATCGTACCGCCACAACCAAGATACCAGTATATAGCTACAGGCCATACGAATTCAATTACAGTACTGTAGAGCCCCCCAGATGGCCACAGCACTAGTAATCTGAACTCTAGGGTTCAACAGGTATATACGTAGGCCCGCTAATTTCCATCCAAAAAAACAGATACAATAACAAAAGGATTAAGATCAATCGCTACAGCAATGCGAATTGCTTCAATTGCGGCCTGTTGTAGGCGTTTGATGGCGCCGTCTACGGATTCTTACCGCCTGGGTGCGTGCCTGCAAAAATTAGCGGCGGTGTGCCACGTGTGCGCGTACGCCAAGACGTCCAGGCGTTTGCACGACACAGGGCAAGGAGGGGGACCCAATCATTCCCGAGTCTTTGGCGCCAGTTTGCGCGGCGCTAGGCCAAGAGCGTCAACACCAAGGAGCGAGGGAGGGAAGGCTGGAACCAACAACCCGCGAACCATCGTTGAACAAACCAATAAAAAGTCATGCCCATACTGAGGACCACGCTGAATTACAAACTGAGGGCTGAACCACCGGTTACACTCCAAGACCTTCATTCGGGGAACGTCAGGAATGTAACCTAGTGTTACTGTGATAGCTTGGTTATCGACCCTCCCTTGTCTCTCGGAAAGCGCCGAGGCCCCCAACGGCAAACACACCCACACCTATATTCGTACCTACGCCGCGGCCGCGCGCAACAAAAACGCCAACATGTCCACCATTGTTCTCCCCCGTTTCCAACTTGAACAAGAACCTCACCATTCTGGAGCCCCAGCAGTGCTGTGACAATCCAACAGTTTTGCGGCTGTCCTCGCCCCTCTACCGAGTCAACTCTCATCGCGCCCTGGTTCAACATGTTGGCGACGACATGGATGTCCAAGATACACATTTTTACGCTGGTGGGGGCCGCCACCCTCGTTTTCCTGTTGGCCGGACACTACACGTATAAGAATTCCATGGGTGGTATTGGTATGTTACGTCGCTTTTCAAAATCAATGAATTATGAGGGATTGAAGTTAACTGGTCCCGCTGCGTAGCAGGCTTTTCCCATCCAAAATCACATGATGGCCCGTCGGCTCAAGATCTTCTTTCCCAACCGTTCCCTACCAAAATCTGGCAAAGTTGGAAGGATGACTCGGAAAATCCGACAGAAAAAGCGGCCGGATTGCCCCATCAGTGGCGAGAAGTCAACCCCGACTGGCGATACGAGCGTCTCACGGACGCCAACATGAACGCCTACGTCCGCGAGCGCTTTGACGGCCGGACCGTCGACGTTTTCACCAGCCTGCACGACCCCATCTTGAAATCCGACCTGCTACGCTACCTTCTCATCCTGAAGGAAGGCGGCGTCTGGGCCGACATCGACGTCCGCCCGCTCCAGCCCGTCTCCAAATGGATTCCCGAACAGCACCACGGCAAGGCGAACCTGGTCGTCGGCATCGAGTCCGATCACCACAAGAAGTCCGTCTTGCCCGGTGTCTCGCCCCACTCTGTCGCCCTGGCGCAGTTCGCGATGCTCGCCAAGCCGGGTCACCCAGCCATCCGAGTCCTGGTCGACCGCGTCCTTGACAACATCCAGCAGCTGATGGCGACCAAGCCGGCCGGGACCGCCGTCACGTTCAACGAGGTCATGGTGACCACCGGGCCGTATGCCTTCACGACGGCGCTGATGGACTACTTCTTCAACGTCACCGGCGTCGTGCACAACGGCGACGAGATGGATAGCCTGGAAGAGCCGCGCTTGATCGGGGATGTGCTCGTCCTACCCAAGGACAGCTTTGGCTGGTTGCCGCATGAGCATACGTATGAGAAGGACGATCCTATCGTGCTGGTTCAGCATTTGTTTATTTCGACCTGGAGGCCGAGCCATCCGGGCTGAGTGGTGACTACACTAATACGAACGGCACGAGAATGTCGCAAGTGCGTCCGTCAAGAAAGTCTTTGGGTCAGACCCCGTGCTTGATGTGGTGAGAGAAATCCGCCGAGCATGAGAAGATTCCGGGGTGTGATGACCCGGTGGCTGGCGAATGGTTGACGAGGCTGTCGCCCACCACGGCCCTCGACTGAGCGAAAGCAAAAGCCAGAAACGCAAACAGCTCACCGGCGAATCCCTCGTTGGTCGGGGGGGGGGGGAGACAACAGCCATCCAGGGAACCTACGGAAATGTTTGCTTCGGGTGGGACCAGGGCATGAATCAGGACAATGAACAGCGGTGAAGCGAACCCGCGGTGGCTGGTGATATACCTCGCAGTGAGGGAGTTGGTTAGTGGGGGGGTGTGGGTAGAATCTGATTGTTTGGCTTCGACGATGAAAGTTCGGGTCAAATTAGACTATTATTAGACGAGCAATCAGTGGTAATCAGACCATAGACACTCCTACTAGATGAGATCTTCAGCTAGGGCATTTCCGCGGTTCTGCTTCGAAAGTTGTCTGGAGTCAGGTGCAATGGGACTCTGAAACCACCCGACTACTAGCTCTCTTGGTCTCATCATTCCATTGTCTGCTAGTTGTGTGGAGCGGTGGTCGATTAGGGTTAGAGGGAAAGTTGGGAGAGGATGGGGGGAAGCAGTTGGGTGAGGCAGGAAGAGGTGGGAGAGACGGGCATACATAATCCTTCCTTGTGGATGTCGAGCTGTCGTCCGGCACGGTAAGCTGCGTACCGTTTGGATCGGTTGCCTGGGTAGGCTCGGGGGGTTCTCGGTACTTGACAGTGGTGGCGCCCTAGCCGTTGTGAAGTGTCCCCACCCCTGCTAAGACGGAGGTGACTGTGTGGGCGGAGTTATTTGGCGGGTTGCGGGGTTGGTTTTGAGTTTCTGGGATTTGACCATGTATATCTAGGTAGCAAATCCATTTTCAGCACCCTAAGGTGGCCTTGTGCCGCAGATTGTCGAGGGGGGTAATGACGAAGGGCTCGAGGACTGCAGTCTCGCGGTTGACCGCGTCTGTGCTACGACCGATTATCTGGACGAGAATGGATGTCGAAAGTGTGGAGGAACCCCCAGCGGATCAAGGCCGTCAATACCCGCGAGCTCTAGATGAGGGGGTAACGACAAGAGGGAAATGAGCAACGGAATATAAAGTGCCCGAGTGTCTATGGATATTGTAATACAGACACCGATCTTTTGGAATATGCGATTTGGTCGAGGTGTCGATCTCATGAAAGTGATTTAGAATTTCGGTGGACACTGATGCGTGAAAACGAGAGGAAGTAGTGAGTGCAAGGAATTAAATGATAAATCGGGGCTTCCCCGACGATGTTCCTTTCTTGTACTCTCGACTTCCTCCCTCCCTCCCTTTTCTTCACTCCGTGCTTGTGTCAGTAAACACGATGTCGAATTAAGCTTTAGCTCCCGGGAAGTTCTGGGCCCGCACCAGGGACCCTTGCTTGGTGAGGGGGAGGGGAGAAGAGATCGGGGAGTCGGAGCAGCCAGCTGAATTATGGATTAATTACCACCCCTTGGCACTTAACAGGGAATGCGACTTACGGCCTTACCCAGTATCCCCCCACGACCGGTGGTCATCGCCAACACTACCTTACCTTTCTCACTGGAATCGAGAGATGCCGGAGGCCGACGCCGGGTGAGACAAAGGACCGCTCTCCTCGCACTGATGATGAAATCCCCAACCGGAGACATTCCCGGATGTTAACACTCCCGCCCCAGACCGCCAGTCAACTCGGGGTGACCAGCAGTTGGTCAGCCAGCCACCTGCACTTAGTGCTTCGACTACGGCCGCAGTCTCGAATACCCCTCTGCAATAAAGTCCGATCTCCGGCAGCGATGCCGATCCGAGCTTGGCAGCAAGTCGGAACAAGAAGGGGAACATGATTAGGGTCGGTGCCGATTTCGGTAGGTACCTCCGTACCTTGGTGACCTGTCTTTCCGAGTCAGCCGAAACAATGGGCAGGTACCTACCCATTGTTGGTGTTCCGTTGGGCTTCAACGAGAAGCAATAAGGGAGGGAGGGACCAGTTGAAACGGAGCGTGGTGGGGTTCCGCTGCAGTCACTGCAGTCGCTGCAGCCGCTGCAGCCGCTGTTTGTGGTTGTATGGAACTCTATAAGAGACCGGCGCCTGCCGCTGCCTTTGGCCTTCCCTCCTCATACCCACAAACACCACAGCCAAGTTTGGGCAGCAATACAAGAGTGGCTCAGGCCCCAGGTAACACCCGACAAGAATCTAGCACACAAATCTCTCTACCTTCATACCAGGCCACCACTGAGCACCCGAATCCATCAGCATGGCCGACGCCACCTCCACCACCAGCCCCCCGGCGAAGCCGGCCGAGTCCGCCACCCCCCTCTCCAACCTCCACCAACCACAGCGCTTCATCACCACGCACAACGACTCGGGCAAAGCCATCGTGCACTCGCACAGCCCCTTCATGTGGTCGGCCTACGACGACCGCAACCTGGCCTTCGCGGTGCCCTACACGACGTCGACCTTCCCGCCCGACCTCAACAACGACGCGGACATCGCGGCGCACGAGGGGGTGACGGCGTCGGGCAAGCTGGGGCTGGTCAACCCACACGGCACGGTGCTGCGGTGCGTGGACTTTGCGCCCGGGTACGCGTGCGGCATGCACCGCACGCAGAGCCTCGACTACGGCATCGTCATGGAGGGCACCGTCGACATGGTGCTCGACAGCGGCGAGTGCCACACCCTCCGCCGCGGCGACGTCGCCGTCCAGCGCGCCACCCAGCACCAGTGGGTCAACCGCAGCGAGACGGAGTGGGTGCGCATGATGTTTGTGCTGCAGGATTGTAAGCGCTTGGTGGTGGCCGGCGAGGAGATGGGCGAGGATCTGGGGGAGAATAGTGGCCTGCCGCCGAGTGGGAATTCGGGGGCGTGAGGGGTGCTGGTGACACTGGGCTGTGAATGGCTGCCCCGGTTCCATGAAGGTTGGTGCCCTTGACTGCAATAGTTGGTGCGCCCAAGTGTTGGTTTCAACATACAAATGCTTCTAGAGTAGAACTAGATACTGAAAGAGTGGACTGGGCAATGCACCGGTTGGATAGTTACCCAAGTGCCTCAAGTCTCCAACCTACTAGGTCATCGCGAGCCGTAAGAATGACGCAACCCCTTCTACCGATATGCCTCGTCCCCAACTCACTCATTAAGGTATCAACGGGCGATAATGACCGTTTCACACCTCAGTGCGCCTCTTCGGCACGCTCCGTCACCCGCATCCATTGTTCCGAATGAAAGAACACGTTGTAGTTCGTCTCATGCCAGGGCCGCTTGGGATACAGAATCTCAAAGTCGAACCGTCGGAGCAACTAAATCGTACTGTCGTCAGCCTCAGACTCTCACCCGGCACTTAACACCTTATCCCGCGATCACGTACCTCAACATAAACCTTGTTCAGCTCCAAAAAGGCAACCGGTTTACCCGAGCACCCCCATCGGCCGTATCCGAACACGAGCTCTGTCGTCTGCACCATCTCCTGTCTCTTCTCCGGTGAGATGCCGATCCAACGCTCAGGCCGGAAGATGTCGGCATCGTCGCCAAAGATGTCCCGCCGGCGCATAATTCCCTGCGTGTTGTGTGCGATACGTGTGCCACCGGGAACGAAGATGCCGTCGATGGTGTCGCCTTCGGGTGGGACTTCTTTCATGAACAAGCCGGATATGGGGATTTGTATCCGCAGCCCCTCGTAGATGACGGCCTGCAACGGTTGTCAACATATTCTTTCTTTCTTGATACCAAGAGGCAAAGGGTGCTGACGGGGACTTACTTGCAGATACTCCAGTTTCTTAGCCTCTTCACCCGTGATTGGGCTTGAGATACGGCCTTCGGCCACGCCAGTGTCTATCTCCTTTTGGAGTTTTACATATGCGCGTCTGGTTGATGCAAGATGGAGCATGGTGCCGCGGATGGTTGTGGCGGTGGTGTCCGAACCGGCGACCAACTGGAAAGGTACCTCGATCTCGCACTCGCGCTGCGCAACCCCGTGGCGAACGAAGGCGCCGAGCATGTCCCTCTGGTCCTTAGCGTCAGGGCCGAACCGCTCTGCAACAACCTGCTCTGCGATGCTGGACAATGGTTAGATAAGAAGGACATGCTAGATAGAGAGAGAAGGAAACACTCACGCCAACATCTTGCCCATCCCCCCAGCATCCGTCTTCTTCGGCCCAACCAGCTTTACCAGCCACGGCTGCGTGAATAATCGTCCAAGAAACGGCACCTCGGCCATCAAGACCAGCAACGGAATCCCCTGCTCAGCCCCGTCAATCGCACCAAACACATCCGAATCAGTCTTCAAAAACCCAAACTCCTCCCCGTACGCAATCCTACTAATAGCATCCATCGTAAAATACTGCACCACCCTCGCCAAATCCACCCCCTTCGTCTCCCCCACCGAGCCCGTGCCAGTGCCCTCAACCACAGGAACGCACTTCCTCGCCAACAAGTCCACGAACTGCGCCAAGACGGCATCCACATCCGCCTCCAGCCCGGGGTTCTCCCTGCCGCCGTACCCAAACGCCATCTTCGCCTTCAACCGATCATGCGCCGCAACATCCCTCAGACTGAACAGCCCGACCCCGTACGGGTCCAGGCGCAGCGGCGAGTACCAGTCGCTGCGGCGGTAGGCGCTGCGGGCCGCGCCCATGCGCCGCACCTGCGCCGGGTCGTCGGTCAGCAGGTCGCGCGGGCCGATGCGCACCGTCCGGGTCGTGGTGGTCCCGTGCCGGGCGTTGAGCGGGCCGTACCGCGCCGCCTGCGCGCCGGCCCGCCAGGTCCGCAGCATCCAGAGGTAGGAGAATGAGGCGAGGCGCGGGCCGGGGAAGGCGCGCAGCTGGTGCCAGGAGTGGGCGTACCAGATGATTGTTAGGGTTGTGAGTGAGAGGAGGAGGAGGAGGGGGGTGATGTGGTGCGGGGTGAGGGTGGTTGCCCAGGCGAGGAGGGTGGAGGATGGGGCTTCGGGTGCCATTTTCCTTTCTTTCTTCTTTTTTTTTAAAAACTTTTTGGGGGGGGGGGGGGGGGGTTGTGTCCCTCGGAAGGTTCAGCTGGTGGTTCCAGTCCAGATGCTAGTTGTTGTTGCGAGGGGCGGATGAACTAAATACCTACCTAGGTATCAGATTGAGGGTTTGAGTTCAGAAGGGCGGAGAGGGTACGGCGAATGTTGGTTCTTGTCACCGGCAGGTTACGAACGGTCGAGATGGCCAAGATATGGCTATATGTCGGTGTTTATGTATTTTGACTCCCGCCGAGTTAATCACTACTTAAACGAGCTCTTCGCCCGATGACCGACCATTTCCGTGGTATCATTGTTCGGAACCGTGCATACTCGATGTCATCTTGGCGCGATGCGCTTCGTCAGCGCTATGGGTACGAATCCTTTTTGGGAAAACGAAGCGACGACATGCAAAAGGGCGGTGGTTCGGATATATTGTGTGTAAGCACAGTGCAACACTCCGTTGGTGATTAGGGACAACACGAAGGGTTTTGTGGCTCTCATGATGATGATCAAGGCGTTCGCTTTGAAATGCAGTTGTACGGGGCCACTGGGGCCAAAGCCAGGCCAGTACCAAGGCTAGAGACGGAGCCAAAGAAAGACAAGCCCGTCAACATGGGGAGCCTAGCCGTCACGGAAGATGTACCCGCCACACTAACCCTATGGTAACACTTGTGAACAATTAGGCCCAACATCCTCGTTTAGTGTCTGAGTTCTAATTAACCCCTATCTAAACCTCAACACGTCCCTCCGCGTCCCACTTCCCATTATACAATCGTTGGTGGGAGGTCAATATCAACAACCCAGGGAGGCTGCGGTCCATCTTCCTCGAACCTTGGCTGAACGGCGGCATTCACAAACAGGGTCGCCTTCCCAGGGGTTGTGGGATGATCGTCTCCGGCGCAGTGGCTTGTCTGTCGATAGCCCTGCGTAGCCAAGCGCCCAGCCAACGCCTCCTTCTCCCTAACCGTCTCGGCATCGTCCCACTTGCCCGGCCGCATCGTCGCAAGCGTTTCCACAACTACAGAGGCGTCGTTGTCGATGTCGGTGAAGTGGGACGGGTTCTCGCTGGGGGTGTCGCGCCACGCAACCACCTTTGCTCCCCACCCCTCGTGGATGTGCCCGAAGCAGTGGAGACGTGGTCGAGCCCTCGCAACGGCGGCAAATAGTTGGGCGCACCCGCCACGTTGTTTGGACGTTGTTTGGTCCAGCACTCCCTTGGGCGGCCCGTGGGTAATCACGATGTCGACGTCGGTGGTGATTGCGTAGTCGTGATCCTCCCTATGCCGGTACTGGAATCCCCAGTCGGCTTCCGCTGATGGGGTGAACGGGCTCGCGTAGACCGTCAATCGGGCACCGTTGCTAAGGTCAAAGTGATGGGTGCCTTCGTCCAAAAGGATGACGCCGTCATCATCGTCTAGGAGTTTACGGGCATCGCCATATCCACCGTACTCTCTGGCCATAACCTCGGGATCGATCGAAAAGAGGCGGTTGGCCTCTGTGGCCTTTTTCTGGTAGGCTAAGGTGTCGAGGGTAAAGTCGTGGTTCCCAGCAATGACGAGCTTCAGTGGTGCGTTGACACCACGAAGAAGAGCCAGCGACGCGCGGAATTCCTCCATCTTGGACCCGTCTGTTAAGTCACCACAGTGAATGGCCACGTCGACGGGGAGGTTTGGCGGGCACCATTCTTTAGCGTGGGTGTCGGCCAGAATGAAGAATCGGGTCTTGATATCCTGCACCATGGTCGTAATCGGATGCTGCGTGCTCGAAGATGGAGTTGGGTCACGGGATGTGTAGGTGATTGTTGAACGGAGGCAGCAAAAAGGTGGATGTAGAATGGGGAACTTAGGAACTGTGAGCAAAAAGGCGTGGGAAGGCGAGCTTATATAGGTAGGTAGGTACCCTCCCTCCAGTGCACAGACGGTGGCGGATGTTGGAACCTCGGTGAGGCTGTCGTCATTTTACCTACCGAGGTACCTAAGGAAAGTGGCCGACAAGTATTGATCAGCTATATTTACTACACCTGTGCGTAGCTACTCCCGGGGTGACAAAGGTATGCCATTCCATCTTGCCCTCGATGACGCCCATAAAATCCACAATTACCCCATTTATCCTCTTCAGTTTGGTATATTGTGTCTGCAGCTTGTTTTCTTCCCCTTCATGGCTGCTCGATGCGAGGCTCACCAAAACCAAATTATACAACCAAGGCGCAGCATTGTCATGCTCCGCGGCGTCTGGGTTCAGCAATGACGTCTAAGAGTTCCACCCACCAGTCAGCATTAAAGAGTCTCTCCATATAGTAACTAACAACCAAGGCAGAGAAACAGCAGCCTCTGCTGACAACGCACCATTGATGTGTTGGAGGGCGAGGAAGTAAAACAGCTGCTCCAACCTGGGGGAGCAAGTCCTTTTTCATGATACTCAGTGAGACATCGTCGCGCATGGCGTACCACGTATGCCGTGCAACTTCGGCCTCGGCGACCACGATAATCACGCACTGCTTGATCATGTCGATTATCTCGGGGTCATCGTTTCACGCGTCACCTGGTCGTATGTTGTCGACGTACCCGGATATGTTTGGACGGAAGTGTATCTCCTGGGTGAGCGTGTTCCCGAATGGCAACCTGAGAAACCGGCCGAGTCTTTGCCGGTTCCTCGAGGAAGTACCGCAGGCGCCGCTAGGGGTTGAAGGCAACCACAGCGGTCGAAGCTCGAAGTCTAGCTATAGACTATTGGTGTTTTGGTGATAGCAGAATGTCACTCCCGGTGTTGCAAGAGGAACCCTAACCCTTTGATTCGCCCTGTGAAGCAAAAAAACGACTCGGATACCGGGAGTCGAACCCGGGGCTGTTGAGAGAGCAGTCACTCCTGAGAAGTGAGAGTCAACGATGTTACCGCTACACCATACCCGACTGAGACGAGTGTGGTTCCGACCAACTGTTGGCATCCCCCGGCGGATCCCAGTCCTATATTCGGGTATCTGCCTTCCTGGGTTCCTTTCTCACGTTCAACCCCGTCCTGCTGGCGTCTTCCTCGCCGGCAATCTTCAAAACCAGCTCGAGAACATAATATACGGCGAGTGCTGCCTGAAACCTAAGTGACGTTTGTCTCTCTTGGTTGTGGGGGATTTGGGAATGACGCGGTTGCGTAGCGGACGTGCCCCGGGACGTTAAACGCAACTAACAACGACGAAACCAATGATGAAGGTTAAGGACGTTGTAGATTATCCATATTGTGGTAACAATGATACGTGTGGCATTCAATGTCGGTCCTCGATTCGATCATGCGCCCCGTCAATGCAGCACCTAAGGTATCTAATTAGTATGCCGAGCACTGATACAAACCAATAACGCCTTGCCAAAGCCGGGCACCTGTCTCATTAACTCTAGGGTGAAGTCTTTCGAGTATGGAATATATACGATACGAGGCGGAGGTGAGGAGAGCCGTGTTGGCACGCGGAAGGAGAAGAGAGCCGGAAGGAGATATATTAGAATAGAATAAAAATGCAGGGGATAAGGGAGCTCGACGCTGTCGGGAGCGCCTAAGGGTAGAGTACTTAGGTATGTGCGAGGTACATCTTTGTGTATCTCAGCACATCCGTATATGGTCAAGGCATCTAACGTGGATTTGGTTGGGTCTGGCGGGAAGCTGATCAGTGAGTTTTATAGCATGAAAGTAAAGTTTGGCACTCGGGAGGTACTCGTCGGGGCTTCAAAATCGCCGGTCCGACCACCCGCCAAGGCGGCTAGTCGGGTACGTTGATTCGGGTTACGACCATTGATTCGGGTCAAAACTCACATCTAAGAGGGAATATAACGAACTATAATAGTTTTTTATAAAAAAAAGTGAGAATTAGTAATTTAATATTAGATATATTAACCTAGTAACTTTTACTAAAGGAGAAGATAATAGTTATAATATAAAATCGGAATAGTTAATATTTTAGGAGCTGGGCTTAACTTATATATAACTACGAAATACTAAGATATAAGAGACCTCTATTTAAGTAGGCTTTACTTAGAAATCAGACTCCCTCTACCCTCTTCTCCTTAAATAAAAGTTACTAAACTAATATACCTAATATTAAATTACTAATTCTAACTTTTTTTTATAAAAAAGTATTATAGTTGGTTATACTCCCCCTTGGATGTGAGTTTGATCCGAATCAATGGTCATGACCCGAATCAACGTACCCGACTAGCCGCCTTGGCGGGTGGTCGGATCGCCGATTTTGAAGGCCCGACGAGTATTGCTGGTTGTGACGAACCTCGAACAGACCCGTCCTGTTAGGGTTCAGTATCGGTCGAAGGTAATCTTTCAAGGGTGCTTAGGTTCGGTGCAGCCAAAGGGTGCACAACAAAGACTTGTCTCAACAGTAGGCTCTCGAGCTTGTAGCGAACTGTAGTTGTGATTGCTAACTGGAGAACTCCCAGAGCTCTCCAGAACGAGTGACTATATACTGTCTAATTTCTGGGTGCTTAGTCTGCTCAGTTGCTGAGCACACTGAGCACACTGCTCACCCTGCTCAGTTGCTGAGCACACTGAGCACACTGAGCACACTGCTCACCCTGCTCAGTTGCTGAGCGCACTGAGCACACTGCTCATTGGTTATGTTAATGATTGGTCCGGGGCGCCCCGCGCCCCACTCCTGTGCTTCCAGCTCAGTGGTCGTGACACTGGTAGAAGGTTAATATGAGCGCGTGAAAGATACGAAAGCCGGGAGCGGCAAACGTATGTGCTGGAGGGATTTTCAAGTGAGTCTAACCAGTGGGTTGTGAAATGTATATAAATCCACTTCGTACTTCGTACACAGATCAGGATATACTTCTCGATCAGGCAGAAGAACTTTGGTGGTGGACCTCGCGGTGGTTGGTGACTGGTAACACGCGACGCCGGTTGTTACCCCTGGTAATCTTGGCATAATCCCGAGATCAACCATTCGTAAGTTAGCCGAGGTGGCGTTGTTCGCATTCCAACCTTGGAGAGACAAGGATTCGCGTGAAGGCTGAGTATGACGACCCAACCAACCAAACCTGTTGTCATCTGCACTCGACTGTCAGCTTAAACCCTTGAAATCTCGCTGGTTCGCAATTTTGACTGTGCCATCTCCGTGACCTGATTATTTGGAAACAGGGAAACACGCCCCCGGGATCCAACCTCGCCATGGTTCAAATCTTGAGCGTATCGAGTGTCGCTTGCCTCGCAGTGACTGCTTTGAGCGCAGTGATTGGGTACTTTGTCCTTCGCCTCAGCGCCAAACGTCGATTCTACCGTGGCCATGACATAGTATGTCCACACCTAACTTGAGACACTACCAACACTACTTGCACAAACCATATCGTCTGTCCGCTAATCATTTCCCTTCCTCCCGCAGCCCAAAGCGCCACATGACCCGCTCTGGGGGCACTTGAAGCTCCTCGGGGAATATACCAAAAAGGTGCCCGGTAGTTACGTACAGGCGCTATGGACACAAATGAAGCTAGACTTCAACCTCCCAGACATCTTCTACCTAGATCTGTGGCCCTTCGGCCCGGAATTCATCGTCTGCGCCAGTCCCGATGCAGCGGCAATGTTGACTACGGTAAATGCCTTTCCTCAGGCCGATCTTGTGGCCGAGTTCTTCGCCCCCACGATCGGATCGAGTTTCATCGAAGCCACAAACGGGGCGTTGTGGAAAGAGCTGCATCAAATGCTAGCTCCGGGATTGACACCCGGCGCCACCAGGACCTACCATGATCTTATCGTCGACGAAGCCAAGTCGCTTCATGATCGGGTTCGTCGCGTGGCAGCTTCCGGGGAGACCACCGACATGACCTACCAGGTTGGGCAGTATCCCTTCTCTATTATGTGGACAATCTTCTTTGGCGAAAGACCCGACCCAAACTCGGGCCTGTATGACGCCTTAAAACGACTGAACGACATTAGTGGCTCGACCGGACTCCCCCTCAACCCGATCACAAGATGGCAGGAGAAGAGGGAGCGGGCTGCGATTATAAGACGACTCGACAAAGAAATCGAGAAGGTGATTCACTCGCGGTTTGCGAAAGTCTCGTCACAGAAGCCTCTTCCTACCAGAGCCAACGCCAGTTGCCTCCTTGACCGGATGTTTCTGGACCAAGTGAAGGCCGGTCTACCCCTAGACAACCGCCTAATTAGGCTCGCTCAAGAAAAGTAAGATGCATTGCGGGCCCCAAGTTCGCATCGCAGCTAACAAGTACGATAGTGCCGAAGGCTTTCTCGTTGCCGGTTACAGCACAACGACGGACACGTCAAGCGTACGAATAAACCCGCCCCTTTTTGCCTACCAGTCACCCCCAAGCTAATATCTGTCTCAGTACGTGCTCATGCTTCTCTACTCGTTCCCCGAAGTTCTCCAAAAGGTCCGAGAGGAGCACGACCGGGTGTTCGGCAAGGACTTTGACGAGACGCTCCGCATCCTGAGAGAGGACCCGGGCAGCATCAACGATCTCCCCTACACGACAGCCGTAATCCAAGAAACGCTACGCATGTTCCCCATCGGCATGGTCGTCCGCGACCCGCCCCCCGGAATGTAAGCCCAACCCGCCATCGACCATCGACCATCGACCATCCACTATCCCCATACCCCCTTACCTCCCAACAACCACAACCACAACCCCCGCACCCAAACCAACCCTCCTAACCTCCCGTTCACAGGACCTCCTTCGAATACAAAGGCACCACCTACCCAGTCGGCCCGAACCACAGCTTCACCGTGCTCGCCCACGCCATGCACCACGACGCCACCGTCTTCGCCTCCCCCAAGACCTTCCAGCCCGAACGCTTCCTCCCCACCACCACCACCTATCCCTCCAACCCCTCCAACCCCTCCGAACCCTCCTTCCCGCGCAGCGGCTACCGGCCCTTCGAGCGCGGCCTGCGCTCCTGCATGGGCCAGGCGCTGGCCATGACCGAAATGAAGGTGGCGCTGGTGGTGCTGGCGCGGGGGTTTGATATGGAGCTGTGCGGGCATAACCCCGTGGAGGTGCCCAGGCTGGGGCATACGGATTTGGATATGGTGTTGGGGGATCATGCGTTTCAGGATTCGCGGTTTACGGCGGGGCCGAATGGGGAGGTGGAGATGAAGGTGAGGGTGGCGGTGGGGAGGGGGTGAGTTCGCTTTCGGTTGTTTGTTTGTTCATTTGTTTGTTTGTTTGTTTGTTGAGGGTTGGTGTGTGTGCGAGTGGATTTGGTCGCATTGGATACTTACTGGATGATGAGTGTGGTGTGGAAGGCTTAATTTCGGAGCTGGCAGGCGGTAAGATGTCAATCAGTAGCTGTATGTATATTCATGGATCCTGGAGTACCCCTTCCCAGGACCCTTCTTGGACTGGCGTTGTTAAAACTCCGACCGAATGTCCACTCTACGAGGTAGGAAGATAACGTAAGATTTGTCATTAGTACCACTTCTCTCCCATCTTCCGACTTGTCTCCTCTCACCACCCCATCCAGTGACGCGCCACTGGGTGTTAGGCAGAACCAAAACCGACGACTTGGTGATGGTGGTACATGTTGTTGGTTGTAAACATCGATGTATTTGTTCGAGTCCCTTCCGCTGACTGTTAGACGGATTAGTGGCCTTTGGGACGGCTGGGTTGTTAGTTCCTCTGGGGCTGAAACGATAGAAAGGGAAGGAAAGCACAATTAAGTGTTATGAGACCATGTAGGGCCTTTTTTAGGTGATTGTGAGAGAGAGAGAGAGACAGAAAGCCGTTGGGGCAACGGGTAATTATCGTACCTGCAATACACATAATACCTAACCACTGTATGCGTACGTGTAACAATGCCCAATCTTTCGCACCGAGCTCCGAGCTGCAAGTGGGTCCGCCAACAGCGAGCACTGACGTCGGCCCTGCCGCCGCCTGCCACTTTTGCAAATCGGCGCCAAACCACCAGAACAGAACAGTCCCACCACCAAGCTAAGCCAGCTGCAAATGTGAGGTTGTCGCCGACCATGTCGCTCACAACAGCACAGAGGGCACTCGTGCCCACCGTCCGGGCGGGCTTGTCTGCCTCGGCCCGCAACTCTCGAAACCTCCCACTCGCCGCCCTCGCATTATCGAACATCGCTGCATCATCACGAAGCGCATTCCACACCACACAACGCAATGCCCTCCCTAGCGGCATGGGCGGGGGGCTCATACCGCCGACCTACTTCCAGAAGCCGGCGTCGCTGCCCATGAACACGGTGGTCCGGTTCGTGCCGCAGCAGACGGCCTGGATCGTCGAGCGCATGGGCAAGTTCAACCGCATCCTGCAGCCCGGGCTGGCTGTCCTGATCCCCTTCCTCGACCGCATCGCCTACGTCAAGTCGCTCAAGGAGGTTGCCATCGAGATCCCCTCCCAGAGCGCCATCACCGCCGACAACGTCACCCTCGAGCTCGACGGCGTGCTCTACACCCGCGTGTTTGACGCCTACAAGGCCAGGTACGCACGCCCCCCCTCCCTACCCCTCCACCCTATTCCCCCCCATCAACGCACAAACTAACACCCCTTCCCCCCTCGCAGCTACGGCGTCGAAGACGCCGAGTACGCCATATCCCAACTCGCCCAAACCACGATGCGCTCCGAAATCGGCCAGCTCACGCTCGACCACGTGCTCAAAGAGCGCGCGGCGCTCAACACCAACATCACGCAAGCCATCAACGAAGCCGCCCAAGCATGGGGCGTGACCTGCCTGCGCTACGAGATCCGCGACATCCACGCGCCCAAGCCCGTCGTCGACGCCATGCACCGCCAGGTGACGGCGGAGCGCTCCAAGCGCGCCGAGATCCTCGACTCGGAGGGCCAGCGCCAGAGCGCCATCAACATTGCCGAGGGCCAGAAGCAGAGTGCCATTCTGGCTAGTGAGGCCGTGAGGGCCGAGAAGATCAATGGTGCGGCGGGTGAGGCCGAGGCGATTCTGCTGCGGGCGCGCGCGACGGCGGCCGGGATTGAGGCGGTTGCGCGGTCGATTGCGGATGGGAAGGATGCGGCGCAGGGGGCGGTCAGTTTGTCGGTCGCGGAGAAGTATGTGGATGCGTTTGGCAAGCTGGCCAAGGAGGGGACTGCTGTTGTTGTTCCTGGCAATGTGGGGGATATTGGTGGTATGATTGCTACTGCGCTGAGTGTCTATGGCAAGGTTGGCGATGCTCAGGCGAAGACCATGGCCAAGGATGCGTTGGCGAAGGGGGGTGTGATCGATGCCCAGGAGAAGGGGAATGCGTCGCCGGCGCCGGAGCAGACGACTGTTTAGGGGGCAGGCTAGATTCGGAGAGTCCGGGGCAACGGGAAGTGACAATTCATGGTGGGCAGTGGCTCGGGCAGGAGTTGAGAAGTGCAATTTATCGGCTGTACCATTACTTGTCCCAATTGGCATGGAGCTCTGGAGAAAAGAAAAGCGAGGGATGGCGTCAGATAGGCACCCTTTGAACCCACTCAGTGTATTCTAGCAAGCACGCAAAAAGTCCACACAAAATTCACCACATAATGCTCATTCACTCATCCCCTCTCACAAACCAAACTCCCCTCCCACCACATCCAACGCCTCCCTCACCAACCCCAACACCATCTCATCCCCCGCCGTCCCCGCCACCTGCACGGCACTCACCAGCAGCGGGTACAGCCGCAGCAGGTGCTTCCGCGCCTCGCTCTCCACGTTCGGCACCTCGGGAATAGCTTCCGGCTCGGAGCGCAGCGCCACCAAGCTGCGCAGCATGTGGGCGAGCTCCTTGCGCTGCGACAGCGGCTGCGGCATGCGCCCGCGGAGGGGCTGGTCGGCCACGTAGCCGCGCAGCGTCAGCGCGCAGCGCAGGATCAGGTACGGCGCCACGGTGCGGGCGAGCCGCACGTGCAGGCCGCGGGTCTGGGTGGGGGCAGACGCCGCTTCCGGCCTGGGCGGCGTCTCGTCGCCGTGGTCTTGCACGAGCGAGAACAGCTCGTCAAGGCATACCCGCCCCATGAGGCTCCGCTTGGTTGGGGTCGGGTCGATGGTGCGCCCGTCGCGCTTCTTGAAGAATGCGCCTAGCCCGACGGCGTCGTTGCCGCTGTTTCCGTAGATGATGGCCGCTTCGGCCGGGGCGGGGGTGTGGACGATCGACGTGCGGAACAGACCCTCGGCGTACGTCTTCCTCGTGTCGTCGAGGACAAACTCTGCACCGAGTGCTGGGATGATGAGGCCACGCAGTTGACGGAACGACGCAATGTCGAAGTCTTGGTCGTCCGTTATGCCCGCGGTTTCTGCGGCGGGCGCAGTCAGATCGGCGCTGATAATCCCGTTGGCCATGGAAATGATTATGCGCCAAATGTCCTGCAAAGTTTCCCGAGGCAGCTCTAACCCAGGGAGTCGAGGAAGCGATGCCTCGAGGACAGCCAGGGTTGACTGTGTCGCCACCCTCCACGGCTGGACCGACTTAGTGACGATCTTGAACCGGTACTTGAGGATGACGGGTTTGGCCAGGGCAGACAACGCGCTGGCGAACGCCCCCGTTTCGTAGACGTTCCTCTCCGAAGCATTGTGGACGATCAACGACTGGAGAATGGACATGCTCTCCTTGGACATGGCGACGTATGTGCGCTTCTCTGCTGCCTCGGCCGCGTTTTCCCGGGCGAATGCGAGAGAAACAAACTCGGCCACCTGCGCGACCATAGCGGATGGGACGCCATACAAGTCGGTGCGGACCATGCGGAAAACCTCGAGAATCTTGCCCTGCAGCGGCGTGACAAACTCGATATCGCTGGCGTATGCCCCGGGGGTTGCGTGTTGCATCGCGTCGCGGAGCAGCGTTAGCATCCGGCGCACTCGCTCGACGCTAAAGTCGGCTTGGATCAAGCCATAAAGCTTCAGAAGTGCTTCCACCCAGACCAGGAGACATTTCTGGTTGTCGGACGATTTGTCATCCTTGCCGTCTCCGGGAACGGGAATCCCCTGAGACCACAGGTCCCATGCCAGGTCAAGGCTCTCCTTGCCCACGGCAGCTTTTTCTTGTTCCGCGCAGGCGTGGAGAATATCCCGGACGGCGCCGTACGTGTCGGCGTTGATGTCAAGGATTTGGAGGCTCAGGAGAGCTCGGAAGTGGCCAATAAGGTCCCGCCATATCTCCGAGAAGCTTCGGTGCGCTGTGAGGGGCTGGAGATGGGATCCGAACAGGTCCGAAACTCCTTGAATTACGACGGTCGCCGTCTCTTTCCACTCGTCTTGGCCGCCATCCTTCGTAGACGGGCTGTCGACGGCGCGTAACTCGCGCTCGACGGACGAGAGGAGGCTGAAAATGACTACCTTCATGCAAACTGACCAGGCTTCTGGGCTCAGACTCTCACCGTATGCGGACATTATCCGCATCAATGTCTGGATGGCGCCTAGTTGGTTAGCTTAATCCGTAATCCAAGGGCCGCAACCCACTCACTGTTACGCAGCTCCAGTCTTTGGTCCGCCGCAACTGACGTGAGCCGGAGGAGAAGCAACATCCACAATGCCGCGGCTGAACCTTGTACGGAAGGTTGTGTGGCCAGTTTGACTAGCGACTGATCTCCCGAATCGGGGATCATGGCTTCTGTAATTAACATCGACTTGCTGTTGGCAGAAAGGAAATCTGAGATGGCCCAGAAGAAGGTGACAGTCTACAAATGTTAGCAGTGCCCACCGCATCTTGAAGATCGACTCACTGTCAATGCCACATTAAGCTCATCTTCCTGGGTGCAGAACTTGTACAGGGTATCGACGAGGTTGAGGAAACAGGCATTAGGTAGGGAAGGGAGAAAGTCGGAGCAAATTAGCTGCAGTGAAGCGAATGATGGGCGGATCAGCTTAACGGCGCGGGTATGCAGGACGGCAGCCCGTTGGGATACCCCGTCCTGTTTTACTTCGGTGCTGAGATTGCGTTCGATGAAAATGGTGTCGATAATCTCAAACGTCACCTCCCAGCCGCTGATGAGGGATTCGCCGCAGTTTTCGAGGAGACTCTTGAGCCCCTCGAGAATGATCTTGTGGATGTCGACGTCGATGGCATGTCTTGTGATGGAGACATGGCGCTCGGGTCCCTGAAGAGGAAGAAGAGAGTCACGGAAGGCTTCAAGGAGGCGCCTCTGTATCGGGCCCCGTACTTCTTCTGACTGGGACGAGACGGCATTTGCTTCCTCGAGAAGAATGCGGACCAGCGTCTCCGCCGCTCGTGCTCTAACGGGAGCAGTATTGGACACCGAAGTCATAGCGTTAATGAGCTCATCGACCAGAGGCGCCCAGCCTGATACGTGTGGCTCGTATGCTAACATTCTCTCGATATTGATGGAAGCAAGGTCGCCAAGTTTAGACAGGGCAAACTGGTTCTCTTGGTTTGGTGTGGGTTGTGACGGCGCCGAAATGCTCATGACGCGTTTAGTAGAAAGTGAGGGTGCCTTTAGGCCCGCGGTAGAGGGGGGTGATTGTGGGCGACTGCTCGCCTCTGAAGGGGGTTCGACATGCTCGAGCAGGTTGCATACGGCTCCGACGATCTCGACAAAGGAGGGATTCGGAAAGTCAACGGTGCTCTCAAAAAGCCGCGAGGCCGCCGTCTCGACGGCTCGAATCTCGGTGCCGAAATTCGCAAGGAGGGTACTGGCCTCCTGTTCCGCTTGGGGATCGGGCCCCTTGGCCGCTATGGGTGTCCTTCCGGCAACCTTACCGGACGAGAACATGACAAAGTCAGCCCGCTGCAGAGTCTCGAGAACAATGCTCCAAGACGATGCGAGTGTCGGACCCAGGGCGATACCGAGGTTTAGGAGTGCCCTCAGGCATAGCAGATTCCTGGTATTGAGGGTGGCGCCACTAGCATCCATTGATGGCTGCCTCTGCTTCTCGGCCCCTAGCAACGATGGACTAACAAGACTTTCGACGCTTAACAACCCACGAGCGTTGCTAAAAAGGTTGCCAGGCCCCTCCGTGGCTGATGGACTCGGTGGGGCGCGGTTAGGGCCAGTGTTCATGCACGCGGTCAACACATTGGGCGGCACGGCGGCTTTGCCCAGAGTCGTCAGGAAAGCATCCCGGGGAGTCGCGAGCTGCAGCAGGCCGGCGACATGCGCAAATTTCTGGAATGCTCGTACCAGGCCGTGGTAGTATTCCGAGTCTAGGGCAGCGTAGAGAAAGGTGGAACATGTTGCGAGGATAGCGGGCCAGCACCCGTCGATGAAGGCAGCGCAAACCCTGATTTCGGCGTACAGGGGGTGACTCTCTAGTGTCAACGGGTTTACCGGGACTGGATTCCGCTTGAACGATGAAGACCGTTCTAACTTATCGGGGGTTTCGTCTAGCTGAGAGGCGGGTGAATCGCGTCCCGCTTCTGGTTTCGGGCCTCGTTTCCTCCTCCCTTCGCTCGCGACGGTCAAGGGCAGGATGAACTTTGCGAGACCCTCGGATAGTGACGTGATGCACGACAGAGTAAGGCTGTAAACATACGACTCCGGTATGGTTGGGGCGTCCGTCTTGTCGAGTTGGTCAATGCAGGGAACCCGCATGGTGCTCCATTGGCTGCTGATACCCGTGCTGTGGCCGTCAGAGCTTACCGAACCCGAAATTATACCGGTCACTCCGCTCGCCTCGAGCATAACTTGATCGGTTGACGGGCCCGTGTTGGAACTGGCAACGGGAATGGTGGACTGATGGCCCAAGCCAATGACCGCTGGCTTCTCCGTACTTACACGAACGAAGGTGGCGGTAAGATTCTTCAAGATACTCTTTTGACCTTCCTCGCCATCGTAAAGCATGAAGATGCGCCGGAGTAACGCGTGCTCGGCAAAGATGCCCCTGAATACCTCCATACATAGAGCGCGCTTCCATAGAGTGTTATCTTGGTCAAGAAGCTGAGTCAAAATCTCCAGTGCGTCCCCACTCTCGGATGGGAGGATGGAGAGGTGGCGGCGGAGGAGCGTGTACAGGATACGCACAAGGCGAACGCTGGTTGCAAAGTTTGGCCTGCCGCGCAGGGCACTGATAATAAAAGGCATTACTCTCGCCCGTAGAATGTTTGCTTGCTCGGCATGGGTGGTGAAGATAGCGGCGTGGTTCGTCAAGACGGATTCTATCAACTCGAGACCGAACGTCTGAGGAAGGCCAGAAACACGGAGGTATTCGGGCCTCTGACCTTCAGTGAGGAGGCAGATGTCGTTAAAGACCTGGATGGATTAGCTAGCGCCCAAAGATCCGGGACAATGGGTGGCGTTACCCTATATGCATCCATGGTCGCAGCCTTGAGCGGGAGGGTGCCATCCTGGACAGGAACCTCACCAACAACAGGGGAGTCGCCGCCAGATCCTAGGGTTGTGTTAGCATACCATTGTGCCTGGCAATTAGAAGGTAGAAGAGCTACTCACTATCCTCAGCAACGACCTTGTCAAAGACAGAGACTACCAGCTGCTGCAGCGTAGCAGCCGATGTGTTGTTGACAATAGCATTTTTGCTAGACTGTAGGATGAAGCAGACATTCAAGGCTGTGACGAGAAGCTCGCCTTTTACATCGGCGGAGTAGTTGGAGAGCAAGGCGGGGAGTGCCTGGAGGATCTTGAGTTGAACGTCGAGGCCGGCCGAGGTCGCCTGCTGCAGTGCCTCGAGGACTTGGCTCAACCGGGACCTCGGCAGTGCTCGAGATACAATGAGCCGCTGTAAACAAACAATGGCAATCCCCGTGAACTTGACATTTTTGGTGCCGCAGGCGATAATGAAGGGGTTGACAAAGTTCGGGCGTTGGGCAAGTTCTGGCACTGTGTGAGCTGGGTGCATGCGTTGAGTGGCAGCTTGGGAAATACAACACACCCTCAGAAGTCTGAGCTTCAGATGATGTCCTTAGACTTTTTAGTTCATCTAAAGACTTCTCAGTAGCCTATTATAATTGTCAGTTTTACCGATGAGGCGCAAAAGGGCGATGTGGTCCTGGGTTCAACAGTTCAACGGGGCAGGTGGGCAGTGTGCGCAACGAGATTGAGAGTGAGGTGGCTGACCTGGCGCAAGTCGTTGTGCTTGCGTTTGCTCTCTTGGATGAGGTTGGCGAGCTCCGACGCCAAAAGCTGGGCCGTCATATTCGTATCCCATGAAACATAAATGTGGAGTTAGTCACCGCATTACTATTCCGAATACGTGGTCTGAGTCCAGTTTGAGAGAGGCGCGGATGTGCTATGCGTTTGTGAACGGCGCTGGTCGTTGGTTGTCGGTTGTGAGATGAGAACGGACCTTCTTCGCCTGCTGTTCCTTGAAGCTCCATCTGGCCTGTCACCCTGAGACTGACCCACCTGAGCCACCCCAAGCCAAGCTTGTACCTTGATGACTAAGAGTGGCAGAAGACCTCACCGCCCTTTAACCCCTCTATCCATGCCTGACCTGCGAGCCTGGATGGCCACCCATGACATGGGTCCCCGCACCCCTCCTCGGAGCCCCCGTGCCCCTCGATTGCCCAACGGTTCCAAGGTTTCATTCATTACTTTCCATCCGCCTTGTTATTCCGGGCTGCGCAGATCGCCTTCCACCGCCTAATTTGTCTTTCTCACCACACTCTCGGCACATATCCGCAACACGCATCACGATGGCCGCGCAAGTTCCACGGAACTTCAAGCTCCTTGCCGAGCTGGAGAAAGGCGAGAAGGGCATGGGCGCAGGTGGGTTTCCTTGGCTATCGCAGCCTTAGCCTCGCCGTGCTCTTGGTCCCGGACTACAAATGCGCTTGCTGACAACCGCCTTGGTCGGCATTTAGGAGCGTGCTCGTACGGTTTGGAGGATCCCGAGGACATCTACATGACACATTGGCGAGGAACTATTTGGGGCCCTCCTCACGTACGCGCTGCGCCTGTCGACCATTCCATAATTGCCCACCAGAAGCAAGGCTAACCGCTTCACAACGTAGGGTCAACACGAGAACCGCATCTACGAGCTCAAGATGGAGTGCGGCCCCAACTACCCCCGCGAACCACCCGAGATCAACTTCGTCAGCCAAATTAATCTTCCCGGCGTGAACCCGACGGACGGCAAGGTGGACAAGAACGCCGTCGGCATTCTGCGAGACTGGACGAGGATTGCGGCCGAGCTTGCCAAGAATGCGCGGCCGAAGGAGGACCCCCTCAGTCTTGAGTCGGCGCTGATCGCGATACGGAAGTAAGCAGACTCTGCACTCTGCTTGGTATTTCTGCGGAAACCCGGACGCTGACGTCGCCGCAGGTTTATGGACGAAAACAAGAAGCTCCCGCAACCCCCCGAGGGGTCCAAGTACGAAATGTATAAATGAGCAGCGAGGCAAGGGAACTACACAAGCGGGATGCTGCGTAACAAAGACGTCGATTTTGATACGCCAGTAATGGCCGTAGCGGACGGCAAAGCGGTGCAGATGGGCCGACGAGGTTAGACACCGCCAGGACTACCTGACTACCCACGACCAGCACCACCGTTATTACCACAACACATAGTAGCTCTAGCCACTGCTCCTATATCTAACAAACTACCTATTCTGCTAACTGATGTGATTGGGACTGCCGCTGGTGGCCGTTTGATAGGCTCAAGTGACTCTGTGAAGCGGGCTTGTCTGCGTTGGAAATCCAACAGCCAGAGTAGAGATACTTTGAAACAGCGGTCTAACTGTAGTACAAGGTGTCATTTCCAGGCCGACGATAAGGCTACCGGCGCGTTCATCGCGCTGTAGCACTGGCTGCGGGGCGTCCTATTGCAGGACGCTGTGTTCTTGATGGTAAAGTACCCAGCGCATACTGTGTTCCGAGATTCAGTGTTCTGGTCGCCCCAGCTCAACGACTTTACTATCAGGGCCAGGGGTGCTGTACAGGAAAGCTTTGAGGACGATCGCATCACACGACTAGCCGCGGATGCGCTCCCACGTATGATTCGCACCGCCGTCAGGGACCTTTATTAGCTCTCGCGCCACGGGTTCGCTATGATGCCCGCTGATGACGAGCTTGAGAAGCAGTGGAGCTCGCAATGGCTCCGCAGCAAGAGACAGCTGTTCTCTGTACGGAAGGTGGTCATGGACGAGGTCGTCAGGCTCTCTAGCGTCCGACCGTAACCAGAGGAGGACCTAGTCCGGGAGGTCGAGAAGTAGCGCGTGGGGCCCAGCAATCTCTCGCTGTGTTCCGTTGAAAAGAAGCTGAAGGTGACCCGCAAGCCGTAGACGCCATTCATCTAGCTATCGGACCGCATATAACCAGTTCTAGTTCCTTAGAATCCATATGTACATGTGTATGTACAGTACAGTACATGCATGTGGATAGGTATGTTGTGGGAGGCCGCCCCTCTAATTGGCACTGTTGGCTCGGTACCCTGGATACCTAATTGCCTCGGTCTCCAACTCCCACCAACGAGGCACGGCCTTGGATTACACCGCTATTTGGCCACTTAGGATTACATATACAGTGACTCCCGTAGCCTTTCTACTCCCGGTCCCCGCTGTTTTGTCAATGATATCTACTGTACCGCCCTGGCTTAACCTCCCTCCGCACCTTGCATACCCACTCACTTCTTCCTTCCCTCAGGTATAGGGCAATTGCCAACATAGCCCTGCCTAAATATCTTTATTGAATCACGCTCCCGCCTTGACGATGGCGGCCCCAAACGCGAAACCGGAACAGCTACCAGTTGAGGCACTCAAGCCCCCTCATCGCGAAATCCTCATCCGTGCCGTCACCAAAGTGTTGTCAAGCCCGCTCGCGAAGGAAACATATGCACAGATCGTCGATGGGCTTCCCTTATCCCATGTCGCCAAGGATTGTTACCGGATCGACCTCTCCCCTCACCACCCACTGCTCGACGAACACAAAGAATTGTGTCCTGGTGTACTCGAGGAAGCTGAGAAGATGTGTTCCAGTTTTGATACTACCACTTTGCTCATGCCTTCAAAAGTAAGTGGAGAACCTAGATCGGAAATATCCCTCTAACACCATGCTGATGACCTATCTGGCTTCTAGCTCGTTCGTGACTACGAATCCGCCACTCCAGGATCCTCCAGCTTTTCTGTCACGCTCATCGAGCTTGTTGCCAGGGCCGTACATCAGATCGCTGCTTGGCTCTACTTGCAAGATACAAGCCGACATAAGGACGACACGCTGGGCAGGTGGCGTCCCTCGGAGAAAGCCAGGCCTTTCTATCCTCGCACCTTTCCCACCACTCTCTTTTGCCACCCATGGTATCGCGACTACGGCCAATACCCGAACGGCGTGGCCGACAGTGTTGGATACTGGGCCGAGGCTCGGGTTCTCGGTGGAGTTGTCCTCTTTGACAGACGTGACCCGGAGTCTGTGGAAGATGTAGCGGTAAGCACTAGTCTCAAATGTTGTTTGTTGCGGGTAAAATGCCACAGGCTGACTTGTCTATGCTAGCCGGACGCGGTGTATATTCATGCCGATAGGTTTGATGTCATATACCGCATTTGCCGTCTTCTTGACAATCAAATAAGCGACCTTACTGAGTTCCTCCTCTCCGATACCACGATACCGCCGCACTGTCCGCTCCCAGTCCTTCCCAGTCAGGCCAATCGCCAGCGGGTCGATCCCGAGCAAGCGATTGAAACTACAGGAATCTACCGGGATCCCTGGGAACGCCAGGTCCGCCCACTGGATTCCGGAGACGGGGATCAGCGGCTGAAAGACGTCGTGGATGAATTCAATTACCTTTCCCGTCAAGACTACAGAGAGGCAAGGGTGCGCGCTGAGAGGGAGCACACGAAGTTGTTTCTCGAGTATGTTCGCCGGAAAGGACCAAGCAATCAGCAACCGGGAGACTCTGGCGGTCAGCACTAGGGGGTTTTCTTATCGTTTTTGCTTCCGGGACGAAGTTGGAAGTTACCTAGGTACCTCTATATTTGCTGCGTTGTAACAAACGCGGACAATTTGCTATAATTACACTTAAAGAGTTGATTACGGTAAATCTCCCGGGAATTAGACAGCCTGGATTTCCCTTCGGTGGCGATCAAGACACAGCCCGAGTTCTTTGTCCATACATTACTAATACGAGAGCATTTGAAGTGCTACTTGCTCATTAACAAGAGAATAGCCTCGTTCTCTCGTGGATTCTTCAATTGTGTGTGTCGGAGATGCTTCGTTATGTCCCTAGGGGAGTGGAATTGGTAGAGAGCCCGGGAGGGTAGGACCTGCGTTGTCCTCACTGAGGAGCGGGCCTTCCTTGCGCTGGCACGCCAAAAAAAGTCGCCCCCGAAAGGAAAGCAAGAAGTCAGGCAAAAGGAACATATAAAGAGGAATCAAGAAAGATGAATAAAATAAAATAAAGAGGGTAAAATAATAGTAAATGGAGTAAACCCAGTCTCTTTGGGCTTCACGATGGCTTTCGTTTTGTTCCTCCAGTCGAAGACCCCAACTTTCCATGCACTTGGAGTTCGGCCTTTTTTGTCCATGACGTGGGCCTGAATTGTGCTCCACTCACTCAGTGAACCCCCCATGTCATGGACCCGCCGTCCCGGAACCATCGACCCACCACGTTTGTTTAACGGGAGCGTCCTGCAACCTTAAAATTCGTTCGAGTTGCACCTCCTCCAATGTCGCATCACTCAGCTCAATTAGGCGCGGCATTCCCACCACTAGATGAATGCCGTCACTCTTCGTGCCCGCCCGCTCCTCGCGGCACCGGATAGCATGTGAGTCAGACATCACAGTACCCTAAATTCAGATCCCACGACCTCCATCCTCCTAACCACAATGCTCGCCCTTCCCAGGCTTCGCTCTTTACCGTTCCCTCCTCCGCCAAGGCCTGCGCGTGCCCCTCCCCGATGAGCTATCGACCGCCTCACCCCTCGGCCCCGCCAACCCGATCCAAACCCTCATCCGCAACGCCTTCCACCGCAACAAGCGCGACACCTCCCCCCGCCTCGTCGTATCCGCCCTCAAAAACGGCTACCGCTACCTGACCCTCCTCTCGCGCGCCGCCGACGCCACCAGCCCCGAGCACGCCTCGGCGCTCACCTTCCTGCGCGAGAACCAGGCGCGCGTGGTCGACGTCAAAGCCAAAGCGGCCGACGCCGCCGCCAAGCGCATCTCGACCGCGCCCATCGCCGACCGCACGCCGCTGCTGAAGCGCGTGTCGGCCGACGGCGAGCCCCCCGTCTACGAGCCCGCCGCCCCCCCGCGACCGCTCGAGGCCTTCAAGACGGGCGTGCGCAAGCCGCCCACCCTGGCCGCGGCCTCGGGCGTGCCCTTCCTGCGCTTCTGGAAACCCCAGCCGCGCTTCCTGGAGCGGGTCGTGCGCCAGAAGTCGCAGCGCCGCGCGAAGCGGATTGCCAGGATACTGGAGATGCAGGGGGGCGAGGAGATGGATAGTGTGGTGGAGGAGGATCAGTGGGAGATGTTGGTGGCGAAGATGTTGGCGGAGGAGAAGGGGGTTAAGAGCGGGGACGCCGGGCCGACGAGGGAGGCGACGTACAAGCAGACGCTGTGCGATGCGGTGTCGTACTTGGCGGATATCGCTGAGAAGGAGAGGGTTGATCTTATGGCGAGGGGTGAGGCCATGTGGAAGATTGTGTTGACAGAGCAGGAGATGGCTTTGCAGGAGGAAAAGGACAGGCTTGCGCGGGAGGGGATGGAGGGAGAGGAGCCGCAACTCAGGGTGTGGAAGCGCCCGGTGCATAAGAGAGTGCCTAGGGTGGACCCGACAGACAAAAATGAGGGGGTGGAAAAGCTGAAGCTGAGCATCAGGCGGGTGCGAGTGGGCAAAGCAAGTCCCGGGCCTGGTTCTAGTGAAGGGGCACGGAAACAAACAGGGCCAACTCGGCAGTCGACGGAGACTGGAGCATCAACAGACACTGGACCGTCAACCGGAGTCGATTAGGCAACCGGGACCAAGCCATCAGATCAATCTTAATCTCGCCGACTCTTACAGCCATACAACCAGACGGCGGTAGAAGAGGGTTCGAGGGAAGGCGCCGAAGGAGTGCATTGCCTGCAATCGAAACATACCGTGCCGGAACAGAACAGCACATGTGCTAGCTGTATCGCTAATGTCCTTACGACATGACCTGTTGCCGGGAGTAGGGTATAGCAGTCTAGGAGATGGTTGTTTGTGTACCGGCTCGGCATAAGTACATCCTAAATGGATATACTGTGGCACAACATCTTCACCCACTTTGCCATTGTACAGTTGCTGTCAATATTGGAATCTCGTGAGATTTCCTGATGAAATATCACTAGTCTCAAAGGCAACGCCAACAAAACCTCTACGTAAGAAATGAACAACTCTCACCACCCCGCCGTTTCCCCCCATTCCTCCCCTTTGAGCGCTTGGCAACCTTAGTTGATAAGGTTCATTCCAAGAACACAGAAGACAGACATGGCCCGCCACAGACGGCCATCTTCAACAAGTGTGACTCGGACAGTTCGACCTATCTTCCTGGATCAGCATATATCGCAGACCAACCGAACACACAAAGTGGGACTTACATATAGGTAGCCACGGGTCAGTTAGGGGTCAGGGTGCCCGAAGTTAACGCAGCTAATACCACCCCACTTGTTCTGGGTGGCTTCCCACCATGCCGAGTGAACCATGCCATGGTTACAACCCCAAGGAGCATTGAACCTCCATGTGAGAGTGGTGGGAAAGCCGTCAATGGTGCCACAGAAGGTCCCGGTTGCACCACACGACGCAAACCGTTTCAGATTAGACCAGAGACCGCCACAGATGGCGGGAATATCGGACGCCGGGACTTCCGTGGCTTTCACCTCGTATTTCTGGTAGAGAGGAGTAAAGGAGTCATGGCACCAAGCATCAGCCGAAGCCGTGTCGCCAAAGGCTAGGACAGTGGCCATGACGAGGATGGGAAGGTTTGTGAGTTGCATCTTGAGGTTTGAAAGCTGGTTTCTTGGTTGGGTGTTGTGGAAGGGTACTGGAGAAGTATGCGGGGGCCGGGTTTGATGAGAGGGAGAGTGAAGAGTCAAGGTCAATGGGCCAAGGAGGGATTTTATACCCGAACTTCAACTCCTGGGCTTTGCCCTTGCCTTTGAAATCGTTCTGCAATCCCACTTCACAACATCGAACGACCCTATTAGGGACACCCCTTTTGAAGGGACCAGTCCACTCTCGGTTGCGATGCTTCGCCGCAATGTCCTAGACTTTCAACCTCAACATGGGCATGATGGACAAGCAACGCACCTCTTTGGGCAGAAGGAATAGGTGGCTGAAGATATTCTTACGTTGTTTGCATCATTCCACCTATGCTGTGGCCCTGTGGGATCTTGACGCTGTCAGCAAGCCATTTAACATTGTCGTCTAAGTCAACCTCGCCGTTAGCCGGCCAATCACCTGCCCAGCCAAGTATCTAAACTCTGGGCTATTCCGCGTCGGGATACAATATTCTCGCTCGTGGGGTCTAAATCTTGTCACTCATGGGGGCCAAATCCCCCGTCGGTGGGGGCCGAATCCTCCGTGATGCGATTCCGAAACCCATAGAGGGTCTAGGGGGTGGTTCGCAGGGTACTCGCAATCCAGGTCTCTAATTAACGCTCCTCCACAGCCACTCCTCTCCATGCGGACTGTATTCAGGAGGCACCGCCGCACCAGGGCGGAACGCTTCTCCCCCCCCCCCCCCTTCCCCCCGGGGCGTTCGGCGCCGTCCAGCTGTTTTCCATCAAGGCATTGTCCTGGGCTGACGAACCTAACATTCCGCCTGACACGCCGCGAACGTTGTTTCAGATCACTCAAGAAGCAAGAAGATCACTTTCAGTTTATGGGTTTATGGCATAACATATTTCTTCCTACCCAGGCGCAAACTATTAATAGGGCTGGGTGTCCTCGTCCTTCTTATGCCACTCGGCGGGATCGTCATCAATCATCAGGAGGGTAGGATGCAACGTGCTCGTATTGGCCGCCAGAAGAGCGTCCTTGGCTGCCTTGAGCTCGTCTTTGACTTGCTTCAGCTCGGTCTTGAGGTCCCTGATCTGCTGCCTCAGATTGTTCACCTCCTGGACCAGTGCGCACACCCGGTCCTTCGCCTTCTTCAGGTGGGGCTCGAGCTCTCTCTTGAGCTCGAGGGCCACGTCTCGTGTCGTCTTGTACACATTGCTGAGGTTCTCTGCGTGGATGCCCGCATCGATTTTGGTCGCCTTCTTGTAGATGGGCGGTTTGTCTGGGTAAGGATGCTTGGGGACGGGGGCTTTGGTTGCCATTGTTGTTGTGTCGACCCACTACCGGTGGATGTTGTGCTATGACGTTGTTAACACCTCTGTTTTTCTTGTCCAATTATTTGACCATTTCTTACCTCTTCGTGACTCCTAGGAGTGGTGGTGGGTGGGAGAAGGGGGGGGGGGGGGGGGGGGGGGGGGGGGTGGGGGGGACGGAGGAGATTCCGTCAGGTGAATGCTTCCTCAGCTCGCTGTTGTTGGAGTTAATCAATAATGGACCTCTTCCTCAGGACCAGACGTGGAAAGCGGCGGAAAGTGTAAGACACCTATTAAAGGCAGTGCTGGGCCCAAACGCCAACCAGTGTTGCCGCTAGCAAGCCTTGTCTTCGTCGTCCCGGCCCTCGTCAAATCCCATCACTCATGGACGGAACCCAACCATTCGCGTTTCGACCATGTGCGGCTCTTATGAAACACTCATCTGGTTCTGCTCGCATGTGCCGAGTCATGGTCCACAGCCACCACTCTAGCCTGCTTTGGGGCGGCCATTCAGCAACGCAACCCTGTCGCGATGCAACATGTCTGCCTGCCCGACATACGCGTTTTCGTGTGAAGCACATGATGCCGGAAAGGCCATGAGGCTCTAGGGTAGGTGTCATCCCCCTCTTCGCGATGGTTATCTGGCAAATGCGTTGCCGCCCGATGGCTCCGCTGAGCCCAAGCTGGAACCGTGTCAAATCCCTAGACCCAATGGTTTTGCGTGTTGTGTTGGGATTGCAGCGAATTCTTCTGATTGGTGTTTTCGTTCAAAGCCTCGTCAGAAGGGAGCGTGGATGTCTGGGGTGAACTCACCTTGGGCAGCCCTCCCTTCATTGTTGAGCCATACAAATTGTTTTAAAATTGATGCAGTCGTCAGGCCTCAAGGAGGTGCAGCACAATTACGCTTGCTAGCAGCTAGATTGTGAATCCAATGCATTAGGATGCCGTCAAGCAAATGCAGGGAAAGCTCTGGACTAACACTAAAAACCCCGCAGTCACGACCCAACCAGACACCTTCACCCGGCACGAGGTCCGTGGAATGTCACGATGCATGATTTGGTTATCTTTCTTGGCGTTTGAATAGGGTAACCCGAGCCTCACTCTCAAAAGCCCGGCGTGGGGGGAAAGCTGGTTGTACCAAAGTACCTATGCGGCTCTGCTTGTCTCCCTCGCAAGGTGAACGGGGGTTGTGCCAGGCCAAGGACTCAAACATAAGCTGGATCCTTTTTCTCGCAAACGTCTGCCGGTGTCTATAACATGCGTTGAGTCGAGCGTTACTCTGAGGGTCACCACAGTCACCTACAAGGACACAACCTGTCATCTTTGCTGTATCTACAGAACCTGTGCTGTATCGAGTGCGTCGGAACATCGGCCGTTCAAGATCGTTTATCGGGACTCGCTACGTTATCAAGGTATGTCCACCGCCGCCGTGACTTGTATCGTGAGCTGGTCAGCGTCTAACACACATACCTTAGCTCGAGTGAACGGATTTGGAAGCGGACTTCAAGATGGACTCAGTTCTCGGTGCCGACTTGATTACAGCAGCTGCCAGTGGCCACTCTGAGGTCGTTGAGCTCATTCTCGAAGAGCCCGGGGTTGATGTGAATGTGACCGACAAGGAGGGAAACACGCGGAACACGCCTCTGATCCTGGCGGCAACCGGTGGCCACGTGGAGGTAGTGGATCTGCTCCTCGAGAAGAGCGCCGACGTGAACCTTCAAGGTCACGACAATGTTTCGCCAATCCGTGCAGCTTTAGCTGGCGGACACTCTGAGGTGGCCGAACTCCTTCTCAGAGACCCCTATTTCGACATCCGCCGCAGCGGCTGGACGTCGCTCAACTCGGCTGCCTCGCAAGGTTTTGTGAGGGTGGTGAGGCTTCTTCTTGCTAAGGGGGCCAAGCTGGACCAGGGAGACAAGCACGACTCCACTCCGCTCTATCTAGCCGCCGCCAACGGTCATGCAAAGGTGGTCAAGAGGCTGCTCTGGGCGGCCCAGGACCAGGTCAAGGAAAAGGGTCTCGAGACGGTACCAGCCCTAGAGATACCGTCCAGAGGTGGCTTGACGCCCCTAATTGCAGCCTCGACAGAGGGTCACTCGCAGGTGGTGCGGCTGCTCCTTGACGTGGGCGCCGACCTTGACGCTATTGGGGATGAGAACGAGTCGGCGCTCAAGGGTGCCATCAAAAACGGCCACGCTGATGTCATCAAGTTGCTCTATGAGAAAATGAAGGAGATTCGCCGGCAGAAAAGCAAGACACCCACCGATAAAGCTCTGCCATTAGGCAGCTCCATCAAGGGGGGGAACGACAAGACTGGGGCCCTATATGAGAACGGGGAAGGGGGTGATAACACGGGAGAAGGTGAGAACGGGGGAGGGGGTGAGAACGGGGGAGGGGGCGAGAACGGGGGAGGGGGCGAGAACGGGGGAGGGGCCGAGGACGGGGGAGAGGGAGATGAATGAGGGAACTACCGAATGAGCAGTTGAAGGGGCCCTTGGAACGGCGAACAGGGAAACAAGAATGAGAGCGCGGAGTAAGAAAACTCTGGAGAAGGACCTTCCTCGCTTCGTATTGAACCCCTAGTTTCTTTACATCGATCTAGACCTGCTTCTTCCAGCCAACTGCTTATCACCCTCCTTCAATCGCCGAATCTCTTTTTCCAACGCATTCTCCAGTGCTGTTTTGGGTTTGAGCGAGGGCATTTGTGAGTCCTCGGTCATGACGCTGCTTCTCAGCTGCCCTTTGAGTCTCCAGACATCTCCAGTCAGGTCCCTACACTTATAGTTCAGCTCCCAGTTCTTTGACGTGGCGTTTTGGAGTCTCTCCGCCATGTCGCGATGTCGTTTATGCAGATTCTTGATCTCCGCCGTTAACTTTGGAACGAGGTCTTCCTTGTCCGCTTCGAGCGCCGTCCGCAGCTTAAAGGGTGGCTTCCCCCAATCGTCCAGGGGTATGCTATTATCCAATCGCTCTTTGAGTCTCCCGTTCTCATCTCGCAGGTCCTTGCACTCGTAGAGGCGCTCCCAGTCGTCGGATGCATTGGCGGCGAGACGGTCCAGCAGTTCTTGCATGAGCTTCAAAATGCGGTCGGCTCCGCATCGGAGCGAGTTGCAGATATCATGATTGCAAGGCCCTGATTCACACAGAGAATCCATCTCTGCAAGAGATCTATCAGATAGGTCCAAGGTACCTACATATGGCTGTTATTCGAGCTCTGAGTCTCCGCGGGTTTAGCTCTGGAGTGACTGTAACTTACCTCAGCAGGATATCTTTTGTTGCCGTGATGCGCAAGATGAATGTGGAAGACTTTGCGGTTAGGGTGGGAGCACGAACTTTCCATGGGCTAAGAAGAAGCGGGCTCTGCTGTCGGCTGTCCCACATCACTCGGCCGGGTCACAAAGCGGGTTGTGGGAGGGGAAGAGACTGGTTGGGCAGGAATTCATGTCATCACGAGCACCGCATGCGCCAACCAAACATTCCTGCCCAAGCATCAGGGGGTCAGGTAGGTGCCCCAGGCGCCAGATGTTACGTACGTACATGTAAGTTATGAGGCTCTTTCTTGCCTTTTGCCAGGGCAGTGATTGGTGATTGCAGTCCTGTGCACTCGGCCATTCCAGCCATTATTAGGTGTCTGATGATAAGGACGGTCGCCGACGTAACGGTTATTAACACATCAGCAAATTATCCGCCAAAACTTGATGTTCTGCCCTAAAGTACCTTACCTAGGTTACTCCTATTCTCTACCAGGCGTTTTCAAAACATTTCAACTCCCAAACACAACAGGGTCGCTGACCCAATATGAATGACCAAGACGAATCCGGGACGTCTTTGGAGGAGCTGGGCGCGGAAAGCGCAGATCCGGGTGCACAGTCCCGGCACCTGAACACAAACTACCATGCCGAGTATGTCTAGACTCTGGGGATACAGACACTCAGACCGTTCAAGTTATTAACACAATGGCTGTAGTGTGGTCTTGGTTGCTGGTCTCGGGGGTGACGCAGTTGGCACTTGGCGAGCGGATGACGAAGAGAAAACCGTATGGCCGACTTCTCTCCTGCCGCTCTGCATCGGCGATATGCATGTCCGCATCTTGACCTTCAGGTACAATTGCACCCTACAAGGTTCAGCGAGCGCAGCCAATATTCGAGATCATGCGAATGTGCTCCTGGTACACCTCGCCAACCAAAGAGAAGACGATGACGAGGCAAAATTGAGACCCATCGTCTTCGTCGGACACAGCTTGGGTGGGATCATCATCAAGCAGGTAATCAGCTGCCCGGTTGGCCCTTGTTCTTCAACTTCATACTAACGGAAGCATTAGACCATCACATTTGCTTACAAGAATCCAAGATACAAGCATTTGTGGGAAGCCAGTCGTGGGATAGTACGTGCTCACTTTGGCGGCTTTGATCAAAGTCTCGGTGGTGAACGCCAAGTTGATCGGCGTCTAGATGTTCTTTTCGACGCCTCACTATGGCATGTCCTCGGATCTGTGGTACAGCTTTGTCCGCTACGTGCTCCAGCTTGACGAGCCAGCCGAAGATGCCATGCCTACCAATGGTATGCTTGCCACCATCGGAGAAAACAGTGACGAGCTGTCAAACATCTCTGAAGACTTTGAGAGCCAACTACAAAACTTTAGTTTTGTCACGTTCATCGAGACGGAGCCCGTTCCGAAAATGAATTGCGTTGTAAGTCCAAACCTTCGGCAAACACGTTGTACTACGTGACCTAATCACCACACTGGGGGTCTAGTTTGTAGACAAGATTCACGGTCGAATGCGTGCGCCAACAGAGGACCATAGTTTCATGGAGGGAGACCACGCCAACATCTGCAAATTCGAATCCGATGACGCCGACCCGTTCTTGCCAGTGGTAGGAGGGATCAAAAATCTGATAAGGGCTAAAGCAAAGGAGATAGGTACCTAGGTAACCTGTGTCGTTTAGGGGGTATCAATGCTAACGTTCTGTTAGACCGCCTTGACCACGACGAGAAAAAGGCGTATTATTCGCTCGCCTCGGATGAAACCCACAGCTTCTTTCTCGACCGGAAATCTACTCCGGGAACATGTAACTGGGCGGACGACCAGCCGCGCATCCAAGCCTTCTTGGACGGCGTCCGAGGTCAAGAAGACCTGTGGATTTGCGGTCCGCCCGGTTGTGGGAAAACATTTCTGGCTAAACACATCATAAGCAAGTTGAACCCCCTGGATGGAAAGCTGTCAAAGGGAAGGAAACTGCCAACTGTCATCCACTACTTCGTCAGTGGCTCCCTACCTAACCGGGGCCATCTCCAAGGGCTTCTGCGCGCGACGGCGCATCAGGCCATACGACTTGAGCCGTCGCTGATACAACGACTTCTCCCATCCAGTCACCGAGACTGGCAAGTTAAGACGGCAATGACGAGGGAAAGCCTCGAAAGAGATATTTGGGCTGGAGATACGCTGAAGTCTGTCTGGCCCGATATCATGGCCGAAGTGGCCGAAAAACACGCCCTCGCGGTCGTGATCGATGGCTTTGACGAGCTGGATGTGGAGTCCCGTGATTCATTCCTTGACTGTCTACAGCGCCTTCGTGTACAGTCTGAAAGTCCAGCGAATTTGCGACTACTTTTCCTCTCACGCAACATCGACGAGCTCGACGTTGCGCCGGCCCACCAGATGGCGTTTCAACGATACAATATCGGGCTTGCTGAAACTGGAAGCGATATCACCAGAACCATCGACGAGGCCCTGGATCGTCTGTGGAGATCAAGGAGATTCGAACCCGGCGAGCTTCGCGAGAAGATAGGCAACCAGATCCATCTCCAATCGCAGGGGACATACCTGTGGGCGGCACTCCTTTCTCGGGACCTAGACCGCAACCGCACCATTACCTCTCCGGACCAGGTTGAAACAAGAATACAAGAGTTGCCGCTCGAAGCACATAGCATTCCGGGCTTGTACGACTACATCCTCGACAGACTTGCCACCGTAACAGGCGTCTCAGCTATGGTCCGGCAAGCTCTCCTCTGGGCATCCGTCCAAAAGGAAGGGCTCAAACCAGCGGAGTTCAACGTTGCGCAGGCCATCGGGCGGGCACTGGAGGAACATAAAGGGCAGCAAATCACGCAGGAGATGCTGAACCAATACCTAGACGACAAGATCGCCATGACCCTAGACTTCCACTGTGGCCACATTGTGAAGTTCCAGGATGGCCGCCTCGAGCTTGTTCACGGGAGTCTCAAGGAGTACATCATGCAGAATGGCATCCGAATAGGGGGTCCGGTTCCCCAGCACCTGACACCTTGCGGCACGATAGCAGAGCGTCTGCACGCCGAACTCGCTCGCACGTGCGTCGCGTACCTGACAATGCGACAGTTCCAATATTCGGGTCCGCGTCAAAACACCATGACGCCGCACGGCTGGCAGGCTAAAGTTCGTGCGAGACTGGATCGGCAGAAGTTTTCACGGTACGCCTCGCTGTATTGGGACGAGCACATTCGCGACGCCGGCATGCCATGGCGCTTCGAGAATAACGCAGCTCGCGCTGCGCAACAGCTGCTCAAGGACGGCAGGACAGAATATGCCAGGTGCTGGACCGAAATCTGGTGGCTATTTCGGCTGTGGCCAACAATACGATTCCCCTCAGCCTCAGTGTGCCCAGTCGAAGATATTCTCCCCCTGGATTCCGAAGATGGCACGGCTGCTACTACGGAATCAGCCTCGGAAGCAGTTGAAGATTTTGACAATGAAAGTGCTAGCATTGCCGCGTCGGAGGACGGATCGTTTGTCTCTGCAGTTGGCGGGAGGCCCATTGCGGGCCGCCCACCCCAAGGAGTCCCGTCGGGTAGCGGGGGCCTCGCGACCGAGGTCCAGTCAGGACGAGAACGTCCAAGACAGAGCACTAAACCGACTGGAGACAGACCAGCTCCCAAGAACCAGGAGCTTCCCATGACTACCGCCAGAGAACCAATGGAGCCAAAGCGCGACCTTGAGACCAAAATGCCGTCGACCCAAGCTTCAGAAGCTGAGACGGCAACTACATCTACCCCTGAAGTAGGAAAAGGGGACAAAGTTAACACAGCCGATAAGAAGGAGGAGGGAATTCCGCCTGCTCCGGCCCGAAAACAAAGGCTCGGATGGATGAAGAGGATGAAAATGGCGGGGGGGATCATCGGTACGTCCAAGTCTCGATTCCGTCAATATGTTGACACCCTAGACAGTCGAAGTTCATACTCATCATGATTCACAGTTGGGGGCTTCTTCGAACCTGCGGATGATAAATAACAACCATGTTCCGCATGTTTGCCGATGGAAAAGAAGAGTTTCGATAGCGGTCAACATTTCTTGTCAACTACATCACATTTCCACGATGACTTCTACCCATCTTGCTCAATCATAAAGAACGACATCCCAAATCGCCCAACCTTGCTAATTATTGCAACCCTTCAACGCCACTGTACTCCCCTGTTCCGCATCCCTCCCACCATCCGAGAGAGCCAACGCGGCTTCTTGGTCGCGCTCTCCGATTCGCGGTCAACAGTAACCACACGAGCTGGCATGTCCTTATGCAGTGACTGTGAGGCGTGGGCAGCAGGGACAGCCAACGGCACTTCCACCGCTTCGGCTTCGGTAGCGAGACCGTAGCATTCAGGGGGCGGGAGAAGAGGCTGTTCGTGGCTCGACATAATGGGGAGCAACCCCTTTGTGTCATTCCGGGTGGTTGCGACAAGGTCCGCGGGCTGCTGGTGAGTAGGCGCGTTGGTATAGATAGGCCGGCCCAGGATGTCGCCAATCCTCAAAATCTGGTTCTCTTGACCCTGCTGCCCTGGAACCTCGGCCTCGGGATCCCAGCGCGAGACTGTCGCGGGGACGGGACGCCTCACCTCAGGCTCGGTGGCCTGCCGGATTAACTTCCAAACCATCTCGAACTCCGTATCGCCTTCATCACTGAATTGACACATGGAGAGATGGTCCGCGTCGAGGCCCACCTCGTCCTGTTGGTGGCCAAACATGCGCGTGCTCATCACGGGCACAACCAGCTGGCCTGTGCTTTCCAGCGGCTTCGTCTCGTACCCCGTCTTGATGGTGTACTTTGGCGCGATCTGCACAAAGTCCTCGCTGATGTCGGTAAGGCCCCGGGCGTTCTGCGTCATGGCCTCGACGAGAGTCGACGGCCTGCCCTTGGCTTTGGCCGACACCTGTCCCAGCGCCTCGGCGATGGAGAGCCACTGGCTCTTGTCGGAGCCGAAGTGTGGAGTGCCAAAGAAGAGCTGCAGTGCGAATGTTAGCGGGGTGGCAAGATGGGAAAGGGAGTTGGCTTAGAACTGACAAGGCTGCGTGTCGCTGAAGCGATCATTTCATACTGGCTCTTATTGTTGGCATAGCACATGGCCTGCTTGACAATGAGTCCGCCTAGGCAATGGGCGAAGAAAATGACGGGACGGCTTTCGTCCAGGTCTTCTCTCCGCAGCCTGAGGTGGACAAGGAGTGCCTGGGCGTTTCCCCTGATGCCAGCGACGGAGTCGTTCTCATAGATGTCGCCGCTGTACCCGAAGGACAGGACTCTGATGCGTGGTTGCACCTTTGGTAGTAAGTCTCGTGGCCAGCAGACGCTACCTTCAGCATCAGTGTAAGTCCAGCTCCCGATGGGGTCGCCGTTCAAGCCATGAACCAGGACAAGACTATCAGATTTCGATTAGAAACGCAACCGCTAGGACGTACAGAGGGCCACATACTCTGCAATACTGTTTCCAGGGTCGTGCAGGACCTTCAATGCCATACTTTTCTTCCTGGGGGGCATGATGGTTGTTGTCGTGTGCGAGTTCGACTGTTTGTCCGTACGACGGAGTCAGGGGTAAGGAGCACTTGACTGCTTGGGCGAAGAGGATGTCTGGAAGCTGCTACACTCAGCTTGGAAACTCGGCATCCGAATATAATGGGAACCTAAATACCGAACGAGAAACCGAAAAGAAAAACTGTTACTGGTCCGCTCCAAGAATGGTAACTGGGGACTGCCCGAAGTCCAATCGTTTCCCTCCATCGAAGGAACAGCTAACCCAAGGACGGCCCGTGGCCCGTGGCAGACGACTACTTGTCAACGCCCGACACTGCAGGACACATAAGGGGCCCCGCTTGAGGCTCAAAATCCCCCATCTCTCCGCGCCCGAGAGCGGTAGCCTCGTTGGGCGCCAAACCAAACCAAGGAAATGTGCGAAATGAACCAGATGACTTGAAAGCTGTCTATCGTCACCGTCATGAACTATCCATTGAGCGAGCGACGGGTGGCAAACGGACATGGCTCACACTCACCCATCCATGCGGCTCAAGCCCAACTGCGCCTGACCGAGCCTCGGGGTACCGAGATACTTGGTACATGTATTATCTGTTAGCAAGCCGCCATCACTTAGAGGGTCAGACCAGTAATCACATTAACCTTACCTGTTTCATTTCATGCCCTGTTCTCTTCATCATCTCCCCGTGAAGACAGATATTCCAAACATCACAGCTCCTTTGTCACCGTCCATCCCTTCGGCTCACGTACCTTCACTCGATCATCATGGGCTGGGGCGGGATATCATTTCCTTGGAACCGGAAAAAGACATCGTCTCCTGCGGTAGACGACGGGAACAAAGTCCAAGAGAGCCAGGGAGATGTGCACCCCGAGAAGCTACCCGGCAAAGGCCAAGCGCGGCAGGCCACACTACACATTCTCAACCCCTCTGACGCCGAAGAAGCGCCCCTAGAGTACGTTTCCCACCACAGCATGAACCACAGTTGACCTCAACTCACTAACCATGGACCCTCGGGGTAGCATTGTGGCCATTCACGGACTGAACGGCCACTGGCAAAAGTCTTGGACGAACCCACGGGAGAAAGACTTCCTGTGGTTGAGGGACCTCCTACCGACTAAGTTCCCGGGAGCCCGCATCATGAGCTTTGAGTACGACGCCCGAGCCATCGGAGACATCTCCCCCGCCGGGGTGAGAGATCATGCCGCCAATCTGTTTAAGCTTCTGTGTAACGAGAGGGAAGACATCGTGAGTCCCGTCCACACATGGCTGAACCCCTTCTCCTGGTTTGTTACGCTGCTGAGATGGTGTACTGACGTCTCCATTCATGTACCCAGAAGGACAAGAACCGCCCCATCGTTTTCGTCGTACACAGTCTCGGAGGGATCATCGTCAAACAGGCAAGCCCGTTCCTACATTTCCTCCACCGAAAAAAACGATGAAACCAGAGCCTTGCTAACGCCAAGGGTGTTTCGTCTCGCACGACAGGCGTTGAAGAAGGCACACGACGTAGGAAACGGGAAGGCCAAGGACCCGATGCAGGCAGAGGCCTTGGACATTTCCAACTCGACCAAAGGGATAGTCAGTTCCCCCCAATCCCCCCCAACAATGACCATTATGTGTTGGACGCCACTAACAAAACGTAACACACACAGGTATTCTTCGGCACCCCGCACCGTGGCTCCGACACCGCACGGTGGGCCAAGGTCGTGGCTGACGTCGTGTCGACTTCCCTCCACCGGCCCGAGGGCGAGCTGCTCAAGGTGCTGCAGACCAACTCGGAGGGTTTGATGAACGTGTCTGAGGATTTCGCCCCGCTCGCGTCGCGCTACGCTATCGCGAGCTTCTATGAGACGAATGTGCATCCCGTTTTGGGGACCGTTGTGAGTTCTCTTTTTCCTTCGCGTGGGCGTATGTGTGGAGAGCGCGGTTTGTTGACGATGAGGGTTGAATAGGTCGTCGATAAGGCTTCTGCGCTGATGGCCTTGCCGCACGAGGAGACTATGATGCTCGGTGGTGATCACTCGTCCATGTGTAAGCTTGGGAGGAACGATCAGCGGTGGGATCCGGTATGGCGGGCGATTCGGCGGTGCTCTAGGGGAGTGAGTCAGTGAGGCAGACAGTTGGTGTTAGGTGAAGCAAAGGCAGGTGCGGATAGACAACCAGGTGACTTGCGCCCCCATTCAATAGAGAATAGAATACCTTATGAGAGGTTCCGGAACAAGTAAACTACTAACTTCCAACAAACTGCTCTCCGTATGTAAGACCACGCGAGATCGCTGACCAAAAGATATTAATACGAGAAGTTGATCATGGACATCACAGAGACGAATCCAAAGTCACCACCCTCTCCCGTTCCACTACTCAAGCACCCAAGCCATGCTTCACCGACTCCCAAAACGAATCATCAATATCAGCTTGCTTGAACCCCGGTGTCCGACCCAGGCATATCCCCCGGCTGGTCAGTTCTGCAGCACAATGTTAGCCGAGAAGGAACAACGATAAGTTGCGAGCACAAGAAGCACATACCCTTCACAAGCCGCGTGACGTCGAGCACCACCCGCCGACGGTTCAAGTCCTGAATCCCGTACCCTGCACTCCCCAGCACATCCGACCCCATAAATCCAAACGGAAGCATATCGTCCCCAGCACCCATCGACGACCCAGCCATCGTCGTGGCCGGCATGAAGGGATTGTTCCCCTGCGAAAACACGTCCGCAAGCGCAGGGTCCACCATACCCGCACCACCATCCCCCATCCGCCACGACGACCCCACCCCAGCATCCCGCACCCCCGACTCGCCCAGGGCTGACACCCCACTCCCCAGACTACTACTCCCCGGCGACTCCGGGCTCCCCCCAAGCAGATCCACCGTCTCAGCGCGCCACCCCGACTCGCGATAGGTATGCAGCTGGTCGACGTCCACATCAACCGTCACGACGTCCGACCCGGGCGGGATGACGACGCCGCGCTGGTAGAGGTACATCTCGGCCTCGTCGCAGTCAAAGTACTCGCCGGCGAAGCCGGGCAGGGCCATGCGCATGTCGGCGCGCAGGTCGCGGTCGCGCACGGCGTTGACCTCGGCCGAGAAGGGCCCCGCCGCGAACCCGGCCGTCTCGCCGGGCTTGAGCACGTCCGCCGTGCCCTGGTTGCCCATGGGCCGTCGCGGCGGTTGTTGACCTTGTGGTTGGTCCTGTGGTGAGGTTGCCGTTGTGGGGTCGTCGAAGTGGGTGCCGGCGCCGCCGAGGTTGAAGAAGGGGAATTGCCAGTTGAAGAGGGACTGTTGGGTGTCGCGGACCAGCATGCGCCGCAGCCGGCGCTGGATGGTCGCGGGCGACTCGAGCTGCAGGCAGAAGCCGAAGACGCGCATGATCAGCGCTTGTGGCGGGCTCGGCATGGTCAGCAGAATTAGGGCCTGCTCGAGTGAGTAGCGGTGCACGCGTCGGCCGAAGGTTGTCTCGAAGCTGGCGTACGTGTCTAGTGGGACTGGGGATTGGGAGAGGGAGGGCGTGGGGAACCCTGTGAAGATGGACGGGCTGGGGTTCGGTTGGAAGGGGAAGCTTGCGTTTTCGAGGGTCGGGTGGGTGAGGACTTCGTAGGCGAATGTGGGTAGGCCGGGTTTGTCTTGTGGAGGAAGGCTCACGAGAGATTGCTGTTGCTGAGCAAGTGTGATGGCGGGGTTGAAGTCTGCTTGCGTGGTCGGCTCGTAGGAGGGCATGAGCCCATCACGAAGGGTCTCGGGGGTTTCCTCCAAGCCGAGTTCCGAAGGGATTGTTGTTGCTGTTGGCGTCGCACTGTTGGATTGACCTGGAGAGTCGGAGCTAGCACGCCCATTACTGGGCTTTTTCCCCTCCGGGCTGCTCGTGATGCCATTTGGCTCACCATCCTTCGCAACATCGTCGCTTGCTTCTCGGGCAAGCGAGAGGAACCTCTCGGTCGTTTCTCGCAGCTGACGGCCGAACTCGGGAAGCTGGTCGAGCAAGCCGCTGCCGAGGGCAAAATCGTGGAGTTGCATAAACGCATTGCTCATCTCTTCATTGGTGTCCTTGAGCCCCTGGACCTTCTTTTCCAGCGTCTGAATAGCATTCTCCTTGCGATTCCGATAGGCTCGTTGTGCAAGACGAATTTGCGTCCGCCGCCGCTGCAGCTGGTGTCAGAGCGAGCATTACATGAAACTCCTCGCATCCTCGTGGGAGCGAGACTGACGATGCCATATGTCCTTGACTGTGTGGCAACGGGGTCAAGCTGGAGTCAACTCACGTCAGCAGCTGTCTCGTCCTTAGTGTCCAAACGCGGTCGGCCCCTTGCCCTCTTGCCCTCATCTTCATGTTCGGAGGCGTCGGCGACCTGTGCCCTTGCCCGTTTCCGTGGGCCATCTTCAGGACCGCGAGATGACGAGGATGCCTGCTTCTTCCGTGTCGCCGTCAACCGCCTCGGCGAGTCAAAAGCTGGACCATCGTCATAAAGCTCGGCGCTAAGGATAGGGAGGTCGCCCTCGGGATAACGCATCGGACTTGTCTGTTTTGGGTCTTTCCTGATATTCTCAACCATCCACGCTGTAGGTTGCGACCACGACACGAGCCTTGGCCACAGGTACACTCCCTGTTAAGCGGCGAAGTGAGAGCGACCCTCTCAAATTGCAGCAAGGAAACCGTTGTTCAATAACCGTGGTAGATATTGCAATTAAGCGACTCTCCAACTGTGTGAATTATCACTCGCAGGTAGTTGGAGAGTCGGTTCTGGGGACACTTTCTTCTGTCAGGGGGTGGAGTGAATGGTGAGAATTGGCGATCCGAACCTCTGCGGAGGTTGTTCCGAGGTGCGAGACTTGGCACTTGGCGATTTCCGCGTGCTTGCTTAATTTGCTCTAACTTGGAGGTAATCTGTGCCTCACTCGTGTATTTCTTCGATCGGCGTTCCGTACGACAGGAAGGTTTTTGGGGAATGGTGGATGTTCATCTGGTCGCCGGAAACTGAGGCATGTGTGCAGCATGTGTGTGAGCCGTTGAAACGAGAATTGTTGAGAAAGCAACTGTGCTTACTCATCCAGAAAAGCTTCGATCGAATCCATGCATCCTGCCAGGCTTGCAACTGCTCTGTAAAAAGAAGCCGGGGATGCCCTGGGATGTCGTTGCTGACAGAGGGGCGGGGTTTCTCAGCCAAGCTAACCGCATTCGACGCCTCTCTTCCAACCCGCGTTCGGTTCTTTCGCCTCCAGGGGGTTTGATTTTCCATGCATCGTCCAACATCTCTCAGCGAATCATCGTCAGGTCTTGACTCGAGACGTCATTCTGCTTCCAAAAACTCAAGCTGGGACCATCAGAATCGTTTGCACCCGACGGCCACTTGAAACCGGCTTCGAAGATACGAGCGTATTTCCACCACTTCCCTACCGTTACCTTTTTGAGGTTTTCCGGTAAGCCTGGAATTAAAAGTTGAGGAAGGGGGGAAGGAGTTTCTCTGCTCTGACGGCTGAAGTTGGAAACAAACGTGTACTAAGTGCAGGGGCGCACAACGTTTTGTCTACGGTGAGTTTACCCCACCCGGGGTAATCGTTAATGTGATGGATGGCGGCATGGAGGATGAGTCGTTAAGTTGAGTCGCCAGTGATCGCTTACACGGTAAGTAGAGGTAGTTAATATCCGCTTGATCAGGAATGTCGGTTGCGATGAGAAGAGAATCGAGCTCCACTTTGTCGAGGCATCCCATCGAGTCCACCCAGTGAAACAAGCATTGGCCAATGGACCCCGACAACCCTCATTGGTCCCGCATCCCCGCTTCCCTGCCGGGGCTAAGCCGCGCAGCAGGGCTGTGCTTCGGCATGCACCTCGCAGTCCCACCGCCCAGATTTCCTGCGCTCAGAAAAGTTACCTCAAACGCATTCGATGCTTCCATCTTCTTTCCGGGCTTCTTTCTGTCCTGGAAATCCCGGCTCTCTTGTGTTTTATCTTTTGTTTTCCGGCCCGGTCTCATGGCGGATCTTTATTAATTACACCAGTGTTCCGCTTCTCCACGCGTAATTAACGCCCCGAGTTCGTCCGTTCCCCAAACTCGCGTCGTCCCTTCTCTTCCCCACGGGGGACCCGCATCGGCCCGGCATGAGCGAGCTCGGTGATGGATGGCAGACGGTGATGCCGACGTCCCACGCCGGTATGAAGCGCCTGCCCCATTCGCAATTGGAGGAATGCGAACGCAAGATTCTGGAAGATTGGGAAGCGTCGCGTCACCACTGGTCTGGCTTGTAAGCACAATCATCCAAACTCCTACAGGTTCCATATTGAAGTAGCTGACCCTTACTTGATCAGAGGCAAGCACCTTCCCCTTGACGACTTCACCGAAGCAAGAAAGCTCCACGACCGACTCAAGCTCGCTTGCGACACACCACTCGGCTCCGGGAGTTTTGGCGTCGTGCAAAAAGTCCAGTTCCACTGCAACAACCGGTCAATATGTCTGGCGCGCAAACAGGTCCGGCCGCCATACCGGAGGTATCCCGTGTCCTTGTTGCGGGAGGAAGCCAACGTCATGGAAAGACTAGACCATGACCATATCGTGAAGTTGGTCGGGACGTACTGCATCCAGACAAGCCTCTACCTCCTCCTATGGCCGGTTGCTGTCTGCAACCTCGACATTCTGCTCAACGACATCGACTCCCTCCGGACGAACGACGGCGATCGCGACGACATCATCAACCGACTGCACGCGCTGGGCCTTGGCGACTTGAGCGCCATCGAGACGCCCCGCTCCGCTGCACGAACATCTGCCAACAACGACAACTGTCCCATTGAGTACCTCCGCCGAATCATGGGGTGCATCACCCGGGCCGTTGCGTATTGCCACGGCTCCAATATACGCCATCTTGACCTCAAGCCTTCCAACATTCTTCTGAACCCGGGCCGCGTCTACCTCGCCGACTTCGGGATTGCGAAAGACGTCCACGACCGGGAGAACACCATGACCAGGGGCCTGCAAGGAACCCCGAAGTGGAGGGCCCCGGAACTCCATCAGAGCAAGACCGACTGGTCCATGAAGGCGGCCGACATCTACTCCCTGGGGTTAATATTGCTCAATATCTTCACCGTGATATACAACGCGCCCTTGGACGAGTTCGACGCCATGCTTGGGGATGTGTCCGTGGATGGCAGGGCCGAGAAATTGGAAGAATATCTGCCCAAGCTCGAGGGTCTAGCCTTGGCATCGCAAGACGTGGATGACGCCAACGCCCCGACATTTGGTCCCAAGCACATTGTCGGCCTAGCCTCGAGGATGGTATCAAAGGAGCCGTGTTCGAGGCCGGTTATCTTCCAAGTCGACTCCGAACTTGTCGAACTTGGTGGCCTCGAACAGGTTTACCACTTCCAGTGCTGCAAGCGAAGCAGCCGATTCTTGACGGATCGCATGAACACCAGACTCAAAGTTGTTGCAGAGGAGCGCGACCGCCTCCGGGCGGAGCATGAACAAATGGCTAAGCGCCTGCAGGTCCTAGAAGCTCGGGATGAGACGTACGAGCGGCGCCTGGAGAACGAACGTAAAATACATGCTGAGAACATTACCAAACTGCAAGCCCAACTCGACAAGGAACGGGCCGGACGGAAAATGGTAGATGACCTCCTGGTCGAGATGCAGCAGAACAGTAAACAGCGCCGCCATATTGTTCACCAGCCATCCGCCAACTTCCAGCCCTCTCCCAGCATACCCGCTCCAGGCGGCCTGACGATGCGGGCGCGGCCCAGATCAAATCTACCCCCTGTTGCAGCTCCCCGGCAACGGCCACCTACGACTCAGGTGCAACAACCGAGTCCGGCCCCATCAGTCGGAGATAGCCCCCGGCTTAGCTACTCTCAGTGTGTCAAAGGCGCCGCCACTTCCCAGTCTCCCTCGTTGGCTGCGCCACTTCGACGGGACTCTCTCATCCCATCACCATCGCCATCACCGGGGATCAACTCCACCGCCAACCCCAGTCCCGAACTCGCGGGCTTCACGCTTCGGTCCCGCAAATCCGGCTCACGGCTACCCCTCGCCGTCAACCCTGCCACGCCCATCCGATCCGGCACGCCCATCATCCACCAAGACCTCTCGTCGACAGACAGCACTCAGTATAGCATGAGCGACTCCGTCTTCAGCCGCATGAGCCTGTCCAAGGTCTCCGTGGCAGGGACCAGCGTCGCCGGAACGCCGCCGACGACCCGTAGCCCCGCCCTGGTCAACGTGCGGAGAGACACCAGCCCGACCGCGGTACCTAAGAGTCCCCACTACGGAGAGCCGGGCCCGAAAACGCCTTCCGAGCCCGAGGTTCCGCACGGTCTGGGCCTCGGATTGACCGACCGAGAGCGGAGAGAGAGCATCGCCAGCGAGACAGGGGACGGCGAGACCAGCATCCGGGATACGGCGAGCGTAACCAGCTCGGCGGCTTTTCCGTCCGGAATGCTGAGCCCCGTGCTCAGTGGCTCTGCGCTGTCGTCGCCGAGGGCTGCGTATGCTTCGGCCGACACCGGGCGAGGCGGTGTGGGCGTGCCGTCATTGCCCACGGCTCAGAGTTGGGCGGATGTTGCGCGCCGGCAGAGGAAGGGTTGAAGGGTGGGGTTTGGTCGGTGAACGGGTAGGAGTCCAACGACGACTGCCTCTTTCACGCCATCACCCCCCTTTCCCGAGATTAGCTTGGTTCAGCGGCATGCTATCGCCCTGTGCCATGCTATCGCCCTGTGCCATGCATGATGCCCGCGCTCTCGACCCGCACCACCGCACGACCACACCGAAGCGAGGTATGACATGGCATGATGGCTTCAAGCGGCCGCAGCGCCCCAATAGGCATGGAGTTCGCCAACATTTTGTGGTATGAATCCAGAGTTGTATTCTCACATGTCCCGGGGCGCGGATGTCTTCTAGGAAGGCCCCCGATACACGAAGGTATCGTACATTATGTCAAACAGCTGGGGAAGGACAGCACCGCGCCACCAAGGAACACACAAGCACAAGGCAAATGCAAGTACTTTTACAGTGAGCATCTCCCAGGAGCCATCCATCTGCCTACGGAAGATGGAAGACAAGGAGGAAGTCCAGGCGGCAACATTTCTGGAAATGAACGATGAAATTCAGATGCCGATAACTACAGGGCTTAGCTAGACAAAGTAAGACAGACAAGCAATACCAAGCCGAAGATCATTCAGCCTGTGCTGAGCCCAAATCGGTGGCATCGGACAAAGTAAAAACAAAGCCAATTGAGCGCGGGACACGCAATGTCGATTGTTTCTCCCTGTGAGATGTCCCCAGAGTTATCCACTGATCGCCAAATAGTAATGGCTCCAATCCATGTTGAATAAAAACCCTGCTTTTTCCTAACCTTCGCCTATGTGGCTCAATGCTCGGTTTTAGGTTAAGGCACTACCTACTGTAGAGCACGACAACGTAAAGTAGCATACCACTATGCCTATCCCCGATTATTTTACGGCGAAATGTTGTCCTCACATCGACAATAGCAGCATTGAGTACGTCGATCTAGTCAAGTTGTTAGCGCTGTCTCCCAATTTCAGGTGCAAACCAACCCCCGACGACGACCCAATTCCCCTTGAAAAGCTACAACCATGGATCGACATGATGCGCGAGCTGCTTCTCGAATCCCACCTATCTCTGGGCGTTATCGACAAGCTCATGCTCATGTACGTCCCAAGGAAGCACCACCACGCCATTGGCTACGTCCCGCTGGCCAAAAGACGGCGCACTTTCCGCCAGTTTCCCAAACTCCCCGCCCATACCAGAGCTACCATCTGGAAAATCGTCGCGGAACGCCCCCCTCGAGTTCTATTCTGGCGGAATGATTACGATAAAGGTAGGCCATCACTCAACTCCCCAGCCAAGATGCCGACGGCCGCTAGGGTCTGCAAGGAGGCCCGGGACGCCATCACTCCTACGGGAGGCTACTGCGATATGCAGTGTGTAGGCGTTTCATCGGCTTACCGACCCTCGAGCAAGCGAGCCCGGCCGGTCTGGGTCTCGGCCAACGACTTAGTCTTCGCCCTAGACGGGATGAATCATGAGTCTGCCGGTTCCGAATCGTGGGTACGCGCATACAACTTTTTGCGTTCTCGGAAGGAGATTGCAGTGGGTGAGACTTTCGCCGTGTCCAGTTATGATCGTCTGAATGAGGGTTTCGCGTTTCTGCGCGACATGGACGCGCTGGACACGCTTGTTTGCGTCATAGCCGCGCCAGAAGTCTCCATCTGGACGGACATCAATATCAAGGAGGCCGAGAGCCCGAGGTATGGGATCCTGGACACGGAGGTTTGCGTCATAGCCGAGCCAAACTTCACCTTCTGGACGAACAACGATGATGAGGATTCCGTCCAAGGAATGACAAAGCAGCAGATCCGAACAACCAAGCTTTTACAGAAGCTTGTCCTGCCCGAGGACCGGGAGGAGTTGGAGAAAATGGACGCGCTCTGGCGGGGCGTCGGCCCCGAGTGGCGTTGGCTTTCGCGCCCGAACGCCGATCTGCTCCGCGTGAACCAGGCCGCGTACGCGCCCAAACTGGTGTCCCGATGTATCGACTGCCAGATGCGGGACTGGAATGACACAGGCATGGCCAAATTCCGGACGGCCTGGTTGCGTTTACTCTACGGAGACCACCGTGACGTTATCGACGACCGGGACATCTATCCAAACAGGCTTCGGGGCGAGCCCGACCTAGAGCACCCCTGGGTGCAGCAGGCGCTCGCCCGCATGCCCAAGCTGAAGCCAGCGGTCCTATTGACGTTCGAAAAACGCCCTCCGAAGTATGACAAACGGGGTCAATACGCCAACCACATGGATCGAGTAGGACACGACTAGCTGCAATCTCGTGTCGCTTTTGACTTTACCCTAGCACTTGGTCGGCCAGCCTCTTGGTGCCGGGTAGGCCGCAGAATAAGACCCGGAAGCGTTTTATGGGGGGGAGGAATCCCAACAAACAACAAACCCCATGTGAAGGGGCTTAATTTCTGCATACATCAACATGGAGACAAACGGCCGAGGGGCGGTGGGTTGCTGCACATCCCAGCCATAACGATGACTAACGGATAACTAGACAGCGGCTCCAGCTTTTGCTTTATGTGAAAGTGGTTCGATAAATCGAGGAAACCAAGTCCTTCTACTGCCGTAGACTACCTACCTAGCAAGCAACTCATCTCAACCACGGTTTCAAGGCCACGAGATAGTGACCTTCATCGTAATCACCCGTACAAATACTCATTCCACACACCCGTTTCAAAACCCCCTTTGGAGATAAACAGGGCATGGACCACATGGTGAAATCCGAGGCCCTTCGACTGTACGTTTGTCCAAGTTTAGGTAGGTTTCTTATCAATGATGTCTCAGTTAAACTCCGCCTGATTTATGTAAACAGGCTCTGTCCCGCTTTCCCCCATTTCTGAGACTTCCTTCTCTTATGTATGCTATGGTGCAACTTCTTGTACAACCCTGAAGAGTATAATAAGCGGAAACATAACCGAAAAGTCTAAGAACGATGGAGGAGAGCACCAAAAAGGGGCGCATACAGACCGCGGACGATTCAGCGATTCGCCACTTCACTGCTTTCTAAATATATTTAGAAAGATTAAAATTTTCATCTTGTCACGTTCGTTGTTTGCGGACGCGTAGCTGAGACCGGTGAGCAACGTGTATGTTGACTATTACGTGACCCCTTTACCGAAGTCGGATGGGGCAACCATCAGGGGCTCGCTCAGGGGTCAGGGGCTCAGGGGGAGGCGTTGTGCGACCCCCGTTTCCGGCCATACAAGGTTTTGCTTGGCCGCGTTTAAATCAATGGTCGGCTGGTGTAGTGGTTATCACGTCTCGTTCACAAAGTTGAATAAATGGGTTCTTCCCACCGAGAAGGTGCCAGGTTCGATCCCTGGGTCGATCAGCTTTTGCTCCCATGTTCCACTTCTTTTTTCCCCTTTTTACACCCCGGAAGAAATGAAGAAAGATTGCTAACGGTTTGACGTATGTCGTCCTACTGTTTTCCTATTTTCCCATGTCCACGCCTACACCTTCCTATCGACCATTCTGGCTTTCAACCCCGGGGCTCCTCCACCCACCCAGCCCGCTTCAGATTGTCATCCTCGCTGCCCAACATTCCCATTCGTCTCAAGCGCCCGCCTCATCGCCTAGTAAAGCATTACTCTTTTATACCATACTCAAAACCTACCTACATAACCTATGCTGCCGCTCTAACCCCCATCCCGCCCCAATGCCAATTTCCACTAACCTGTTAACACAATGCAACATGGCGATGAGCCCGTACAAATGCTCCTTGCCAATGTCTGTTCTCAGCAATACAGCGATACAACATATTCATCATTAGGCCATTCCATGCTCCCCTCCAAAGAACCTGTTCAATGCCTATACCAATCCGAGCCGCCGGCGCTGCGTTCCCCACAGCCACCGGCCCGTGCCCACCAGCAAACCCCGTGCCCACTTCCCTTTCTTTCCTCACGCGAAATAGCTCTTCCAGAGCACACCCTCCAGGTCCTCAAGCTGTTCACTCGTGAAATACTACACCCAGCACAGGTTAGCAACAATCTCTCGTATGCACGGGGTACTGAATGCCGGTCATGAGGGCAAGAGCGAGAATTAAAAGAAAAGAAAAGAACATACCTTCTGATCCACCCCCCAACTATCCTGCCTCGTCTTCTTGAACTCCGCCAAGATCGCCTTGGTCGCCTTGCCCACCACACCGGGGTCATTAGCCGCGCGCGTGGCCAAGCCCGCCAGGACCTCGGGCATCCACTTGGGCGGGGGCGTAGCGTAAGGGAACGCCTCGATGAGGGCGCCCAGGCCCATGACGGCGGCGTGGCGGCGCACGATCTGCTTCTGGGTGTCGACGGGGGTGTCGGTGCCGGGGACCTTGCGCTTGGGCATGGGGTTGAGGCGGAGCTGCAGCTCGAAGCGGTCCTTGAGCTGGTAGATGATGGGGTTGCGGAGGGAGGCGGGCGAGCAGCGGATCATGCCGGCGAGGGTGGCGCTCGCGCAGTCGCGGACCTCGAGCTGCGGGTCGGCGAGCATGTCGCCGACGGCGTCGAAGAGCATCTGGCGCTGGGCGGGCTGCGTGAGGAAGAGGCGGCGGAAGTAGACGACCTGCATGTTGACGAGGGCGCGCAGGCGCTGGTGCCACGACGCGGCCGTTTTGCCGACGCGGATGAGCGCGGCGATGAAGGCATCGTCCTCGCCCGATCGGAAGGGGATGTTGGGCAGGTGCCGGTAGACGTGGTAGGCGAGTTTCATCAGTTCCGGGTCCTCCTTGACGTCCATCATATGCAGGAGCTGGTCGATAAAGGGGTCTGGGAAGAACGGGACCAGCTGAATGCATTCTTGCGACGAGAGCGTGCTGTCGAGCCAGGTGAGAAGCGTCTTGGAGCCGGAGGTGTAGCTAGAAGGGGTTTGTTGGCCCGGGGTGCGCTGGTGGCGCCACTTCTCGATGCGGGAGAAGACGTCTCTGATGGTGGCTGTAAATTCTTGTGATGGTTGGTAGGCCCGGATGCCGATCGGGGATTCGGCCTTGTTCTGCTCTAGCAGCGTCGAGACATCCTTGAAAGACTCATGGTACCGGGTGCGATAGACGGTGGCGACTATTCTACCGATCGACTCTCTCACCGACTTGTACGGGTGGTCGATATGAGTGAGGCAGTCCTCAAGGATGGGCTTCTCCTTGCGGAAGTGCCAGCCAGCATCGTTAATGATGATTTCGATGAGCTTAAGCTTGGAGGACTCTTTGAATGCGGCGTTCGAGCCCATATCCAGCCGGAATGATGCTAAGGCTTCGGTAAGCTCGTGGGATCGTCGCGGATCTTTGCCGTCGATTATAAAGTGGAGGCACGCCATCCAGTAGGACAGGTTGTCGGGCGTCAAGTCGTCTGCAATGATCTTGAGCATCATCGGCGCCGCGAACTCCCATACCTTGTCCCGAATTTCCTTCGGGTCGTCGGCACTTCCCGTAAGCAGCGCGCCGAGAATCTCGGCAGTCGCCCGGTGCTGGTGCTTGTCGCTGCCATCACCATACAGCTCCTTGGCCATCTCCACAATGTCGTCGAACGTGGCGGCCGTTTTCCCATTGTGCATTAGGTCAAACACGTTCATAAGCAATACAACGTTTTGCATGCGGAAGCGGTCCGCAAAGGAATCTCTCGGTTCCTGCTTGAGGTACTCGAAGCATTTCTTGAACCACTCTTTGGTGATGATCTTTCCGATCTGCTCGCGCACCCGGGTTTCGACCTCGTCATAATCCAGGAACGGCTTCGGATTCGCGCGGGACACGATGAAGTCCTTCCCCCACACGAGCCAGCCTGGGTGATCACAATCGACGAAGTAGTTAACCTCGTCGTGGTTCTCAAACTGGGCAAGGAACTTCTCCGTCACGCCAGGATCGTCGGTTGGCACCGCCATCTGGAACTTATTCTCATCCTTCTCTTCCTCGGTGAGGTAGTTCCTGTAGTCGTGGTCGTAGACTGCTCGCATGTCTATGGCGGTAAAAAGCGCAGAAAAGGCAGAGAGGTAATTCGACCGCAGGCTGGGATGTTGGTCGTTGGCACCGTTGGCGACGAGGTCGATGAACTGCTCATTGCCCAGAGTGTCAAACCGCAGGGTACAGTTCAGAGCAAAGATGGTGCACCTGTTTGCGACCTTCCAGTGAGACTCGCGCGCCTTCTCAGTTAGCTCCAGGCCGAGCGCGGCTTTCTTCTTCTCGACCTTGGTGCGGCGGTCTTGGATGAAGTCGTTGCGGCGTCTGATGGTGGCCGAACAGTCTTCGCTAGGCCGGATCGTGTCGACGATCTTTTGGTCAAAAATGATGATACGCTCGAGCGGTTTGCCAAACTCGAGGAGAGGAAAAAGAGCGGACGACCCGAGGTTTTGGATCGATGACTTATCAACGCTGGCGGTCTGGATGTACAGGCGCATGAGGTCTGGCGCAAAGCGCCAGTCTCGCATGACGGTCTTGATTAGGGTTGTGAACAGCAGGGTGTACATGGCTCCCTTGATGCGGTCATGGTCGTTCTCCTCCAGCGCCTTTCGTAATCTGTCCAGGACGACGGGAATGACGAGCGGCCTTCCTCCGAGCAGGACCTTGAGGGACGAGTCTTGGGCGCCCTGGGCTACTCGGCGCACATCGGAGTATGAGGAGGTACATGATTCGGCAAGGTCAAGCAGCAGCTGCTTGTCGAGTTCGCTCTTCTTGCGGTATGCCGAGTTGTACTTGACGCGCTGAAGCTGGTAGGCATCCGCGCGCTTTATCAGCAGCGGCCGGGGGTAAACCTTTCGGAGTCCGCTGATCTTGAACGGAGAAATGTCGGCCTTGTACAAACGCACAAGGTGTTCGAGCGGGTGAGCAGACCGTTCAATACCCACATCCGTAATCCACGTCCTGTACGTGGCGTACAATGCGGTAAAGCACGCAACATCGTCCTCTTGACTTGCGTTCAAGAAGGCGTGCGTGCGCGAGAGAACCCTGCCAACGTCTTCACGCAGGCCGTGGATGCGCTCATAAACCGGATCTTCCGGGCTCAGCAAGTACCCGGCCGGGTAATGGAATTGTCGTTTCAGTTCGTCATCGTCAGCAACCTCAGCGAGGGGGTCATCGTCCTCTTCCATCATCATCGTATCGCCATCCGCGTCATTCTTGTCATCCCGGTTGGCACCTTGGCCGTTCCTCTCACCAGATGCGTGGAGTGGATCGAAAAGAGTGGCGACACCGGAGATGATCAGCCGAAGCGCGGTCAAGCTCCGTGATAGCTCGTCGGACCACTCCTTGTTCTTGCCCTTCCTACTGACGGGCGGATCTTCGCTCATGAGTTGCTCGAGCCTCTGAGCAGCGCTCCTGGCCTGGCTCTCGAAGAGCTCGACCGCAAACAGGATCTCGGCCTGCGAGGGACGATGCCACTTGATGGTGAGCTCGGACGGGGCAGTTGTGCGACCCCAGTCATGGACATCCAAGCCGCGAGCGATGTGGTCGGGCTCGTAGAGGGCGTTGTCGATCGGGTAAGTGTGTGTTAGGTTCAGGAGGAGGTGGTGGATGTAGTTGGAAATGTGAATGGTAGGCAGTCCGCGACACTTCTCCTGCATATACTCGGCAATCCCAAAGAGTTCGTCTTTGTATTTCACGACCTCGGCGCCCACGTGGACCACGCACATGCTCAGCATGCTCACGTGCCAGACAAGTGCGCGATCCCGGGGAAGCACCTCGGTGCCGCTGCTGCGGTCTGACGCTGCGCCGTTGTAATCGATCTCGTTGCGAATATTGACCATCAACATCGGGATGAAAACCTTCATAGTTTTCTCCGGGTTGACTTTGCACAAGGCGTTGCAAATCCATGCCATCGCATCCCGGGCTTGGTGGACAACGTGGCTGCTAACGAAGGCGGCCAGCTTCTCAAGTGCCATATCGAAGAGCTCCGGCGATAGTGATGCGAAAAGGGGCGTAAGCGCAGCCGGCAAGGTGTTGATGACATTCTCCTCTGGCGAGCCCGTGCGAAGGAGGCTCGGATCCGGCAGGTTCTCGAGCAACGCAAACACTTTGCCCAAAAGAGCGAGTACGAACTCGCCCAGCCCGGCAGTCGAAGAGCGGAGAACATTGGCCTCGTCCTCGTCCGTCAGCTCCTCGTCATAGCAGATCTTGACGTCCTGCCCTTCGCGCTCCATCCTCTCCATCTCGGCCTGGACCCAGTTCATGGCGAGGCTCGTATCGTGGATTTTATCGTCCTGGTGGGCCAACGGCACAAAAGGAATGCTGTAAGCCACACTCTGGATGAAGTAGAGGGTGTAAAGCGTCTTTCCCAAATCGTTCGCATCAATACCGGGCAGGGCAAGCGCCAACAAGGCGGTGATGTGGCAACGGTACCCCTTCTGCTTGGACATGATGTTGGCAATCATCTGGAGGCCGCAGAGACTGGACGTCGTCCGATGGACCTCGACGAGCCCTTGTAGGCTGGGGTAGAAGCGCTGTAGCGCGCCGGGAAGCATCAGGTCCGGTTCAAGGTAAGCGAGGCCTTGCAGGGTGGAGTAGTAGCAGTTCACCACCTTGGAACTCTTCGCAAAAAGGCCCATAAAGGTCACCTCCTTCAGGGCGAGGACGAAGCGCTTCTTCAGTTCGTCATTTATTCGGCGCTCGGGGGGTACATCGAGCTCGCCACTCTGTTCGCGATTCCAGCGGGACACGAAGATGTCGGTTAGAAAGTAGGTAAGCTGGGCTAAGAAACCGGTCCATGACCCTTGATTGGATGGGTGGAAGAAGGTGTCGATAGACTCCATCAGGCCCTCAAGGTTCGCCAAGATGGAGCTCTCTTGCTTGAGGCAGAGGGGAGACAAGGAATGTGCAATCCACCGTGCGATCATGTACGGTACCGGGTACTTTCTCGTATCCTTCTCCAGGAAAACGCCCGAGCCGGCGGCATAATCCAGCGAGGTATACGGGGAAGTAGCCTGGCCGACGGGAATCTCGGTCAACCGTAGGATGGCCGTGAAGATGAGGTCCGACTGCTCACGAGAGAAGATGCCATGCTCCGTGAAAGGCACGTGGGTGCAACCGAGGTAGTCCCGGGACATGCGCGAGAAGATGTCGATAAAGCAGACATCAAAGGTCTTGGACCTCGTCATGAGGGACCATAGGTGGAAGAAGGTCGGGAAAAAGTCAGATGGCTGGGACTGGGGCTCGGTAGGGGGGGCGGGGCCGGTAGGCAACATGGCGTTGAGGGCGCTGACGACGATGTAGGCATTTGACATGGCCGACGTGCTGAAATATGGGAGAAGCTCCTCCAGCACGGCGCGGCGCTCCTTGGGATCAAAGTAGGCGCTTGCGTGGAGGCAAAGCTTCACGAGGTGCTTCGATGACCGCCTACGCGACCGCTGATGGGAAGCCATCTCCGATGGCAAAACCAGCGCCTTGAGCTCTGTCCAAAGCGGCCGCCAGTCGAGAGTGAGATCCTCGCCGGGCTTCAAGTAGTGCTTTTTCCTGCAGAGGGGAACAAACAGTCAGTATGCCAAGCCAGGTTATTGACGGCGGAAAAGTCTCGTCTAACCTTGTCAACGTGATGACCATGCGGGAGAACCGGTCGGCCGTATTGCTGTCGAGCCCCGGGGCCAGCGCAAGATGATAGTACAAGCGGGCTAGCCGAGCGCGCAGCTCTCGCGTCATCTCGAACTTGAGATTCAGCCACCCTTGAAGTTCGCGGGTCCAGTGGAGGGCACCGGGCGAAAAGTCTTCGGCAGTGATGGAGATGAAAAGATTTTTGAGAATGCCGCGGAGAGCAGCGTCCCTATGCGAGTCATCCTCGACGTCGAAAGGCAGCAGACAATAGTAGCTGAAGGTGCGCGGCCGGTAGCGCTTCTTGTCATCTTCGTGCTGGTGCTCGCCGCAGGGGAAACCGGGAGAAGTCGCCCGGGAGATGGTCTCGACGGAGGCGAGCAAGCCCGAGAGGAACGGAGGAGCAGCTCCGCCGGCGGACGCAGCAAAAGCTGCGTCAGAGCCCGAATGTGTTTCTAACGACTCGTCCATTCTCTAATATTGTGTCCTCGAGGCAGTGGGACACGCGGTTGCGCTCGGTCTTGGTTAGGTCGGCAGGGTTGCTCCGATCCGAAGACGCAGCGACCTCGGAACTGGACAAGGTTATCGGCGAAGGATGAGTTCGTCGAAGATGGAGACGGGCGGAAGTCTGGCTGCGGCAAGAGCGGAGCTGGATTGGATGTTGCGGTCAGCCTTCTCGACCATTTCGCCCCCCGGAGGTAATGGTTGTCGGTTGTAGCGGCAGCGGGGTGCTTATTGCTTGCTTGCCACGCGCAACACAGGTTTGTCTCGGCGATCGGTAGACGAAGCCACGGAGGCTAGGATTTGCTTAGACGACACACGATCCTAAAGCTAAAGATTATTAGTGTCTTGTGTTCAGGATGTCGATGGAGAGGGAGCTGTTGGTTCAAGGAACCTTGGGGTCTGGAAATGCAACGCTAACCTCGCGCGGGGGAGGAATCGCGGGAGCAAGCAACAACTGAACACACCGTCATGGGGGGGGATCTGCAAACCACCTAGCCGACAGAATACACTGCCGCCGAGCAGTCAAGCGGCGATTATTTGAGCTCCTGAATATAGAATTGGTTCCCAAGTCCCAACTTGAGGCCTAATACAAGTAGCAGAGATGCCGGAGGCGTGCCGGAGCTTGGAGGGAGGTCTGTAACCACACTGCAGCGCGCTGGAACGGATCCGTCAGGTCGTTCGAAGAACTCCACGGCCCGCAAATTTGAGCCAACCAGAGAGACAGCCTCAAGCTTGGCTCATCGGGTTTGCGAAACAGGGGTGGCACTGGCCGTGTTCTGATGCCGCCGCAAGCAGGGGGTCGCGCTCCAGCTACTCTCGGCTCGGGTGGCTTGGGCTTGGCTCAAGGTGAGGAAGTTGGGAAGTTGAACCTGAGAGGGCCCAGTTGCGGGGCACCGGGCTTTGGTTCAAATTTAATGCCTTGCTGAGGTTTGTTGGGTGGCTAGGTACCTGGTAGGTAGGTAAAGCTAAAGATAACGAGAAACAAAAAGCTGGTTAATGGTGCATGAAGTTGAGCCCTAATGTTGGAGGAATAGGTGTTGCGTGTAACGTCATTCAAGAGTTTCCGTGATTCAAGTTGCTCGACCGACGATGCCACAGACCAGATGGACGGACAATACCTAACCGAAAAGTCAAAGGTGTTCCGGAATCCACTCCGAGGTATTGAGCATGGTAGGACGGTTCCGGCAGTTCTTATGCAGGAAGCCGTGAGCCTGCCCACGCACTCGCTTCGGCCTGGAGGCACAGGCACCCAAACCGGCAACGCAAGCTTCCAGAAAGGCGACACACGAGCAAAATCCTAGCCAATCAGTGCAGCCGCGGTGGGTCCACCCAGTGCAGTTGCACCAACCGGTTCACTGCCGCTGAACCCGAGACCACCGAAAGCCTGTGGAGAGAAATCCATATTCACATAGAACTTCCGTACATTTGCAGTCCAGTTTGAGGAGAGGAGTTGAGAAAGAGGGCCACAACGGCCACATTTGCGAAAGGTGGGCATAGTAGAATCGCGTATTTGATGCCATCTGGCCAAACATACCGAGGTTCTACGCGCCTTCCCAAGAAGCAGCCTGCTCTATCGCTCAGAAAAACGAGACAGGTATTGCATAATTCCATACAGGTACCTTGAAATTCACGCAGAATTAGGTAGTACTCAAGTCACTCATAGCCGTCGTGTCCCCAATTCCACAGTTTCCACGCATCAACATGCCATCCATCACGTGGAGGCCGCCCTCTCTTTCTTTCCAGCCTGTTACCAACAAATAGCCCCGAGTTAATTATTCAGAGGTGGCTTCCACCCTCCCAACTTTCTCTTCGCATTTCTCTCCAAAACTAGCCTACACCTAGGCCGACCTAAACCCAAGTTCCCCATTCCCACAAAGCGACACACCCCCAATCCACCACCCACATCCCCAAGCCTCCCGCTCTCCAGTCTCCACCCTCTCAACAGCCGTAATCTAAGAGGAAGAAGAAGAAGAAGCAGAAGAAGAATCCTGACACACCGCCTCCAACCGCCACCCATCCGGATCAACCACAAACGCAGCGAAGTAGCTCGCGCCGTAGTGCCTCCTCACCCCGGGCAGCCCGTTATCAGTCCCGCCCGCGCCGGTTGCCTGCGCGTGGAAGCCCACCACCGCCATGCGGCTCGGCGCGTCAAACGCGAGGTGGAACCCCGGCCCGGGCGCGGCCGCCTCGGACCCGAACTCGAAGATGTTGAGGACTTCGTGCTGGGCGTCGCGGCCGTAGCCGAGGGTGCGCACTTTTTTGGTGGTGGTGGTGTTGGGGGAGCTGGGGGTACTGGGTGAGGGGGACGCCTCGCTGTCGTAGACGAGTTTGAGCCCGAGGGGGGCGAGTGCTGCGCTGTAGAAGGCTTTGGAGACGGCGTAGTCCCGCACGCCGATCGAGATGTGCCCGAGGGGGTTGAGTTGGGCCATGGTGGCCTGGGCGGATGAGTTGTGTGAGTCTCGGATGGGGCGGGGGGTTGCAGCGGCTGTTGAGTGTTGAGCCCCGCGGCAGGGGCTCAAATCTGAGATCTTCGGTGGTGGGTGAACCAATGACCTACGGGCTACAGCCGGACGCCGTGGGTGCCCGGTGCTGACATGCATGCTTGACTTTCGAGGTAGCTTGCTAACATGGCCAATCCATTAGCCCACGACAAACCCAGGGTACTGCGCTGAGTCGTGTAATACTCTAATTCCCCTTTCCACCGCAGAATTAATCCGTTATCCATTATCAAGAATGGAGCCGGATTAAAAATGCCAGCAAAATGTAGGCCTGGACGTTGCATCTAATGTCCGCGGGAATCACTCTTCGGAAACCCAGTTTCCATCTACTCGTTCCCAGCAGATCGAACCGCAGGGTTACTCTCTCCTTGGATATACAGCGGCTTGACGCCTCAGTGGCCACTGGAGCTGGAAGCTAAGGACAATCGTTATGGCCAGTCAACTTAAGCTTCGAAAACCAACTCGCCAGGTCCATGTCGGCACGCAGCTCAATCACAAATCTCTTGTTGGTGCTCTCATGTTTCTTGATTGACATGATGACACCTCGAGGTGGTCCTGGCTCCAAAATAAATGCTGTTATAGTTTTGTGCTGCCATGAAGAATATCATAAACCCAAGATATTACCGTGCGGTGGGCAATCCTCAAATCTCATCGCATTGTTGAGTAATAGCGCTCTCATCCGCCGCACCTCCTCAGCGACTCCCACCAAGAGCATTCCATTCGAATCCAGCGCCGTCCACGGGAGCAACGCCTCGACAACTGTTATTTATCCTCCCCTTCTTGGCTGAGTGGAGGCGACTGGGACCTCGGTCTCGGAGCCGGTGGAGGTTGGGGCCGGGGCCCGGGTTGAGGCGGAGGATTGCTCGTCATGTGGATGAATACGGGGATCAGGGCTGCCATTTCTTCTCGGGGCTTTGATAAAAGTGTTTATGCCGCTGGAACAAAGGGGTCGCTAACTGAATTAAGCGCAGTGGTGATTGTTTGATGTGAGAACCGCCTCGATGTCTGGGTGGTTAGGTATTTAGGTACGGATGCGAGAGACCGGAAGCGTTCCCAGCCAACGGCAAGCAAAGTATTATATACCTAGGTACCCGCGTATTACTCGACTTTGCCAGCTCACGATAGCCTGGTGTGAATGACGTATCCTGCAGAAACAAAGATTCTCTTCCGACGGCCATAGGCAGTAGCTGTAAATAAAGGGGTTGGAATACGCTAGGAATAACAGCCACCTAAGCACCTCGTCGTGGATAGTGCGTGGCAAGTAGACCATAGAGAAAATTGATATCTTATCTGTATGATCATGGATTCGAAACAACCTGGAAGTTTGTAACAGGCAGGAACTACCACCTTGACAGATATCGCCTTCGAAATTGTTCGGACCTCACGAGTGACTCACTGTGAGTGTCCGTGCCCGCGAAAGCACCGGTTGAACTAAGGCCCGCCCTTCCCGTTCGACGAAATCGGCACAGCAATGTTCGACGTTTTGGACCCGCGCAATTTAATACAAACCATTGTACAGCCCAATATGCAATCATTAGGAGACATTCGCCAAAGGGCTCAAACCACCCTCGCCCAGCTGACCATCGCTCAGTCCGACGCCCCGCTCCAACGGATCGGGTATGGCTCTTGTGGTAGTGTGTGGGCCGATTCGTCCGAGTTTCCTGACATCGACAAATGTGAAACAGCGCTCGTTCTGAAGCGAGCAGACGGTCTACCAGACCGATCTCTCGAAAACGAAGCGCAAATACACAAGCATCTTCTATCCAAGATTGGGGCTCCCCAGGCCCAGGGTATATTCACAACTGCTTTCCGCGTCAACATACCACGACACATCCAATTCCTTCAGCCTGGAACACCTAGTTGGACCGATATTTTACGTCGCCTACCCCCCCAATCCGTGGCCTGCCAAGCGCTGGTTAGCGAACGCATCCTGCCATTGCCTCGCGATTCTCGACGGTTGGTAGTGGAGAAGTTTTGGAATGGCCCCGAGGATATGAGGGACTCCATTGTCAACGACAAGAGAAACGAGCACTGCTTGATCCGTCTATATCTTGGCCGCCGTAGGACCGGGACCCGGACAGGTGCCGGTGGCGAACCACGGCGAAGCATGCTCAAGTCCATCAGCCTTCGCAACTACCCCCTTCATATCGACCAAGTCGAAGCGCTCGGTCTCCCTGCACACGAATACGCCAGCGCCATGGCGGATTCCCTTGCCTTCCTGCTCTGGGTCGCCGAGATCGACGCCTGCGATGTTGAGTTTGTTCTCGCTCGACCCCGCCCAACTGACCTCCCCATGTCTAACCCTTGTCACTTGGGGACGCGCGCTTTCACCTCGAGCGTCCTCGGACTTCATGTATTATGGATGCTCGATTTCGACTGCTGCAAAAAGCTCCCCATGTCCGTCGACGGCGTTCGACTTGCGGCCGAACGTTTCTGGCGCAACGATCCATTCTACCCCAACCCAAACGCCAAGTGTAAGGAAGACGTGGGTCTTTGGGAACTATTCAAGAGCCGGTTCCTCGAGACGAGCGGGAAGGTGATGGCCTCTAAAGATGAAACCATCCGGCGGCTCCCGGAGCAATTCATCACCAGGATTGTCGAGACCATCGGGGTTTATTCGAAAGGGGTTCCGTCGGCATCTGGGGACACGGGATGACTCGCCACTAATGAAAGCCCGGTGGCTAATACATAGGGTGCAGTTTTGCGGGAGCCGTCTGAGAAATCGCACGAGGACGCGGTGAAATTTATATCTAGCGCATCTCCTCTCCTTTTAGCAATGTAATCCAGCTCTAGTTGGCCATCCTATACCCTAGCTCCTGTGTTTTGCGTGATGTGCATGCTCCGTTGGTGATAGCGGCAACGTTCTCGCCAGAATGGTTGCGTCTGGCACGGCGGGTCCCAGGGAGCCGATTCTGCAACAGGCCATCGGAGTCAATGAAGTGGGCGACGATACCGAGGAGGGCAAAGCAACTAGGTGAGGTCTAGAGATTGAAGGAGAGATGGATCCGTGATCGCGATGTCTGTATGCCTTGCGAAGTGCTGTTTGCCCTGATTACGGCTGGTTCTAGCTCGAAGTGCACATTGTTACACGGCGGCAGATCCTCAAATAGCACCACGAGTTTCTCTTCATCCCCAGGGTCCGCACCTTAGCCTTCAACCTGAGGCTGGCCAATACCTCTGCACAAACTCCAATGGGCCCTGCAACCACGGTGTCTCCATATTGTCATCCTTATCAAAGACGTGGTCCCCTTGCTGATATGCTAAGAGAAGCGGTACATCCGGTTGGACGCCCCTCAACTTCGCTACCCACTCTTCGGTATGCTGCCAGGGGAGAACCTCGTCCACCTTCGAATGGTAGAGCAAGATTGGCGGCAACGCCCCTGCGCGATCCAGCGCCCGCAAAGGGCACAACCATTCCGCATCTCTCGTTTCGTCCCAGAACTTGCCCGCCTGCAACATTCCCATCAACAGCCTCATCCGCGACCCAAAGTTAGCCCTCGTGCGCAGTGTGCCTTTCTCGGCGTGCGCCAGGCAGTCCTCAACTTCGGAGTAGGGCACGCTCTCGGACCACAAACCTGACCGACGCATCGCCTCGCTGATGTTCTCGGCGCGTGTTACGTCGGTCATGTTTAGGGTAGGATACTGCAAGAAGAGAACCTTGATAGGCAGCGAGCTTAGGGGGAGCAGGGCCGTCACCGTAGCGATGTAGCCACCAGTGCTCTCCCCAGCCACCATGAGGTTTCTAGCGTCGATGGTAACGTTTGGAAGGGTGGCTTTGAGCACCCGCTGGGCGGAACCATCTTCGATCCACTGCCAGAATGATTGTATGTCTTCGATTCCGTCCGTTAGCTGGTGCTCGGGCCGCAGACGATAGTCGGGGGTAAGGATTACGGCCCCGTGCTTAAGGGCTAATTCGAGGAAGCTATACTCGTATGAACAAAGACATGGCACGGCTGGTACGAGCAGCTTACAAGGCGCGAATAGACGCCTCTGCTTCTCCTTCAACCCAGCCTCCTCCATGAAACCGCACGAGCAGCGGTCGTGGGCCGGAAGGGAGCTTATCCGGGACGATCAAGAACGCGTGAATCGGCTGATCATCGATGAGCTTGTACGGGGTCCGAAAAGTACTGAACTTGTTGAATACTCTTAGGGCATTGGGATGCTGTGAAGCAGGGTCTATGGTGTATCGCTCCATCTCGGCGGTGGTGGGACGTTCTTGGTTAACGGTAGCCTCGTTGGACTGGAACTAGACGATTCTAGAAAGCCTGTTGGTAAAGTATGGACTGGACGGAGATTTCGGAACGAAGGCGGGCCACCTCGGTTCCTTCTTGAGGACATAGACCATCGGAGCCGAGAGATACTCCGAATTCCGACACTTGGCCCACATGCACTAGGATTCCTTCATCGGCACACGAACAATAATGTCCTTACGCAGACGCTTCCTTTAGTCATCCTCGTGACCTACCTCGGCCTGCGTTGTCTGTCACACCGAGATTATTCTGCTATTTCCGGAGGAGGAAACCGCTAGGTACGGCGGTATTTCTACACGGAAGAAGATACCTACCTACCTAACTCTTATAACTCGAGGTTAGAGGACAAGAGGAACAACATAGGTAGTTATATGGTACGGCTTATACTACGAGACTTATATATATATAGGTATGTGATGGAAACTCCGGTTGGTTTAAATACGCGTTAAAAAGTTAACTTCCGCTACCATTCGGAACTTGAGATCAGAGTTATTATCGAGCTCTATCCATTTATACCCGAGCCCAAGAGAAATTGGCTTCGTTTGCAAACCATCGCTCGCATCCAAGCAGTTCTGGCCCCTGGGATGCCGAGCCGGTCGACGTTCTCGGGGCCGGGGCACGGCTCTTGGCATTAATACTCCGCCGATCCTACCGGGTCCCTCCCGGACACCGAAAGCCCGGAGGCGCCCGGTTGCACCCCTTACCACTCAAACTTTCCTGTTTAAGAACTTTGCGATTAAGGCAGTCGACACATATGCACAAGGTCTACTCTTTGCGCTCCCCATTTCCACCTCGACGACCTTCCGGCCTCGCATTATTCGCCATGGCCTCGCCTCCAGCTTCAGGTACTTCACCAACCGACTCCCCCGCAAACTCACCCGCAAACTCACCCAGCACGTCGTTATCATTTACCTCATGGAATAACGACAAACCAACAACCATTGTCCTTCTCCATGGTGGCTTTACCTGTCATCTCGAGTTTGCCCTCGTCCTTCCACACCTCTCCGACTTCCACATCCTTCTTCCCGACCTCCCACTACATTCCGCGTCACGCCACATCACACCAGGCACGACCGACAAGTCGGCCTGGCATGTCGCACAACTCATTCGATCACACGCCCACGGCGGAAAAGCCCACGTCGTCGGTGTCTCCATGGGCGGGTACATAGGCCAGTGCCTCGCGTTGGACCAGCCTGACCTCGTCCTCTCGCTCTTTGTCACTGGTGCTGCCCCGCTAGTTGGCAAACGCTTGTTCATGGCGCGCTGGACAAGTGTAACCTATTACTCTATGAGGATGATGCTGCATTGGCTCCCTGACTGGGTGTTCCGGTATCAGAACTCATCACTTGGCCTGAGGGTGAGTGACGAATTGGTAGCAGCGATGAGGGACAACATCACCTGGCCGGTAGTCCAAGATATGTTCACCTGGATCCTGTCCTTCACTTTGGATGACGTGCGGAAGTTAAAAGTACGGACTCTATCCGTCGCGGGGGCAAAGGGGGATGACGTGCCTATGATCGAGAGGACGGCTGAGGCGTTGAGGAACAGGCGGACTGCCCAGGGCGAGGCGTGGCCCGAGGATGGATCAGGAGCAGTTGTGTTGAGGGAGGCAACACATGCGTGGGACTTGCAGTTTCCAGAGCTCTTTGCTCAAGGGGTATTGGCTTGGGTCAAGGGGGAGAAATTACCCAACGAGTTTGAGAGACTTTAATATTGGGTATAGAACCCTGTAATATACGATGTTGTCGCGATACTTGCTTTTTAATCGGAATCGTGGCGAGAGGTTCAAGGAGAAACACTGTTGACCCCGTCTCAAGCCCGTCCACGCCTTGATATTGACATATTGTCATTCTACTCCTGTCCGTAACGCTGGCCATTTAGATCCACGCTCGAGGACTGCAACAACTCATGCTCGTTCCCCGATTTGCCCTTCCAGCGGCGTGGCCATATCCTCGGGAAGCTGCTGTCTGGTCCCTTGAGCACTTTTCCAGGATGTACGGCATTCATGAGGAGTAGCGCGATGAGCATGGGTAGAGCATCGAGACCCAGCTGGTAAGCCTCGTTGGCTAGGATTGGGTTCGATGAGGAGACACCGCCGCTGAACTCGACGAAGCGGAACACAATCCGGACCTGTCAACGCGAATACTAGTGAGCACTATGTTGGTGGCCAACGCAAGGGACACTTACCACAATCAGCCCAATGACAGCCAACATGGACCACACCAAGTGCCTAGTCACGGTGACGTTGTGCCTTGCCTCCAGCTGTCCAGCCCCCATCGAGCGCTCCAGGCGCACAGTGAACAACACCGTAATGACGGCAAATATGACGACAAAAGTCAATTGGACGCCGATTCCAGCCATGTAAATGTGTTGGCCCGTCTTGACCGTGTCCCCTCGATCCTGGTCAGCAAGCATGCCGCCGCCGGCGGCTTGGATGAAGAAGGACACCACATCGACAGCAACAAAGGCCTTGGCGAGCCAGCGCGGGGACATGCCAAATATGTTTTGTGAGTACGGCGGCAGGAGGAAGTAAATCAGGCGTGCCACGACCATATAGACAAACGCGTTGATCCCTGGACACGATGGTCAGCAGGTGCCTAGTCACTTTCCATATCCAACAGTACTGCTTCCCACCAACCACGCCACAAGAAACAAAAAGAAAGAAACCAGAGAGAAAGAAGACAGAAACAAGAGGGAAAGAGGAGAAAGAGAGAAAGAAGAGAAACAGAGAAACAGAGAAACGAGAGAAACAGAGAAAGAGAGAAACAAGAGAGAAACAAGAGAGAAAGAAGAGAAAAAGAGAAAGCAAAAAAAAAAAGGCAAAACCCAACTCACACAACGGCGCCAATAAAAACAACAGCGTCGACACCACCACCAGCCCCCCATTCTGCTGGTCGAACGCCCCCAGCGTGCGCAGCACGAAGCACGCGTACTCCCACAGCGCGCCCATGACCACCACCCAGCAGAACCACTTGCGCGTCGCCAGCAGCTGGGCGATGTGCAGCAGCGATGCCAGAAAAAAACCGATGGCGAAGACGAGGTTCCACTCCCAGCTCGGGTAGAAGCCGTAGTTGGCGTTGCAGGCTGTGGGCGGGACGTAGCCGTGGTGGTCGGGGGTGGCGGTTGTGCATTTGGGGGCGGAGGGGAGGGTGGGGGTTGCTCTGGGGGTTGTCATTGTTGCGGTTGGGTTTGGGGAGCGGGCGGGAGGTGTGCTTTTAAGGGGGTGGGATGGCTGAGTGCCGTTTTTGAGGTGGTGAGGGTGGTGGTTGAGTTGGGGTCCTTGGGGATGCGTAGAGCGTCGAGTTTCTATCTACCTAGGTAGGCAACAAGGCAGTTGAGGGTGCAATGTGAATGATGGGGGATGGGAATATGGTAGCGGCGAGTGTTGGCTCTTATATCGGCGGCTGGAGGGAGACAACATGATGTTCTCGTGGCTGGGCACGTTTTGGGCCTGCTTCGTCGTTTTCACGGGACACGATGACGCGGCAAGGGGTAGATGGGCCATCGCAGGCGAGCCTAAACATAGCATTAAGCGTCTCTGGCGTTGACACGGAGACTAGTGTCGTTGATGTTGCTCCCGTTGACAAGTTGACAACCGTGGGTTGTGATTGGCTCAGCCGTCGCTTTGGTCGTTCCGGTCAGTCAGTCCCAGGGGGGATCACCCCGACAGCCAGCCGCATTGCGCCCCCCGGTCACCCCCGAACACCACCACAAGGTCAACCATTTATTTCCCTCGGCCCTTCAAAATTTCCGGAACGGCCCCGTAACCTCGCCAACCCGAGCGGCCACAAGACATAGCGCTTATGGCTCCCCGGCAGTTTATGCACAGCAGTCTCGACCCATTGGAAGATGATCTCGTCTCTGACCAGGGACGCGCGAGCTGGGCCAAGCGCGTGGCGCTGCAGGACATGGGTGAGCATCCAGAAGTGCGCCAGCAGGATCTGGGCCGTGAAGTTGGTGGGGTTTGTAAAGTTGGCGAACTCGTCGGCGTCCATGTCGTTGGTTACGGCGTAGAACGGCACGAGCTCGAGGCATGCTAGGAGTGTCAACGACCACGGTATGGGGGATAGGCAGGAGGTCGCATCTTACCGTTAACGGGCGACATCTCGCACACGCGCGCGATTCTCTCCAAAGAAGCCACATAATGAAGTTCCGCTGCGCTCCGACACAGTGGTGCCACCAGACGCAGCGAAGCCATAAAGTCCTGCAGAGTCTGCTGTAGTTCCCTCCGTTCCTCCTCGTCGGCGTCAGCGGCGGCGCCCAATAGTTTCCTCATGCTTTTAACATAAGTATCCTCCTTGATAGCGTGAAACATGGACTCTCCCATTGCCGGAACCAGGGTCGTTTGGATGGCCATCCAACCGCGGAGCATGCGGAAAAAGTCCATCATGCCGTCGGGCATGTAGCTCGACTGGAACGTGAGCGCGATAGCGGCGGCGAACCTGGCGTCGGCATCGTTGAGGGAAAGACAAGTCTTTGAAAGGGCCTCGTTTAGTGCAGCAATGGCCGAGACCCGGTGGTCTAGAGCCTCGATGGAGAAGTTGGACGTAGTAGACACGGTGAGATGCTGTGCGGCAAGACCGAGAATGGAATGGGCGAGAAAGTCGTACTCGTGCGCCATAGCGGCGACAGTCTGCCAGATGTGATCCAGGCCGAAAGGGAGGGCCGGATACGCGGCAGTCAAGAAGTGGTGGAAGAAGCGGAGGTCCTCCAAGCGAAGAGTTGACGGCCGTGGGCTGGGATTTCTTGATGGGGTGAGTGCTGGCTGTGGTGGAGGGGGGTACAAGCAGTCCAAGCCAAGGCGCCGGCAGCCTCGACAACTTGGCAGCTCCTCAGAGCATTTGACGCGGCGTTTCTTGCAGTTAAAGCAGCCTTTCCTGGATTTGCAGTGACCACGCCCGGGGACTGCTCGTTTGCGAGCCGGCTTGGGGGAGGCGCCATCACAGGATGCCTCTTCTTTGTTGGGTGAGTTCGGATTCGACATGATAGGTGTAAGTTCTTGTAAACTTCCTGCCGTATGCATCTCTGACCAAGGGAGTCAATGTCTGTAGTTGAATCGTCCGTCAAACCCCAAACTTGCCCGATGCTGGCCTCCCCTGATTGGGCGCTGACGCGTCGGTTGAGGCTAAGCCAAGCAGAGCGGGAGGCGTATCAGGCACCCCGGCGCTCGGAGTTCCAGCCACACCTGGTTCAAGTGATCTCAATGCTGCGGCTTTCATTCCAAGTCTTTAGAGAGAAACTACCTCAAGGTGCAAGTCGACTTTCTGAGAAATAAAGATCAGACCAAGGCGCAAGGAAAAGTCCTACAAGAAAGACCCGACCTAATCACAGAAAGCCATCGGAGTAACTCAGTCATGGCCAACTCATAAGGTTTAGTCTTTGTCAACAGCTGGCCATCATGGCTATATAATTCCAGTTAATTCTGCTCCTGTTTCAGTCCTTGCTGGTAGAAAACCAACCCACACCCCCACCATATGCCACGTCCTGGAATACCGCGCCCGCCCGTGCACGCGTCCGGACTGCGCAGCGATGATGCCGAGCCGGGCCTTCCGGGCGAGCTGCGACTCAGTGGCGGCGGCCGACGGGCGCTGGGGCTCGTGCCCGAACCCGGCGTACGAGATCGTCGTGGTGGAGGCGCCGCGGGCCGTCCGGGCGCGCTCCCACACCCGCTGCCGCGGTCGACCGCCGGATCGAGGGGGTGGGGGGTTGGAGGATGAGCCTCCGCGGGGTGCGGCGCTAGGGCGGGTGCTGGGCTGGCCGGAGGTGGCGAAGGAGGAGGAGGAGGCCGAGGAGGATGAGGATGAGGTGGTCTTTCAGTTTGCGAGGCCTGTTGTCAAGAGGGAGGGCATGAAGAGCGAGCTGGCCAATGAGGAGCCCGTCAAGGAGGAGGTCAAGGAGAAGGACATCAAGCAGGAGGAGATCTGAACGGGTTCCGTGGTGGGGCGGGGACTGGAGTTGGGGAAATCTTCCCTCCTCCCAACTTGCCTCACCCCTTCAGGGGTTTGTTTTGGGATCGTCTAGTTGGGCAACTTTACCTAAAGCAACTTGGCTACATGCAGAATCAAATCTCTCGACGGCCTGTATGACTCAGAGCGAGCTGTGATTGGAGGTGCAACGCGATATGCCGAACATTCTGAGCCGTGCTGTATTGGACTGGCCGTGTTGCTGTCTTTCCTGCTACCCTCTTACCTACCTACCACCGAACCTTGCTTTCTCTTTCCAATACGCTCGGTAATCCTTGCTCTCCCTGTCCAATACGCTCGGTGATCATCCGTTCTCGCATATCCCGTTAGGAATGCGAAACTCTAGGCAAATTATCCAGCCGCTAAGTCCGTCAGCTTTAAGTCCGCTAAATCCATACGCATCACCTGTCATCAGCAACGCTCTGTGCCCTCCACTTGCAATGATTGTGTAACGACTGTTGCTGGGGATTGCGCTTTTGTATAAATGGCTTTGATTTCTTTATCAAAGACATCCTGTGAAGCAAAGGCGGATCCCTTTTCACCTCGCAGCCAGTTCCCCTCCCACGACCAAACAGTAGTCCAGCCCTTGGAATATCACCCTTTAACCTACCTACCCTTGAGTACCCAGTCTAGTTCCTTCTGACGACAAAATGACGGCAACATCTTATTCAGAGTTTAACGCGAATACGGAAGCCCTAGAGGTTGCCCAAACGTTCTCGCAAGGGATTCGGGGCAAGACCGTCATCGTCACGGGTGTGAATCTCTCGGGGATTGGGCATTCAACTGCACAAGCCTTCGTAAGTCCTGGCCGGCAATAATCTGTGTGTTATCAAAGTTGACAGTGTACCTACTAGGCATCCCAATCTCCCTCCCACCTCATCATCACGGGCCGCAACGTGTCAAAACTGCAGCAGAGCATCGATGCGCTGAAAGCCGAGTTCCCTAGTGTCGACTGCCGCATTCTCAAGATGGACCTCTCTAGCCAGGCAGCCGTCCGCGCGGGCGCCGCTGAAGTCCTTTCGTGGGATGACGTGCCAACAATCGACATCGTCATCAACAGCGCCGGTGTGGCACTCGTTCCGGAACGCACTCTAAGCGAGGACGGCATCGAGTTGACCTTTGCCACGAACCACATCGGACACTTTCTGTTCACCTGCTTGATCATGCCCAAGGTCATAAAAGCGGCCCAAAACAACCCCAAAGGCGCAACCCGCATCGTCAACGTCAGCTCCGGCTCTCCCCACACCGCCGGCATCCGATGGAGCGATATCAACTTTGAACAGACAAACGCAGACCTCCCCAAAGAGGAACAGCCCAACTATGAATTCCACAGCGCGTGGAACATCCCCGACGCCGAGAAACTGTCATACACGCCGCTGGAGGCGTACAACCAGAGCAAGGTGGCCAACGTGCTGTTCGGCATCGGGCTGACCCGGCGGCTGTACGACCAGCACGGCATCCTGGGCCTAGCCGTGCACCCAGGCGTCATCAAAACGGAACTGGTCAGGGATGCCGACCCTGCGATCCGGCGTGGCATTGCGACCATGTTCGAGAAGGGCATATACGAGTTCAAAACTCCCGGCGCGGGCTCCTCCACCAGCTTGGTCGCGGCGTTAGACCCGAAGCTGGGGCCTGGGGAGCTGAGGGATGGGAGGGAGAATTACGGCGCGTTTCTGGTTGATTGTCAGATCATGAATCCGGCTCACCCGCGCTCCGCGTTGAGCTCCGAGGCTGAGAAGCTGTGGGAGTTGTCGGAGAAGTTGGTCAAGGAAGAGTTTGTTTATAACTAGAAATTTCCCGTCTGCTTAAGGGGGTTAAGGACTGGTAGCTCTACGGATAAGAAATGGCACCCTTCAGAAAATGGTGAAGACCACAAGCTGTCAATGTCGTAGCAAGGGTGAACGCGTGAGTCCGAACCTAGTAAGAGACGGAATGAGATGTAAATTGCGAAAGATATACAAATCTATGCAGGAAACAATAATCATTCTAAATCCCCGTCTTGCATGGCAACCAAACAAACTGAGCCATCCTCTTGATGTGCAACATCCACCATCCTCCTCATCTCCTGGCTGACCGAAAGGGCAATGTGTGGTTATACAATCCAGTTCCAGTCAAGGGGTTGTCCCTTCGGCTCGAAAACGATATTTTGTAGCCGGAGTCTTCCCACCCCGAGCCTCCGCCAGGCTTTCCCGCTCTCACTTCCTCCATCCGATTCGGGTACAGGTTCAACAATCAAGACGTAGCAGTACTTTTCATATCCCCCCCACATGTCTGCTCGCACCCGAATGGTGCCCACGACGACGCACTTGGGTGCCTGCGTAATCATCTGAGTACCGTCGTCTAGCGTGATATCCTCGGCTTGCAGCTTAGAAATGTCTCGCACGGGAGCCTCAAGCCTGAAGGGGACCGGGTCGGATACGGAATCGGGCCAGCTAAGGGTCTCGTCCCACTTGACGTTGTACCCCGGAACGTCAATGTACTTGATTTCGCCGGCGTACGCCATCCACGACCAGGACGGGACCTGCTCGTCTGGCGGGAAGTTGGTGATGCGCTCCAGGCCGTTTTCTCCGCGTCTCTTCCAGAGGAGGTAGCGATGCATATGGTTTCGGAAGACGCCGTGGCCGCCGGGCCCTCCGATGGTCTGCACCAGCCGCGCTTCGAGACCGCGGATCGCGGCCGGTCTGTCCTTGGCGTAAGTGAGCTGCATGGCTGAATACTGCTCGTACAAGCCCTGGATGAGCTTGATTCTCTTCCCCCTGGAACGCGCGTCCGCATACTTGGGAAAGTTGCTATCGCCGAGGAACGCGGCTTGCTCGCTGTGGTATACGTCAGCTCATTCCATGGTAATATGGAGAGAAACGTAAAGAGTGAGGGAGACGAACTTGCGCATCATCGTGAGCGTCTCGCACCTGATCCCCATACCACACTCCCAGTACGTCTGCTTATCAGTGAAGTGTATCGTCCGCCTCGACAGCGCCCGCTCCTGCAACACCCACCCCCGTCTCTGCAGCTCGCTGCGGCTGACATGCTCATCAAAATCATCCACCATCTCACACACATAAATCTCATCCTCCACCCCGCCTTTTTCTCCCGCCTCATTCACAACTACCACCTCCCTCCCCCCTTCCCTCCAAACCTTCCCACCACCCCCATTCCCCTCACCCGGCGGCAGCGACGGCGCCACCGCCGCCGCCGCCGCCAAAAACCCATCCTCCGGGCTGCTCGCACGAATGGCAGCAAGAGTACAATAAGCCGACGCGTAGACGCGTTCCATCCTCTGGGACTCGTTGTGCCAGTCGTGCGGGTCGTCCTGCACGATGCAGAGGGAGTCGATCCACAGGTATTGCGCGCCGATGGCGCGTGTCACCTCGACGGCGTCGCGGAAGGTGCGGGGGAGTTGGGTGAGGGGGATGGGGCGTTCCCTTATTGCTGAGGGCGTGGTTTGGATTTGGGGTGAGGATTGGTGTTGGTGGTGATGTTGTTCAGGCATGGAGAGATCGGACGCCACCGTGGTGCGGATCATAGGGGGCTTATCGTTGGATTCGACCGGGCCTGGGGGCGGAGGGGGCCCCCATCGGTGTGATAAGGCCACGTATCTGCTGGAGGGGTCAATATCAGTGGTTTCGTATAAGAGTCGCACTACACCCTCTCGTTTGCCCACGTCAATGACTCGTGTAGGGAAGAACTCCGGCGGTTTCCGAGAGCAGGTGTGACTGTGACTCCGAGAGCAGGTTTGAGAGTGATTCTGGTCGCAGGCCTCGACCCATAGGGAGAGGAGTTCCAAGTGCAAGCGGCTGCCCGGCGCGGGTAGGTTAGGAAATCCCAGCTGGACATCCTGGGCGTTGTGGACTGAATAGGCGCGAATATGTCAGAAGCAGGCCGTGGGAAATGGGCGTCCTGGTGGTGGATGTCCCGGTTAGGCAGTATGCTAGAGACATACCAAACCGTGTGCGGTAGAGAGATGCCACCAGCTGCGGCTCTTCACGCTCTCTGCGGGCCGTGAGATACGAACCAGCCCTCGAAAATTGGACTCTCGCCTTCCTTGGGAGACTTTCATGCGGCCGGACGCACGACGAGTAGAGGAGGGCGCACAGAGCACAGCGGCCTTTCTTTTCCGCTAGACCCGCCAGTGTATCAGCGAAACTCAGACTGGGAGCTGAAAGCTTCAACTGGGCGCATCGACGGCAGAGAGGGGAAACACCACGGCGATACGGAGCGGGGATGACTGCACCACCCTCTGTGCCCGTAGTTTGGAGATAATCGAATATCTTCCCCGCTATTTCTGTGTCGGGACTGTGCTCCCAAGCTTCATTGAACTATTTCGTGTTCTTTGAGCACGTCAACGTTGATATGCAGGTTTGGGGTGGGCTTGGTGATATTACCTTCTAGACACGTGGATTGCAGTCAGGTATTAGCCCCTGTGATATCTAACGGTGAGATAGTTCGAGTAGAACTAACTAACGTACCGTCTATGTGAACAGACGCAGAGAATCCAAGTCAGTGTATTGAACCATCTGCAACGATTTTCAGGCTTCGGTACAACTGACCATCTGCGATTAACGTTAATAAAAACAACAAGTTGCAGAATCGGACCGAGGCTAAGAAACCTTACCATCTATCAAGGACAAGTTTCGTATCATTGTCAGCCGCTACTCATGTTCACGTCTTTAATGGCTGGATCCGACCGAATCTGTCGACTGGTATGGGTCCACCTACATACTGCTCGACCGAATTTACAATATCAGCAAGGCTGTCTTATCAACTGCCGAGCAAGAGAAGGAGACTTACATCCTCGTTGCTGTCAGCATTTCTTTGGACCGTTGCCCCATGTAGACAACATGGACACGCAAATGGCAGGAAAACGACGGTCCACAGTCGCCCCCGACACCCCCAAAAGCAAGGCGGACATTGGGTTGAGACCAGTTAAGATTACCGACGTACATTCCTCTGCTCGTAGTGCATGACTAATTAGCGGATGGACCCGAGAGGGTTGAGGAATCCTATGACATACCGGAACATTTAGGTAACTCCTTGCGCGGTGGTCCGCTGGAGTCCCTAGGGCAGGCTTTGGGGCAAGTTGGTCCGGCTCATGTGAGGGCAGATTTAGCTTGTTTGAAGGTGGGTGTGGGTCGTCTGAAGGTTCCAGATTCCCTATCGCATCCGTGATGCCTCTCTTCATATCGGAGAGAATCGTGGTCAGGATTTTGTGCACCTTGTGAGCCGTGGCTCGCACCTTTTTCTTCTCTTCGGGCTCGATGGTGGTGGCGGGCTGGAGTCTTATAGTCACAGGCCGAGCTATCCGTGATGATTCTGATTCCTGCGTTCGTTCCATCTCGTCATTGTGATCCTGGGCCATCTCCCTGGCATCGGCGGCCCCCTCCGGGGGAAGAGCGACGACTATCATCTCGTCGGCAATGAGACGGATGACACGCCGGAGACCCGTGGACTCGGTGCAACGCGGGTCATTCAAGAGCTCCTCAATGTACTGTTTGACAGTACCATGAACCGCGATCTGCCTTTCCGTTGTGCCGTCGCCCCCGATGAGGGTGTAGAAGGTGTTTCTCTCACTATCATTGGGCGCGACCGACCGACTTAACGTTTGCTGGCCATGTTGGCCGCGAAGGAGCCAGACAACAAACTCGAAATATATGCAGCCGAGTGACCATATGTCGAAGAGCCGTGACCAAGGGGCCGTACCACCTTGAACATACTCTGGGGGGGAATACATCATAGTGCCGGCCTTGGTGTCGGTAGCGATGTTTTTGCGCATTGCTGTGATGAAATCATGGATTTTAGCAAGACCAAGGTCGCCAACGACCAGGCGGTCGGGTGGCACCATGGTGTCTTCAGTGGCATCACTCTGCCCTCCAAAACATAGGATGTTGTCGGGCTTTAGATCACCATGGCGACATCCCCTGTCGTGTAGCTTGCTAACAGCGTCTGCGAGACCTGCCATCTGGGCAACGAGCCACATGACATACTCGGGCGTCGGGGTCGGGGCCGTAGTTTTCCAATACTCTCGGAGACTGCCCCGCTCAGCCCACGGGAACAGGAAGTAATCCTTGCCGCCCCGTTCGTAGTGGGCAATCGTCTGAAGTAGATGCTGGTGCCCAATGCGATTCATGGTTTCGAGGATTTGAGCTTCAGACATGTTTGTGCCTGTAACCCTTTTTACCTCGTCTGTGGCGAGCTTCAGCTCCTTCAAAGCGAGCCGAGGGTGCTCCGAGTCCTCCCCTTGACCCATCTTCTTCATCGGTATTATCTGTTGCCAAGTATTAATTCGGTAGTTCGCTAAAGTATTCGGAGGAAAGTAAAATACGCTGCTTGACTCTGTGGGCTTTGCTTACAAACTTCATGTTGCTCTGTTCTTGACCAAGAATGAGATGGTCTTTGTGGAGGACTCTTTCCCACACGGTGCTGAAAGTGCCCAAATAAACAGGAGGATCCCAGTTAAGGAATGGAAGCCGCCTTTCTTGCTCGAGTTTAGAATACGTGAAGGTGTCCGTATTGAAAATCTGGGCTACGAGCAACCACTGACAGGCCGAGAAAGAGGTTGCTACACCGAAAAGACGTCCGTCGTCAAGCTCCAGGGCCAAGGGCAAGCCCGCCTTTCTGGCATCCTCGACCATTTTCTCGAGGCTCTCCCTGAGAGCATCCTCTGTAATAGGCAAGTTCTTGTCGTCGAACTTAGCCCGACGAAAAAGAGGGAAAAGGTCCTGGTGACCAGTCAAACAAAGGGTGGCAAACGTCTGGGCCGCGCAGTCAGATGCGAAGCTCGCAATATCCTTGATTTCGGTCTGATTGTAACGTCCCGATCCCAACTCATTTTTTATAGCCACCTCGGATAGCAGGGTCTTTAATTTTCCGGCAGGAATAAACCGTTGTTGCGAGTCGGGGGTGTGAACCGTTGAGTCTCGGAGACCGGCGGCGATACGCAAGGGTTTGCTGCCCGTCTCCGAAGCCGTTGTGGCTCTTGGTGTGCTTCCCATCATGCCCATCGTGGCCCAACTCTTCTTTACAGAGTGAAAGAACAACTAGATGCAGGTTTCAGTACTGATCTGGTGGACATATGCGCTCTAGTCCTAGTCCCAATATAAGGGAGACGTGCTTGCTTGCTAAAATCCTAAAGGGAAACGTCCGGAAAGGGGCCCCTAACTACCTATATACCAACCAGCAAATCCAAGAAAGATCGAAGGAAGCACTCCACTTCCTGGGGTGGACGAACCTCCAATTGGCACAGAAACCTGCAAAATAATCTGCACAACATGCAGTGTCCCATTGCAGCTGCATGCAGTGCCACTCGCCACTGGTTGATAATGGGCGTCGAATCGAATGGAGTTGGGCAGCAATACGGCATGAGATAACGTAAGAAGCCGTGAATTTCAACCTGTCGGATGCACGCCCGCTAGTGTAGCATGATGCAATACAATAAGTGGATGAAAACGAATCGTCGTCGTCGCCGCGATGTCGCACATGCGAGAACTTAGAAGGTCCGCGGTTCCCAAGACTCCCGTATTTTCCAGGCTCCAGCAACGTATGGCTCAAAGCCTTGCGCAACCCACCGTCTTGAAAATGCCCCGCGCCCATCCGAGTTACTCAGCGTTGCCCGGCTAGTATGTGGTTTGACGAGACCATCCGCTCTTCCACCTCATCCATCCGCCGCATCACCCCATTCTTCAGCCACCACCGAGGCAGCCAAGCGTCATGCTGCTGTGGCCCATGGCTTCTTATTGGATCCCGATGTCCGCGAGGCACAAGGCTCGGGTCGTGCATGTGTGGCTTCATCCGGAAGGGGGTGGAAAAGAGGGGCTGTATTACCCACCATGGCATGCAGCCATCTAGGCAAGTAAGGCAACTCACACCAGACGGTTGCGAGTCATAGTGTCCCGCGATTATACCCTCCTGCCAAGATCACTGTAGCGGCGACGTTATCACATATCCCCCATCAGGCCCCACGCGGAGCCTCGACAGCAGAAAACGTACATATACTTCCTTAGTGCCGTCGGGCATGCTATCTTCGTCTTTGAACCCTTGCCCGTTTTGAGTTCTGAGTGATATTGCAAGCATCCAAGATGGGCCAATTGACATCGACATCCAGAGTCACGACCGATGAGCCGAACCAAGAAAGCATCAGAACTCTCTATGACGAACTCCGAAAAGGGAAGCTCCAAGTCCCAAATCCTCCTGGTAATAACATCCTCTTCATCCCAGCCAGTGTATTTGACGAGAAAATTACGGCCGAACGCGTCCTGGCCATCGCGGGACCGTCATCCAAGCTATGCGATTCCTACCGGGCGGAACTTATTGTTAAGCGGGCAAAAAGGACCATTGCCATCCTCGTTCTCAGTGGTTGTGAGAAGATCGTCTACGACCTGTTGATCCGCGACGGCATGGTCGATTCTGATCTCCCGTTGTCCCCTTCGAGCCCTGATGGCACCATTTTACGCTCGGCGGGACCTCAGAAACAAAGGATATTCACATCATTCGAGAAGCTGTCCCCACGCGAGGTCGATGGTTTTTGCCGGGACCAGTGGCTTGCTCTAGCACCAAAGTTCGGTGACATCAAAGATCACAAGGAGCTCGATTCGAACTACCCGTTGCCATTTTGCGACAAGGAAATCATGGCGTCCACCATGTTCAGCACCGTATTTCGGGCGACGCTGCATCCCGCACACCATGCCGAAACAGCCGAGAAGGATGGAATACAAGTCGCCGTCAAGGAGCTCAAGGACGAGAACCAATTCAAGCAAGAAAGAAGCAATCTGACGATAACCGCAAGCCTGAACAACTCCCATATCATCAAGCACATTGCCACCTACGAGGTTAAAAACACAAACGGCACCACCACATACTCCATAATCTTCCCCCTGGCAAGCGGCGGCAACCTCCAAACATTCTGGGACACCGAGGAGCCACGGACCCCCGAGCTCAGACAGTGGTCGCTCGAGCAGATCCTCGGCCTCGCTACGGCCATCCGCGATCTCCACATGGGCTTCCAAGGCGAGAAGCACTGCCGCCACGGCGACCTCAAGCCGCTCAACCTCCTCCACTTCAAGGACCCGTCTTCAAAGGGCCTCGGCCGTCTCGTCCTCGGAGACCTCGGCATCTCCAAGATCCACGAGCAGGTGACAGCAGACCGCAAGTGCGCAACGCAAACCCGCGCCACCACGCCGCACTACGAGCCGCCCGAGGCGCGCGGGATCCGCAACGACAATGACAGCAGCAGCAACGACAACGACAAGGACAAAAACGGCAGCGCGGCGGCAGGCCAAGACCAAGGCAAACCCTGGTCGCGCAAATACGACATGTGGTCGCTGGGCTGCATCTTCCTGGAGTTTGCCGTCTGGCTGTTCAGCGACGTTGGCACGCTGGACAAGTTCAGGAAGCGCCGCGGATCGGGGACCTTTTACAAGGTCCTGCCTGCCGAGGCGGACGGCGGTGAGGAGCAGGTCGTGGTCTGCCCCGTGGCGCAGGGCGTTCTTGAGCAGCTGCGGGCGGGCTTTCGTGGAGACAAGGACGACGCTGCGGCTGCGCCCGGGCCGTGGGAGAGGTTTGTGGATCTTATTGAGGGGGAGCTGTTGATTCCGGAGGCTGAGCGTCGCTGTGGTGCGGATAGGCTTGTTGCTGAGCTGGAGCGGATCGTTGAGGATGCGAGGCGGGATCCTATGGGGGAGTTTTAGGGGGTGTTTGACTCTCTCGCACGTATCCCTTCTGCTACTCCTTCTACCGCTCCTTCTGCGGGGCATTAGGGGTAGCTAGAGAGGACTCAAAGGCGAGTGAGTGACTGTACTATTAGTGTTCAAAGGTAGGGGGGAGGCCTAGCAGTATACGCGAGCTAGGACCGCGCTTCAAAGATTGGATCTGGGGGTTAGTTTGTGTCTCAATGTATGTTTTTAGGACTTGATAAGTACCTAGGTGGGCGAAGACGAACCCGCGAATGCTTCCGGCTTGCCTCGTCGGCCCCGTTTATTGTTGCTTATTGTAGGTTACCTGTAGGTAGGTACCGAGGTGGTCTCAGCCCGAGAACACGAACGGGACGTGGCCCAGCAAAACGTGCATCGGATGAGTTTACATGGCAACCGGAGTGATAGAATGTTACTTACACAAATACACTCCAGAGGAATGTAATACATTCTGGCCATCACTCAGGATTCCGTAGCCTGGGAGGATGATGATCATGATGTTGCAACAAGCTCGAATGACTCATGTCACTGATGCCATGTGTTTCGATTGCATGGTTGCGTGATGATGGTCATGCCTGGAAGGGTATCCCATGAGAAGAAAGTTATCCGGCAGCCTAAAAAATGAGACTTCCTTATTTGTCTTCTGCTCGATTCTTTTCATCGAGAGAGCCTTCCCCTGAGCACCGAACTTGGATATCCGCTTCGTGGAGGGTTAGGGCTCGATAGCTCGCACGTGACTGAACCCCCACCTCCCCGCTGATCACCTGGCCGCGTCCAACACACGCGACAGGATCACCTCTGCTCGACTGGACATCACGAGGCCACGAAACCGGTCTCATCACCTCACCTTCGCGGAAAATTCCAAGAGAACTCGCCGATTATTGAAACCCGGTGTATACGAATAAGCCGGCATCTGGAACGAGGCATTACCCCGACCCGACGACGGTAATCAAATTTTCCGGGGCTGTGCATCGCCAAAACTGGAGCAGTTACGTGTCGACACGCACTCGTTTCCAAACAGTCCGCTCGGGGCTTGTGGTATCTGCCGATTACAATGCACTTGAAACGGACAGATTGCATTGCTTTGACCTTTCCGGCCCGACTCGCGGGCATTGGGAGGTTATCGGGAGAAGCTCCCAATTTTGCACAACCATGTCGTTTCAACCCGACGCTCCAGCAGCCAGTCATTCCTGCACCACTCGACCCAACAAACCAGCCAGTGCCCACCACTGCCACAGGCTGACCCGGTCACAAAGCCGCCTTGGCTTGAAGTGTTGGTTTTGCAAAGCAACGTGCGACAGTTTGGAATTGTTTGGCAACATGTGGCTTGAGTCAACACCACAGCCGGGCGAGCCGAGGCTCTGTTCCCAAGCCGCGGGGTAGCAGAGCGAGATGTGGGATGTGAGTCTTCTTGGTGCCTGCTTTCCCAAAACGGCAACTCCTTTGCATAAGAACTGCGGCAACACGACGGCGCAGCATCCTGCCTCGGAGTCAACCTGCATCAGCACGTAAATCTGGGGAAAGCCTCCCGCAATAAGCTGCTGACTGCATCCGCCCAAATCTCCCCTGATGAACCTCTTGTCAAACCTCCGATCAGTCAACAGGCGCAGCCACCTCTCACCCGTCGCTTCTTACTCCGGATCCGGCACAAAGCCTGGACAGCAAATGCGCCATCCTGCAGGAAGCACACGGGGCTAACTCATAACCCGGGGGTAAGCACAACCATGTAACAAAAGTGCGTAATACATGTATTTCCATCCGAACCCCTCCCGGGCCTCACCGGGTCCCGGCCCCGGCCCCGGACCCACGCCCGGACCAGCGAGCTCCACCCCCGGAACCGACCACTCCATCCCAACCACCATCTCTCCACCTCGCGACTGTGTAACGCACAACACCGGCCGCATGACGCGACCCTCCCGTCCGGCCGGACCCCAGGGCAGGGCCGGCCCACACCCGGCCAGCCAATCCGACGTCCATCACGGTCCATCACAGCACATCACCGTCGCCGATGATACCTGCCCCTCTCCCGCGTTGCTCGTTCCCACCTAAAATAATGCTGCCCCCAAAAAAAGGAAGAACCACAAATCCTGATACGTGACGTAGCCCGGGTCCGACCCATCCACAGGCCAGGCACCGACCGGTGAGAGCAGCAGCACAACACAACACGAAGCGAAGCGAAGCGGCGGTGGCGAAAAAAGTAAACAAAAAAGACCCAACCCCACTCAGGGCCCTTGTGTCTCGAAGCGGTGAGCGCGCAAGAAAGCGGGGCCGGACGGGCGGCGGCCATAGGCAAAGGACCCCATCCACAGTCCACAGTCCACAATCCACAGTCCACCAACCCCCAACCCCCCCCTCATCGTCATGCTCATCCGGATCCTGATCCCCTGCTCATCCATCATCAATCGTGTGTCGTGGGTTGTTGATGCCCGGCGAAGAAATGACGCATGAAACGTGGCGGGCGGGGAGTCGACCGCCCATCTGTTCCCCCACCCCTCTCCCCTCCCCTCCCCCCAAAGCTTGGGTTGTTCGGTTTTTGGGTGGGTGTGCGTTGGGCGGGGGATCGGGTATCGAATGCGAGAGTGCCGGGGTGGGTGGATCGTGAGTTGGGGAAGCGAGTGTGGTTGTTGTGGTTGTCGTGCGTGGAAGCTTCCCGCCTCGCTACCTACCAGGCTGCCGTGGAAGAAGTCGCGTGGTGATGAGTGTGGCGGGCAGACGCGTCAGTTGTTGAGCTAATCGCCACAAAACTATTGAGAATGTCGTTGTTCAGAGGCGAATAAGCATGTCACTAAGGCGCAGAAACATCGAACAAAGGCGCGGAAGCATGTCACTGTTCAAAAGCGGAAGGCAAGATGAGTGAGGTATCTCCATGATCATTGATGGTCATTACACTATTACAATGCTGCCGTCTCTCCCCTCTCATGCTGTCATGAGGAAGCCAGAGTGATTAACCCCCATGCCATCCAACCGCTCCGTGGTATGTATGTACGATGATGCCGAATATACCCAAACGCCCGAGATCCCACTGCCATCTCGCATGCTTCCCAACACAGCCAGATCTATCCCAGATCCTCCCATCCAATGCACCGCCCGTATAGTTATCGCTCTTTTCCCAAGCACAAGCGCACCCCCCCAAAACAAAAGAAACAAAAGACCTCCAACTCCGGCTCGAAGCGTGAGGAGCAAAAGCCTGCATTCAACCAGGAACACAAACAGCCCGCTCCCACAACCCGAATGCAAAACCCGCACGCAAAACAACCACCTCACACCCAAGTTCATCCCATCATCATAATCCCATTCCCATTCCTAACCCCTCTCAGCGCGCAGTGCCAAACACCCGCCCAAACACCCCGCGCATCCTCTTCCCCGCCATCCCATTCCCACCACTACTCCCAGTCCCAGTCCGTCCACTCTCCTCCAAACTCCTCAACTCATCCGCGCTAATCTCATACGGCAGCATCTGCTGCTTCGCCGGCTTCGCCGCCCTGAGATAGACGGCATCCTTCTCCGGCACGCACGGCCGGCCATAGGCATCCACATCCCCATCCACATCCACCACCTCAACCTCCACCTCCTCATCGACGGCGCCCAGGTCCATGGGCGAGTCGCAGATGTAGGGCTGGTGGGCCGAGGTGATGTCCGCCTCGCTGAGCGGGGTGGTGGCGCGCGACGAGGTGGAGCCGGCGTAGGACGAGCCGCTCGAGTAGAGGCCCGGCGGCGAGACGTCGCGGCTGCTGCCGCGCGAGTGGGACGGCGTGGTGTAGGCGGTGGCCTGGCGGGAGCGGGAGCGCGAGCTGCCCCGCGAGGAGGAGGGGGGTGTGGCGTAGGCGATCGCGGCGGCGGCGGCTTCTTGGGCGGTGATGTCCTCCGCCTTTGGTGGGGTGGCCTGTTGTTGTTGCTGCTGCTGGGGATGGGGCACGGCGAGGGAGCGCCAGAGGGCGGCTTCCTCCTCGCGCTCGCGCTGGCGGGCGAGGCGCTCCTCTTGCAGCTGGCGCTCGCGGGCCTCGCGCTCCTGCTTCTGGCGCATGCGGCGCACGTGGCGGTCCTTGACCTCGGAGCGGATCGGGGAGAGGAAGTCGTCCAGCTCGCGGTAGAGGTCCTCCTGGGTGATGCGCAGGTCCCAGTCCAGGAGGAAGAGGAGCTGCTTCTCCATCAGGTTGACCTCGGTGCGGCTGAAGCCGAAGCTGTAGGCGTGCGTCGACACGACGCTGTAGTTGGCCCAGTGCTTGTTCTTGGGGCTGCAGTCGTTGAGGTACTTGGCCGACAGGATGAGGGCGGCCAGGAAGATGCGGTGGGTGGTGCAGCGCAGGCCCTTGGCCATGGGCTGGAGGCGGGACTTGAGGCGGCGCAGGTAGACCAGCGACGACATGAGCGTTGGTACCTGCACGTTAGAAGAGATGACGAGCTGTGTGATGAACTCCTCGATGGTGGGAAGAGGGGTGTCGCTGCCCTTGACCGCCCTCGCTGACGGTTCCCGCTGCGGCGAGACGTGCCTCGACTTGGATTGCGCCGGCGGCGGCATCATGCTCGTATCGCACTGGATCACGTTGGCGGCGGCCTCTGCCAAGTACTCGATCATATCTGTGTCGACAGGTTGGTAGACGAACTTGTCCAGGGCTTTGGCGTTGAGCTCAGCAGTGCTGAGCATCGGTATCGAGTCCATGGTGGTTGTGGTGTGGTGGTGTGTGACTCTTATGTGGGGGTGAAGTTGAGGTGGGTGGGGGTTGTTGACGGTGTCGATGTTGTTGATGTGTGTGAGTGCGACCAGGTGTGGAAGTCCTCTGCGGTGGGATGGAGAAGTGCCCGACTTAACTCTATCCGACGCTAGTGTGTCGAGGTTTGTGTGTGTGTATGTATGCTGTATGGGGAGAGGAAAGAATCAAGGTCGGATTGGAATGACGGAATGCCCAGGTGTTATAGGAAACCCTTCGAAAGGGGTACGAGGGGAGTGTGGAGTGCGTGGAAAGATGTGCACAAGGGGTGTGTTCAACGGTTGACGACCTTTACACGAAATGTTCCGGTTCATGTGAACAATTCGCTGTAAAATACCGGGGCGGAGGCCGACTCGGCGGGCTCGGCAAGGGTGCGGAAAGGCTGAAAAGACAGGTTTGTTGCACTGTGGGTCCCCTGATGGGCGTCCTCTGTAGGCGGAGTGGGCAGACCTGTTGATGCGTGTCTCAGTGGCTTTTCCAAGCCAGAGAGCGACGTGCTGTGTCCACGAGGCTGAGCGCGACAGGCGTTCCAGGGGGTGGTGGCACCCAGGCGGACAGGGGTGTGTGGGTGGACAGGGGTTGCGCGGTCAATCTGGCAGTGTTGGGGTGGCCCGGGGTGTCGGCCGCCGGTCGGGTTGCGCGATCAGCGAGTCCAGGCTTTTTTGGCGAGTTCTGGCTGGAATCCCCTGCAAGAGTGCCAAGCAATGCTCTGGCCAATCGTGGTGGTTGGTCGAAAAAGAACTTGAACGGACAACTCCGGCCGAGCTTGGAATTGCCTTGGAAGTGCCTCGGGCAAAATAAACTTGGTGGGCGAAGCCGCTGCAAAGTCTGCGCTCTTCGGTTGTTATAATAGGAGTCGCTGAGCTGTGTCTCCTCTACCTGGTTTCCCCACACACGCAGGGAAATGCCAAGGGACCGGACAACGATAGCGCAACTGACAGCTGGGACGGGGTCGTGGCGATCCCGGGAAAAGCGGGTCGAGTGCTCCGAGTCTGGGGTGACGCGGACAGACGGGCCTCGGAGGTGGCTGAAGGGTAGCAGAAGGCGAGGATCACGAAGTGAATCACGCTGAGAACGGCCGGGCGATGACTCGGTGCAGTTGCAGCACTGCGGAGTCGGTCGTGTTTCGAACACGAAGGGCCGGCCTGGGCTTGACGGTGGTAATTAAACGTTTGTGATGCGATCTCGGGGAAGTGGCGGGCAAGATCGACTGCCGATTCGGGTGCGAGTCAGTGCTAAACTTGGGGCTAGCGGGTGCCGGTCTGTGCACTAGTCGTTCAGGTCCTGATCGTCGTGGAGTTCGGTAGTCGTGGTGGTGATTAAGGTTACAATATTGGTCCGAGCCAGCGGAAGAGAAGTGTCGAAAAAAGAAATCGGCGCTGCCGTCAAGCGTAAAGTTGCAATGTTGCGACTCGTCAAGATATTTTGGATCCGGGCTACGAGGGCTCCGGATGGGTTAATATGGGAGAAGATGCGGGACCGCGGTAAAGGTGGCCGGGGTTCTCAGTCGCGCGCCAAAAACCAAGCGGCGTCGGGCTGGAGCTGCGTCGCGCCGTTTGAGAAGCCCAGCGTGTTCGAGGAGTCGCCCAGTGTAACTGTTAGCCGGCGTTTGGAGAATGATTCGCTGTCCTGCTGCAGCGGCAAACGGGGGGCGAAGCGGAGTGGGGCGTCTGCCAAAACGACAGTAAAAAAAGCGACGATGCTGGACGAATGGTTGGGGATGCTCGCTGTCCAATGAGACGGTTCAGTATGGTGAGTTGTCGACGGACTGGAGACGGGCTACTGCAATCCAAAATGGTGGGTTTCTGGTTGATTTGCCGGCGGTGAGTCCCAAAGTCGTTGTTCCAAGACGCTTCTCGAACAGGATATAGCGTTGAAGCGGTCTGCGCAAACCAAAGAATCGGCTTGTCGTCGAATTTTGTACACCGTCTGGCGGGGTCCCTTGGCTTGGAGGCGTCTGGCTCGGCGAGGGAGTGCGAAACTCAAGCTGGCAACTTCCCAGAAGGAAAGGGAGGCTCAAGGGAGAGAGCAAAATGCAGTCGCGAGAAGGGTAGGATATCGAGTGCGAATGCACGGCGGTCGGTCAAATTTTGTTCGATTTTTACCCCTTACCTGGGCATGGAGCCAGTTGATCGGGGTTCGTGTAAGTGTGTCAGAAATAAACGGAGCACGGAGAGTCGTCCCAAGGGAGGTGTTGCCCAGTTGGGCAGACGGATTGAAGGTATGCACCAGGGCAACTCCCGCTAAAACATTGGAAAGCTGGATTGCAGATTCCAAACAGTCAAAAGGGAACGAGGGTCATATGCTTTCGAGGCATGTGCCTTGATCATGATCATCGTGACCTTCTCGCATGGAGTTGCACCCAACGTGGCCGTCTGCCAGCACACAAGACCGCCGCCCATCGCATCCCAACCCTCAATGCTGGCAATTAGACATCAATCCCAGCCCGAGTCACAGCGTTTTTCCGCCCTGAAAATCGCTTGTGCCACCTTGATTTGAATGGGCTCCGATTTGCATTTCAGGCCCAATGCACCACCCAAGGGGTGCATAACACACTTGATGAATGGCTGTCAGCTCCGCATGCGAGAATTTTGAGTGCCAGCGGCCGAGCGACTGCTGGCTGCGATTGGCGGGTCCTTACCCCGGCGTTGGGGTTTGAAACAAGCGAGGGGTTGTGTTTTGCAAAACGCGGTTCAACGCCAGAAACGGGATCGAGGGGTTGTCTATTAGGAATGCAGGTCGATCACCTTGCCAGGCCTGGAATCCCTGGTTCCGAACACTGGTATTGTGTTACTGATGGGCAGTGTTTTCTGTTTGGAATATCTCTTAACCCCTCACAATGCAGTTCAAAGCCACCAAACGGCGGGCTGCCGCTGCGGACCTTCCTAGGGCAAGTCAGCTTAGAAAGGACGAACAATGGGCATGTCGACGAACAACGCCAACTGACTCCCTCCATAGAGATCTGGACAAGCATCTTCAACTTTGTTTCCCATATGAGGGGCAAAAGTTTAGGGGGATCGAGTATCGCGCACGTCCCTCCTCCAGACTTTTACCCCTGAAGCCCCAGTGTTCAGACCCACCAGGCAGGCGGGGCTCCCACATGGCGACGAAACGAAACGCACGAGACGACGCTGACAACGGTGAGGTTGAAACAATCGGCTACGCGAACCTAACATCGAATCCAGAACTCTGGAAGGATGGGGTCTCGGATTCTGTTCACTTCAGAAGCCGCAGACATTTTCGGTGTCAAGTGGATGAAGAGATGACCCCGATCAGCCAGGTCATGTGCGGTGACGGCAGACCTCGTGCTTCCATGTGATGATGGACCCCATGAGCTTGATCAAAACTTGGGACAGCAGGCTTTGTCAATCACGACAACAGAAGCAACTTTGATCACCCCCCTCGCAGCCCGCCCCTCCATGGGCTATCAGACAAAAGTTGGAGTTGTCACTGTTGTCCAAACGAACATTCAGACCTTGGTGGCTGTTAAATCTTGGCTGCCAAGCTCTCTCCCACCATCCGAACCCAGTACCAAATGTTTACAACAGCTTGGTGTTTCAAGTTACTGCATCTCCCCAGCCCTCGTCACGTTGTTCCATGTACTCAGACATTGTAGCAAGACTCCCAGATGCTCGTGAAGTCTCTGATTTTGACATACCTACCAAATTAGGAAATGACGGTGTTGGTTCCCACAGCTGTGGCAACATCTCCTCCCCCCAATGCAGTTCTCCTGAATCGTGCATGTGGAGCGGCCGATGGCTTTAAACCATCACAGTCCGTGAGCGGTGAAAGGGATGAACGGCACGGAGTGTTCAGTTTTCACCCCTCGTTACCCCGCGCCGCGCCGTGACCGCCTCCCGTGGTCCACACTCTCGCACTCAAGAAACCGGCACACCGCTTCGGTTCCCTCCCACTGTGCCATTCCATCATTGTTCCTCCACGCTTGGCGGAGGAAGGGCCCGGAACGAACGCCGAAGACCACCGACGATAAGGTAAGGTCGCCCGCATCCTTTCCGAATCCGACCCCGCCCACCACCGGCCATCGGCGTCGCCAGCACGCCAGCGTGGCCAGCCAAGAGCCAGCCCCGCGGAGGGCCTGCCGTGGCTCGTGATTGGGCCGCTGCATGTCTTGGATGGAAACTTGGTTTGCGAGCCAATTGCGAAACGAGAAATCTCTCTTAGCCAGTGGGAGACAACCTTCTTCGCTGCTCGCGCTCGCGTCGCTGCTGGGAGGGTGTTATCCGGCCTGCCCGTGGATGAAGCCGAGCACTGCCGCTGCATGTCGCACGCAACGTTCTCATCGCCATCGTTTGTGGGTTGACGGTCTCGACGGGGTCTTCCTGACGCCGAGCAGGGATGGACAGGGTCCGATTTAATTGAGAAACCCCATACTTCGTAATTACGGCAGTGGCTTGCGTTCATGCGGGTGGGTATTCATCTGCGCTAACAAAAGGTGGTGACATAAGCAACCAACAACTGTTAAGGACGAACCCTGAGTCTTGGCGTTGAGCAGGGCACAGCTCGGCAGTGGCTGAAAGCTGCGTCATCGCTCGTGAGCTGCCTCCCAAACACCAAGCTTCCAAATCATGAGGCGCAACGCAACCAAGCACAGTGGCACCCAAGCCAGGATAGATGACCAGCCACCCTATGCTGGCTGAAGACCCTATGCTGGCTGAAGACCCTATGCTGGCTGAAGAGTGGAACTGCCGCGTAAGTTGACGGCGACCACCTTGATTGAGGCAAACCTGTGTTGAGTCGTCAACCCGGTTACTATGGCGTCACAACGCAAGCTGCGGCGAGGTGAAAACCGGGGAGCATTCCGATGCGACTCCAGTCGTCCACCAAGCGTCCCATCGCGGCCGGCACAGTTTTGCCAATGCGGCAGCGAGTACGAACCGAGCCCAGCGCCGCGTCGTCCGGTGCAACACGTCTCATACCAAGCTACCCTCGTACCCCAGGCCAGGCCAAATGCCCGCCGCCCTCGCCTTTCTTCGGTAAATTCCCCGCGTCAGACGGGCCAGGCCTGTGGTCGTGCCACCGAGGCCCGGCTATCAGATGATGATGAAAGACTGGGGAGGCCACAAAGCGTGGCCCGCTAAGACAACACTTCTTGTTCACGAGTTCCCAGTCGTATCGAGATTCGACAATCGAAAGTCAGTTGGGGGCCGAAAGTGAAACTCAAACCCCGAAACAAGATTTCGGGACTCGACCGTTCATCACTCCTTCATCGTCCGTCAAACCGTCACAGGAAGGGGTAAAACGGAGTTACAGGTCCCTGCAACCACGCGCCCGGCCCAGGCTCCGCCCTCTCGGGACTGCAGCTCTTCCGCGGGACATCCAATGGCCAAAATCAGGGTCAACATCGCCATCGTCCATGTCGGTCGCAGCTGCAAGCGCAAGCGCCCGCCCTTAACGCCGGCGAGGCAAACAACGGGAAGCCAGCGCTTAGCATCCTCCCAAGCTCAGCTCTCGACCGGAGACAGCCGTCGGCCCCCAACCTCCAGCTCCCGGACCTTGAGGTTTGAGCTGCTCTTCCTGAGCAATCCCATTGGCCAACGTAGCCGCAGACGCGCGCATTGCTAAATTTGACCGCGAGTTCAGCCCTGCGATTGGATCGACGTCTCGATCTGCCGATCCAGTAGCGCCAGATTCCCGATCGGGACCCTTGGTGCAGCGGCTATTCGACCAGCCGACGCAAGACTCTCCCTCCCGCCTCGGCAGCCTGCATGTTCAAAGCAAAGTTTTGCTGCGGCCGCGGGTAGACAGCATCGCGGCTCTCTGGCCCTATGGAGGCCCCGGGAGAAGAGGACGGTGCCGCAGCCCTGCGGGGTTGAAACGGCAAAGTTAAGCTTGTATCCGCCGCTTCTCCCCCTTGTTTCCTCTGTTCGGAGGCGCGGAACCGTTGAGTCGAGGTCGGCCAAAATAGAACGGGACATCTCACCGGCCGGAGAGGTAGGATTGCCTGGGTCTGAAACCTTCTTGGGTTTTGTTTGCATGGCCGTCCGCAATATGTCTCGGAGCCGAGATGATTGTCGGCGAGCCAGGCCGATCCAACATGTAATCCGTCGTTGGGGCACGGAGGCCAAATCCAGGCCCGCAGGCGGTTCATGTTACAAATCCGGGCAAACACTGGCCGGCTTCGTGATTCCTGCGAGTTGCGACATCACTCAACACGGCTCGCAAAATAACTCCTGCGCGTAAACGGTAACCACCACGGTGGTAAATCCCCAAATTAGACCCAGACCCAGAACGAGCACGTCGGCGCCGGTAGTTGACAGCAAGCCCCAACCACAACAACATCTCAATTCCGTACGTACATACGGTAGGTCCCCTCTGTAAACCACAAACCAGCCCCCCCCCACCCCCCACCCCGGTGAAAGCCCCAGCGCGGCACTGCCGGCACAACAGCGGACCGTGCCCCTCCCCAGCCCGGATCTGAACCCGGCGGCGCGGTCACGGTAACTACCTACCTTACCTATGCTGAACCACAACCGCACATGCGATGGTGAGGTAGCCGCACTACCACTTCGCTTGACTTCACTCCAACCTTGCCTTGCCTTTGACCTGCCTTGCCTTGCCTTACCCTGCCTTACTTTCCCGCACACCGGCATCGCTGCCACCGCAAACATGCCTGTGTGTGCCCGTGCGCTTCACGGCCGGCTAGCCCGTTGTTGCGGAGGTATGCAAAGGAGGGGTTAGGGGTAGGGGGATGTCTGGGAGAGCGAGTCGGTTTCTGGGTGGTGGTGGTTGTGGATGGCTGGTCATGAGAGGGAGGAAGAGGGCGGGTGCGGTTGTTGTGAATGGCAAGGCACCTGTGTACCTGTGACGTCTCAACCCCATTGTAGATTCCCCTCGTTACTTGATCAGGGTGACGCCGGTTGGCTAAGAAGGCAACAGAGCGGGCGGGAGGAAGGAGCGGCGGTATCCAGCGGTAGAGATTATGGTAGCTTTAGGAATGGGTTGTGCATTGGTGGGGTATGGGAGTGGTGTTTATATGGTTCCTACTTTGTAATATTAATGGGCTGGTTCTGTCCAGCCGGAGCTGCCAGGTGAGGGGTGTTGGTCAACAATTCCCAAAGAGGAGTGCCGCGGTTAGACATCTTCCCGCATGAGACATGGGGATGGCAAAGAAGCCCAAGAAATTAGTTATTCGTCAATTCGGGCCTGGGAAGGGCCTTTTTCGCTGCTATGAATCGTTGCATGAGAATAAAACAAAGGAAAAGAAACTTATTCCGTTCCCTCTTAACAACAAGCTGAAAGGGCGGGGGAGACTGGTTGTTGGATTAATCCGCCATGGGGCGGTCCCGAAGATGCAAAGATGCAGTCAACAAGACCCATGCGACACCCCTCCCCCACGTCCTCTCCCCTTAGCAAGCCGTCTCCTTTCCCAATATGCCATCCCAGGCCGCCACATCCCACTGGCACTCTAGTACATCATACTAGAGTGCTCTGATCCCCTCCAACGCTGCGCTAAAAAGCCCTTCGTGAATGAAATGCTTCCAGGGATCAACAGGTATCCTGAACGCGGGGCGTTATGTATGCTTCAGATAATCGCCCAGCTGGCTAAGCAAGACTGCGGGTCGGTGACGATGCTCGCTCTTTCGGCCGAACTATCTACTGGTTATGGCTCTGGGGAGGCAGTATCCGCTGCCGAGTAGTGGGGTGAACCATCTTAGTGCTCGTGGACGCCGTCTCCCGGTCCTAGTGGTGACTGCTGCCATGGTACTGCGTGCGGAGGTGGGTCTCGAGGTCTTCAAAGTACGGGTGGTTACAGGCCTGCTTAGCCGAGATGCGGCCGGCGGGGTCGTAGACGAGCATCATCTCGAGGAGGTCGAGACCTGCGTCGTCCAGGTTGGAACAGAGGGCTGCCGTGGGGTCGCGCGCCCACTTAGGGAAGGAAGACTTGAAGTCGGGATAGCTGGTCACGCCGGGCCAGATCTCCTCGGTCGGGGTTCCAAGGAGGCTGTAAACACAAAAGTTAGTTAGCCCGGGCGACGGGCTGGCTTGGAAAGGGAAAACATACCGGAAGATCTTGAAGATCTCGTCAATCTCCGAGTCGCCGGGGAAGAGCGGCTTGCGCGTGCACATCTCGGCAAAGATGCATCCGACGGACCACATGTCCACGCCGGTCGAATACTGGCGGCCCGCCTAGCAATATCTCGGGGGCGCGGTACCAGAGGGTGACAACCTCGTGGGTGTAGGTGCGAAGAGGGACGCCAAAAGCGCGAGCCAATCCAAAGTCGGCCAGCTTCAGATTTCCCTCGCGGTCAATCAGCAAGTTCTGAGGCTTGAGGTCGCGGTGCAGGACGCGGTGGCTATGGCAGTAGCGCACACCCGTGCACAGCTGGCTCATGAACCTCTTTATCATGCCCTCTCCAAGACCCAGCCCGTGCAGCTGGGCCCCGGTGCCCTCGGGGAGTGCCTTGCCTCGCCCGCCTTCGCTGACAGGCAGGGCTTCCATGTACTTCTTTAGGTCGAGGTCGAGAAACTCGAAGACGAGATAGAGCTTGTGACCGTCGGCATGGACGATATTAAACAAACGCACGATGGTCGGGTCGCGCATCTCTTTGAGCAACGAGATTTCTCGGATGGCGGTCGACGGAACCCCCTCATCCTCGGCCTCGAGGCGGATCTTCTTCAAAGCGACGATGCGGCCGCCATTGTTGAGGTCGCGAGCCTTGTAAACAACGCCATAGGTACCTAGCAGCGGGATACAGATCAGTGTCTACCATGGGCAGTGAGGACAACCTAGAAGAGGGCAGCGACCGCCACATACCTTCGCCGACTTTTTCGAGCTTCTGGTAGTTTTCCATGGTCATTACCGGTCACGATGATCCTCTAAAGAGTCGAACAGTTGGCCAAAGTACAATCTCGAAACCCGCGGTGGCCGGGGTGTGGGATTGTCGAGACTAACCAGGGATGGTCGCGCAAATGGTGGGGGTTGAGGCCGGAAGCGAAACGAGGGGCAACTGGTTCCAGGGACAAAAATAAATAGACGCCCAACCGGTAACTCGGTTGGGAAAGAAAATCGACGACGAGGCAAGAAAATTTGTTGAATGAGCCTCTCCAACAAAGGTGCACTTACTATCGTAGAGCCGAAGGTTGTTAAAAAGGTTGGTCGCCGGAAGCTGCGCTCAGCTGTGAAGGCAGATGGAGGGAACGCAGCAGTCAAATTTCCGGGGTTGGTCAACAAATGGAATTTGATTGTTGGTCACTGGGCGACGCGAAGAGCGCGTCGAGGCTGGCGTTGCTGAATCGGGCAGGCCCCACTCTATTTCAGCGCTGCTCAACTGGCAACAGCGGGGCAGAAGCTTCAACCCCGCGGCACTGCGTTTAAGGGATTTTGGAAAGTTGCTCTGTGTGAAGGAAACCAAGTAAACACAACCAACCGCCCCGGATTTTGGCTTTACCTTAGTCATCCATAAACCTCTCATCATATGCATATTCGGAAACCTGAACAGTCTAGCCAAAACCTGCCCGAACCTGTACAAACCAACCTGGAAGGCTCAGAATGACAGTGGACATTAAACATCTCGATGCTCATGAGCAGCCGTCGGACGAGCTCAGAAGCAAGTGGAAGGCCTTCTCGAAAACAGAACCAAAAGATCTACGCAGCGAAGACGTCGATGATCTGCAAAATCCAGAAAGTGCAGCCGAGTTCTGCGTGGCGGGTACCATTCCCGTTGACACCCTGAATCGTTCATTCCGTCACATCTGCCCCGACGGCGCCCCCGAGTTTCAAGCCACCAAAGATGCTCCCATATACTACCACCCGCTCCTTCCAGGTGAGTTCAGGAAACCCATGTTCCCGATTCCTGCCCTGGATAGGTAGGCACCAAGCTAACCCTTGCCAGGCCTCCTGATAGTCCCCTCACTCATCCCCCCCTTGGTCCAAAAAGCCCTCCTCTCACACCTCATCCACCGCGACCTCAGCGACCCCATCCACCAAACCAACCTACACCTCCACTACGACCTCCCCTACCCCAAACCCACCTCCTCCACCTCAACCTCCTTCTTCTCCTATCCCCCAACCACCCCCCCAGCATTCACCCCCAAAGACCCCACCATCCACAAACCCCTATCCATCAAACAAGTCCTCGAGCGCCGCCTGCACTGGGTGACGCTGGGCGGACAATACGACTGGACGAAGCGGGTGTATCCCGAAGAGGGGGAGGGGGCGCCGCAGCCGCCGGCCTTCCCGCCGGATGTGGCCGGGTTCCTGGAGACGCTGTTCCCCGACACGCGCGCCCAGGCCGCCATCGTCAACCTGTACACCCCGGGGGACACCATGATGATGCACCGCGATGTGTCGGAGGAGTCGGATAAGGGGCTGGTGAGCGTGAGTCTGGGGTGTGAGGGGCTGTTTATGATCGCGCCGAATGGGGATGGGGGGGTTGGGGAGGTGGATGGTGGTGGTGGGGATGGGGGTGCGCGGAAGAAGGAGTTTTTGTTGCTGAGGCTGCGGTCGGGGGATGCGATTTACATGACTAAGGAGTCGAGGTATGCGTGGCATGGTGTGCCCAAGGTGTTGAAGGGGACGTGTCCGGAGTACTTGGAGGAGTGGCCGGCGGAGGGTGGTGAGTTCGAGGAATGGAGGGGGTGGATGGGGAACAAGCGGATCAACCTCAACGTGAGGCAGATGCGGGATTAGGGTGGGTGGGCAGGTTGAAGGAAACGACACACTGCGGTGGTGGCGGAAGCATGTAGAAGAGCCCGAAGTGCTCACCAAAGGCCTTAGGTGCGGCTGTCTAAGCTCTGGACTGACCGGGTCTTCATCAGCGTCACCCACACTTTACGCAAATTGACGACTGGAAGAGAGATCCAGCGGTGCGTCACTATCTGGTGGGAATTTGAGACTGTGGCTGCAATCGTACTTTGCTTTATTCTCCGTGCAACTGGGCGACAGTTGACGCCCTGTTTCGACTTCACCACGCCGAACGCGGAAAGCTCGCAACAGACTCATCCAACGGCCCGACGGTCTCCACAACCCAAGTTATTTAGGACGCACGCTCGTCGCTGACGCCACCCACGATGTACCCCCCGCAGGCATACGACCCCTCGGCTATCACCCCAGTTACTTCAGTCCACACCAGTTCCCTCGCCACGATGCTGCCCACCATGCGATAACCGATTCTCCATGGCCGGTCTGAACTTCCACAAGCGCTGCCACCGAGGAATCACCATTCGATACCCCTAGAACTACTGGTCGCTCCTCCGAGTTGTCGATGAAGCCCATCACGCAAGGCCCAGACGTCTTCCCACCCGCTCGATGTCATGTCCCGGGACTACCCCAAGTTCCCTGAGCTCACCGCGGAGACCATGACTAGGTCCATGGCTCCCATCCGAGCCTCCAACGCGGGAGCGAGAGCGGTTCCCATCATTCTCCCCGACAATCTCATCTAGCCCAGCCACGGGGAGCCCGCTCCCGCTCCGGCTCCCCGTGGCAGTTGACCTGCAGTGTGCCCACGCCAATCGGAGCCGCACATTTTCCACGGCTGTCCCTCCCCAGGGTGCCCTCTGCGGAACCCTCCACCTCCTCGCCAACTACCTCCGCTCCCCGCCATCGTAGCCGCCTCGCTGCTCGTCCAAGACGATGCCTCACGCCGGCCCAGAAGCCGAGAAGGTTATCCAGCAGAGGGATCTAGGGCAAGAGGGCTTCGGCAAGTCTAGCCCGTCGTGCAGAAGCCCACCCCGCGAGAAGGGCAGCCGGCAGTCCGAGACGGGGCTGTGGAGGCCATGGGGTGGTGGGATAGGGGCGGAAAAAAAGCGACGGGGCTGGAAAGGCGGATTGTGAAGTAGTGTAGCGTGGGGAGCTTTGTCGTGGGGTGATGATGAAGGGCGTTGCGAGGAAGGCGGGATTTGGGCGACGAAGCGGCTAGGGAGTCAGCGACTTCCTTGCCGACAACGTGGATCAGAGCGAGCGAGACAGTTACTTTATGGAAGCCCTCCGTCTGGTCGAGTATGGTACCATCATCCAGAGTTCGGATATGCGCCAGGGCTTCCGACGGTGCACGTACGCACACTCAGGAGAGCCAGCAGTACGAGCTGGACAGGATAGTTCAGCGCCGAGTCACCTTCACTACGGGAAGACCGAAGGTACAATACCTGGTGAAGCGGAAGGGATACGGCAACGAACACAACAGCTAGTATCCAAGAGCATGTTCCCTCTGCTGGCCTTGGGAGCGGTGGGAGCGGTGGATGCCGTGAGCGAGGGGGTGGGTAGGGAGAGCCACGAGGGCTTTTTGGGGTTAGGGAGAGAGATTACCTAGGTAGCTGGGGAAGAAAGCGGGGAGGGGATATGATGATGAAAGGAGAAGGAGAAGTAACCCCGCGAGGGAAGAGGAATGGGCATACGGGAGTTTGCGAGTGAGAAGTAGGAAAGTCCCATCCGTCAAGGCAAAGGGCGGCGAACTCTCGACTCATATGTACCTAGTTGGAAATAGTACAATGCTGCGGTTGACCTCTTAGGGTTCCCTAAGAATGCACCCCACGTGGCACGCAGCATGATATGCATGACATGGTGATGGTGAGACACGGATCAACATCCCCCAGTTTGTTCAAGGTGCTTAAGGGTCAGCGTTCTGGTCGATTTGCCCACTGGATGCCGACGGTCTCATCCATACAACAACAGTACCCGTTGCCCGTTACCAGCAAATACCCCCTTCAAGGCACGAAATCTTCACCGAGTCTATCAGCCAAGTTGCCTCCCCTATTCGAGGTCTAGCCGACATAGACGAGACACAAGGCAAGCGCGCGTACATCTCAAGCCAACTTGGTATTATGACTACTGAAGAGAAGATAAAGCCTATATACCCCCCTCATATGCATGCACATGCAACCCCTCCATAGAAATTAACCCACCCCAAGCCAAAACCCAAAAGGTATCCCAATCCCGCATCACTCATTACCTTCCCCCAAAACCCACCTCCCTTAAAGCAACATGGCCATCACCCCCGCAGCAACCAGCGCCAAGCACCCAGGCACAGCCAGAGCAGAGCCCATGGAGTCACCAGGGGGGGGAACACCGGCGCCGCCAATAGGCGGCAGGCTCGGGGCGGGGATATCGTTGGCGGAATCGGATGGGCTGTCGTTGGTGGTGTCGTCGGTGTTGCCGGTATCTTCGGTGTCGGACGACGTGCTGTCGCCGCTCGTGTCGTCGTCGGTCGGGGTGGGGAAGGTGTCTTCCGACTCGGTCGACGTCGAGGTCGTGGTGGTCGAGGTCGGCCGGATGATCCCGCGGCTGCTGGTGCTGGTCTCGGTCTCCTCGTCGTCGTCGTCGTCGTCGTCGTCGTCGTCGTCGCTGCCGCCGCTGCAGGTGCGTCCGTCGGGGCAGCAGCCGCCCGTTACGCAGTAGTAGCCGGACTAGAGTTGGGGGGGTTGGTCAGGGGCCGGGTTGGGGTGGGATGGAATGGGACTTGGGGATGGCTTACTCTGCAGTATTTGCCCAGGCCGGTGTTACAGCAGGTGCCGCTGCTGGGCATGCAGTAGTCCGAGTCACATTCCACTCTTCCGGCGTCGCAGGTGCTGCTGCCTCCTCCTCCTCCACCGCCACTGTCTCCGCCGCCCGAGGAGGGACGGCATTTACGATCGGATGTGCAGGTGTAGCCCGCCTCGCAGTAGCCGCCGGCCGGGCAGCAAACGCTGCCGCTGGGTATGCACCTGGGGAGAGGGTGAGTGAAGGTCGGGTAGTGGCGAGGCAGAGGGAAACTTACCCAGTCACGCAAGGGACATAGCCAGGGGAGCAGGAAGAACCACCGGTTCCGGTGCAGACTTCCCCATCCTATTCGGGGTCAGTGACCATCCTCGTGGTCTGTCACACAGGGGTATGAATACGCACAGGGCAGCACCCGGGCCGGGCCATGCAGTAATATCCCGGGTCGCAGAATGTGCTCCGTCCCATCCTATCGGTCTCGTTAGCAAGAATACCAGCGGTATGCTGTCGAGAAGGGCACGTACGAAGCGCAGCACACACTCCCTGTGAACATGCACCCTGTGCCGCAGGGCTCCTGGCCGGCGGCGCAGCTGGACTGGCGGGCGAGCAGGGCAGCGGGGTTCTCCGATGTCATAACATCACTCTCCATGACGTTCATAGCCATGCCGCTCATCAGGGAACGGGCTGTAAGTTCGGCGAAACGCATCTTGACAGTTTGTTGTCCACGCGGTACTGCTGTGGGAGCTTGCTTTGCCTGGTTCCTGGGCTGGGGAAGAACAGTGCTTGACCAAAACAAATGGAAAAAAAAACACGGCAAGCCACTCGGCTCGGAAGCAGGTGCTTTATCTCTCTTCCCCAGCTCCCAAGTTCCCCCCATGCGGCTCATCACCCCAGTCGAGCTCCCCAGCAAGACAACCACTAGCACCCCTTGGCACATGCAACCCGACTTCAGCCCGACGCCCGCGACTAGCCCAGTCGAGAGAAGTGGCTTCGGAAGACACACACCGATAACTCCCTGGAGGCCGGTAACTCCAACTCGCTCCCTGCGCACCTCGGCTCGCTAAGGTCGGCCGTTTTGGGCGCTGGCAGCGTGTGTGGTGCATGGTAGCGGTGCATGGTAGCCGATGGTGATGGGGGCATCAGGCCGCTCAAGCCTGTCGGTCTGTCAACACACACCAGATACGACGCAGCCACATCATCATTTCATTCCAGTGCGCCCGGCTAATGAATGGAAGCCCGTCTTAACAGGGTGGGTGGTTGTTCGAACGTGGCATGGCGAGGGTCCAGCAAATTTCGATAGTGGTGTGCAGCCATGTCACGGGGTTGGTGGACAAGCCGGCAAGACTGTCGCTACCCGTCGACTTCTCATAAATCAACAAATGTGGTCGAGGTTGAATTGACTCGCTTACCCCTGCGCCGGGTCAATTCTGCGCCCGCGTGGGCGAGGGGAGGGTTGTGTGTGGTGTGACGGGACCGAGCCGCATGGAAAAGGCGCACGAGGCTGGGGGAGAGAGGAAGAAGTCGGCTCAAAGGTCCTGATGTTGAGCCTTCTTGAGGTGTTTTGCCAGGGATCGTGCTTGAGAGCGAAAGCTTGGCGCGCCATTGGGCTGGGGCTGTGCCTTTTTTTGGATGCGGGGGTGGATTTGCTGGGTTTAGCGTAGCTTTGGCAAGTGGGGCAGCAGAGTTCAGCTCCATGTCTCGATCTTTCCGAGCGGTCCGCCTGCAAGTCCCGTTCACAAACGCACCACAATTGAACGAACGGGATGTCGGCCACTCGACTAACACACACGTGATAGAAGTAAAGAGAGACAAAGTCAAAGAATATTGGAGTTGAATTCCTCAAATCCGGCCTTGGTTTGACCAAGAACTGTTGTATCATAACAACTGTGTCATTTTAATATACCTTCTTTTTTGTTCAGGGCACCTTCATGCCAACAACCGGGCAGGGCTCCAGAAGACACTGGAGAAGTTGAGAGGTTGAAGGAAAGAACTCGAAGGCCGAAGCAGACTACCTACGTACTTACCGGAGCAAAGGGCTGTTGAGAAACGCAATGCAGCACGGCAGGCAAGTCAAACTTCCCCAGCTGGTTAAGGAAGGAACTGGTTCCGTATGAGCCCATGGAAGTTGTTATCCGATGGTTTTTGAAACGCGCATCTTCGACTTGAGGATCAAACGGCTCTCTTTTGTATCGATTAATGGTTCTAAAATGATTAAGACTCCATTTAGGTAACCAGGAGACCACCTGGGTACCTTAACTCCGACACCCACCCGTTGTGATGACTACCGTACCTATGATGAAATTAACCCCAAACCTGTCACAGGTTGGAAACTGCAACAACGTATTTCTCTGGTCTCAAGTCCGAATAAAAATCCCAATACCTAATTAAAGCATTCCAGGTCAAAACTCGTGTTTACAGCTTGATATTGATGTCTAACGACCGGATAATGTACTGAAGGAACATGATTCTCCCATAGGATAAACTACTGCTAGACGCAAAGAGCACATCGACATGGCGGGCCTGCCTACTCGTTTAGGTACGGTAGGTAGCTTCAAAGCCACAGACAGAGTCAGCCTACCCGTCTCGCCACTTTACGAACAGTTTGTTGTTCGTTGTTACTCCCAGAGCTCGTCATGCTTGCGTCCGAACTGCGGCCTGGGCCACCGATCACTTTGTGAAACTGGAAGTGACCTTGCTTGTTTACTGACTAGGTCATGCTGGAGGGCATGAAAGCGTTGCTCCTCCACCCGGCGATTACTTTTACATAAACTAACCCCAGCACCACACTTAACAAGTCCATTTGCCTTCATCCGAGGACTCTCACACCGCCCATCACCACCTCACCATGTGCCAAAAACTCATCCTACGGTACCAAAACAGCAAATGTGCCTTCGGGACCGAGCCCGTTGGCGAGTGCGAAGCCCTCACAGCCGAAGGCCTTGCTCGCGGTGCAACATGTGGGTTGCTGGTGATTGTGGGTATCCAAACGACCGCCATCGCGAAAGACCCAAACCACCGATGCGACCCCAACGTCTGGTGCGTGTTTCTAACATCGGCCGCCACCGAAGAAAGGTTGGCTGCCGCCCCCGACGGCACCTACTACCTGTCGAAGCCGGTCGTGGTGAAAAGCCTACAGCCGCTGGTGCTGTGTGAGGAGTGTTGTAAGTGTGGCCGGCTGGTCCATGTAGTGGGAGTGGCTAACACGTGGGTGTAGCGGCGAGTGGGCAGCGTTAGGTCGACAGGAAGTCACAGTGCCCCAGTAGGGTAAGAGAGGGCCTAAGAGTGCCATGTCGAGGTCGACCTGGGGTTTGTTTTGGTGGGTAGGGACCTGCCTTGGGCACATTTCCTTTCCTCTAACTAGAAAACATCGACTAATTACCTACTTACCTACTAGTGGACGAACATAATAAACTGGACCTAGGGTTACATAAACACTTCGTAGGCTTGGATGGCTGGGTATGATGGTGGATTACTGAGGTCTTGGACAGGCGGGCGCCGGGCCTGCTTATTTGATCATCGATAGGTATTATGAAGCAAACAACACCCGCAACAATTCTACCTCTTTTTACAATCATGCTTTTCCAATTCTGGCATATAACCACGTTGTTCGGCCTTGTACGAGAATACCTCTCTAACCGAACAGAACTGCCATCCAACTCGATGGAGAACCCGAAACAAGAATCAATGACTTGACAGTTTCCAGGGCGAGCATACGCTCCTTGCCTTGCCACCACTATTGAGCATCCATATCCAACTTGGCACCGAAATTAGGTACCTAGGTACCAAGATAGGTCTCAATTGCAGCCACCCACGCGAACCCACGACTATCCCTCTCTCCCACAGAGCCCACACAGAACAGAACAGACCACAAGTTCCCACGGCCCCCAAATCCCAACAGTGTATAAATACCTGACTAGTAACACCGGGAAAGTGGTAGAACTAGCTTCGACAGCGCGGTGGGCGCACTTGAGGCATGGTCAATGTGAGAGACGAGGAGCATTGAGGTGAGGCACGGAGGCGCTGCGAGCACTGCTGAATAGAACATTGAAAGTTACCTAGGTACCCGCCTTATTGAAGGTTACATATTCCGTAAAATATGCTGGGCTCCCGCCAAGGCAAAGGATCCCAATTCATCCAGGGGCACAGTCGACACAAGTTCCTGAGAGTGGGTTTTTCCTCTTGGCAGACGGCTCACGCGGTTCGTCGGCCGATTTAAAATGAAATTGAACCAAAGAAAAAGCTCGCTAACGTGAGATAGGCAGGTATATCCGTAGGAATACAGATCTGTACACGAGATATCTCCACAGCCGTTGGTCCTCAAGAGTCCAGGTTTGGACGCCGTCTTGTCTCCCTCTCTCTTTCTTTCCATTCTTTCCACCACCATCCAACGCCAAAAGCGAAAAAAAAAGAAAAGAAGAGAAGAAAAACCTTCCACCATGGTCCGCTCCGTCCTCCCCGTCGCCCTCGCGGCCCTCACCCTCCTCTCCACCCCGGCGACCGCCCAGGACGGCGTCAAAGACGGCCCCGACGTCCTCGACGAGTGCGTCGCCTGCCCGTACCTGTACAAGACCTTCTACACGTGCGCCCGCAGCGTCCCCGGCCCGACCCGCACCAACGTCGGCGAGTGCGTCTGCCCGCCGCGCGCCTCGGCCGGCTCCGACAGCGGCTGGTACCCCTACGTCGAAGCGTGCCAGCGCTGCCTGCCCTCCTCGGGGGCGTCGGGCGAATTCTGGAGCAACATGGGCGGCCTGTTCTGGCAGACGGTCAACAACTGCCGCGGCGGGCGCAACGTCACGGCCGACGCGGAGGGCGTGCTGTGCGTCGCGACCGAGAAGATGGAGAACTGCATGGCGCTGCGCGACGCGTCCGAGGGCCCGTCGTGGGTCGGCTACCGCCTGTTCGGCTTCGAGCAGAACAACAGCAACGAGACGAAGGTGCTGAATCTGGCCGCGTTCAAGCCCAACTCGACGTCGTCGAGCGAGGCGGCGCCGGCGTCGACCACCGCGTCGGGAACCGCCACGGGACTGGAGATTGTGCCGGCGAGCACTACGGCGCCGGCGGATGCTGGTACTGGGACGGACAACGAGGCCCCGGCGACGACGACGACCGACTCGTCCTTGGCGGCGGCTCGGTTGAGCCAGGGATCGCCGGCGGGGTATGTTTTGGGCGGGCTGGTTGTTGCTGGGATTGTTGGGTTGCTTTGAGAAGTGGGAGGGGAAGTTGGAAGTCTGTCGCATCGATGGCGGGCATATAATGTTAATGTCAATGTATGTAATGTTATGTACAAATGGGTAGAGTCGGCGGCCCGGCCGGTTTTGGAAGTCTAGGACTGTGTCATTCTTTCGAATTGACGACGCCGATTAGGTACATTCAGAGTGTGAAGATATCCTCCTCTACATGTGTATTCTACGTGCTTGGTGATCCCATGATCCCAGTGACCGACAAACGCAAAAGGGTAGGCTTTGCAGTCCCAACCAAGACCCCGACCAATAGCACCCAAATTCCGAGAGTTGGCCGTGGTGCTGCCTGCGACCTCGAAGGCGCCGGTGTAGGCGTATTAGACGAAGGCGATAAAAGTGGAAGCAGGGGTGCACGAATGGGTGGGTGGGTTTATGGGTATTATGTGAAGTTGTTTTCGGAGGATGTGCAGTGTAAGGGTATGGGTTGGGGAGAGGGGGTTGTTGTTTGGTTGAGTTGGTCAGCCTTGTTTTCCCCCTTTTTTGTTTGGGCGTTAGCGAAGGGAGATGTGAATTCTCTGGAATGGTTGTCTACCTAGATGACTGATGGCGAAAGGCGCCCGATTTAGAGGGCAATGATAATAATAGACTGATATTAACAACAAAACCGCACCGTCCTAGGCACGCTGCCACCGGTTTCCTAACAACCCTTGAGCCAACCTAATGACATGAAACAAACCGCCAGCCCCCCAGAAAAAGTCACTCGCTCAAACCGCCCACAACCCTCACCCTACCCTCCTCACAACCTAGAACCCTCCCACCCTAACCACACCCAACCACACCCAACCCTCCCACCCTAACCCACCCCAAACCAAGCCCTCTAAGCCCCCTCCAACCCCCTCAAAAACGCCCTCCTCATAACCACCCCCTCCTGCCCATGCTTCTTCACCAGCCCCTTCAACGCCCTCGCCTTATCCCTATCCCTCTCCTTCCCAACACCAACCTCACTCAACACGCGATCGTCCCCCTCCGTCCACACCCCCGGCATATCGGCGGGCACGCCCTTCCCCAGCACCAGGCTGTCCAGCACAATTTCGGTATTGTGGAAGTGGCAGGTAGTGGCGCGCACGGCGCGGGCGATGAGGGTTGGTGGGTAGCGGTTTAGCTTGAGGAAGTGCTTGAGGATTGGGCCCGGGTCGGGCGGGGGGTTTGGAGGGGTGGGGGTGTGGGTGTGGGTAGGGGTGCGCGGGTGGGGGGTTGAGAGGGGTTGGTTTCGTGGGGTGGGTTGTGTGGTTGCGGTTGTGGGTGTGGTACGGGCGAGAGGGGGTGGTTGTGGGGTGGCGGTGGCTGGCTGTTTGCCTTTGTCCTTGGCCCAGGGGAGGGTTCGTTGATGGGGGTTCTCGCGGTCTCGGGGAGGGGGAGCTCTGACGGGGAGGTTGTCGACGGACTCGAAACCGTCGTCTGAGTTGGAGGTTTCGTCGTCGTCGGATATGAAAAGCGGTTGGGCGGAGGATGTGCCGCCCGGAGCGCTTCGAGATGGCTCTTCCTGGAAAGCGGTGGCTTCGATTTCGGAGCGTAGCTGCTGTGAGGGAGTGAGAAGGACGTCATCCTCTGTGCCATCGTACTGAGGGATGGGCCGGGAGTATTGAGCTTCCGGCTCGGCGGGTTGTCTTGCTGGCTGTGTATGACGCGGGCGTCTAGTCGGGGTATGCTGGTTGGAGGCGGCCGCCCTAGCCCCGGCGACTCCTTGGCCGGCTCGCTCGGTGCGCGTTTCTGGTGTCTCCGGGACCTCAACATCGGGATCGTATCGTGGCCGTTTCCTAACCGAACTAGAGAAGGGTGTACGCGACAGTACCCTGGCTCTTTTCAGGTTGATAGGGGGCGAGGACACGAAATTGGCGTCGGATTCCTGTGACGCGGTCTCGTCGTCCTCGGCTTCCTCAACCATGACCCCTTCTTCGTCCCCTTCCTCTATTTCTTCATCGTCTTCCTCCTCTTCGACCCCCTTCTCACCCTCCCTTCTCTCTTCCTCCTCCTCCTCTACTTCCTCCACCTCCTTCTCCTCCTCCTCCTCTTCTTCCTCTACCTCCTCCACCTCCTCCTCACCGCCCTCCCCCGCTTCCTCCTCGTCCTCCTCGTCCCACTGATCAAACTCCTTCAACGTCGTCTCAAACTCCAGCAGGTGTTTCTCGAACGCAATCTTCAGATGCACAAGCACATGCGGCTCCGCAATCCAGTCAAAGCCCAGGCTTTCGGCAATAACCTCCCAATCGCGGAACGAGTGATCTGGCTCTGCGGTGGCACACCGCCACAGGTCCCAGATGTCGACTGCCTGGTGGTCAATCTGCACCCAGGGTCCAGGCAGGACGCAGTTGAGCTCGTTGAACTCGTTAAAGGTACGCCAGAACTCCTCGCGAGACAGGACCGGCGTGGTCTTGGGAGGGGCGGGGGTTACGTGTTGGTTCGGTTGGTTGGGTTCGTCCTCGTCTTCTTCAGGGGGTGCAGATTCCGCATCATCATCCTGGGGTAGGGCTGGGCCCTGTTCAGTGGCAGGGAACCATCCCTCTTCCCCCGGCTCGACTTGAATCTCGGTCAGGCCCAGGGCATGGCGTGTCAAGAAACCCAGAGCTCTTGGCTGCAACGCTGCGACACATGCCTGTAGTGTCCTCAACCTTGTACGCAAAAGATAACCCCTCGCGGGTGACTGTATTGCCCTAGCAATGGTGATCTGATTCCCTCTCTGCTTCAACTCCTGCAGTCGAGTCATAGGTTGCCCGTCTGTGAGAGTGTTTGCGGGGTTGGTTGGTATTAGAGCCGGCATCGTTTGGTTTCCGCGGCGCTCGATTGGGGATGGCCTGGTTAATGCTTTGGTGGCTGGTGGCGGTACAACTGGTGTTCTTGCGGACGGTGGCGGTACAACGGGCGTTCTTGCGGATGACGGCGGTACAGCTGGTGTTCTTGCGGACGGTGGCGGTATAGTTGGTGCTACTCGGGCCTTGGGCGGGTCTGCCGGAGATGGTGCCGATATAGCTGGGTGTGTGTGTGCCCGGGACGGTTCGACCGCGGGCTCTTCCTCGAGCGCCGAAAGATGGGAGGGATCTCTCAACGAGAGGTGCCGTACCCATCGATCGCGCCACGAATGCCAGCCGTGATGTGGGTGCTGCGATGGTCAGAGCGTAGGTCCTAGCGAGAGTATACAGGCTATGACTCACCTTCTTTTGGAAATCTTGGTAAATCAGGTTGCCATTCGGTTTCTCGCCCGCCTTTATGCGATCCGCCACGTATTTGGCGAGAATTTTGTCGTCTTCATCCGTGAAGAAATTTCTGGGCTTCCGCACCGGCGTATGGTTGCGCCCAGAGCTGGTTTTAACATCTCGGGTGGCAGGCGTTGGTTTTGCTGGTGGTGCGGGAGTATCAGGCGCCGTCTGGGGACCGCTGCCCGGCTGTGTGCGGCGGGGAGGTAACTCTTCCAAGACGGGAGGTAACTGATCCTCGCCGAGCAGGGACATATTCTTGACCCATTTGTCCCGCCATGAGTGCCAACTGTGGTGCGGATACTGTAAAGGGTTAGTATGGGACGGTCCTGCTGCGATTATATCTTAGGGGCAGTCCCAACCTTTTTGGCAAGATCTTTGTAAATTTCGTTGCCGCTGAGATCGCTCCCAGCTCTCCGGACCCAAGTCACGAGTATCTGCTCGTCCAGCTTGGTGTATGGAACTTTAATGCCTTTGCTCGGTGCCTTGGTTTCGTGTATGCGGTAGTCCTCAATGTCAACGAGTTCTCCCCCGGTCACGCAATCATTGATGTACTTCCATGATACGGATCCCGGTGGGCAGTCTTTCCTGGCGTGGTCTGCAACCAAGACGTCTGCAAACTTTTCCAACTGGACGATCTTGCCGCCATTATTCTGTTACATGGTTAGAGAGGTCGCTTGGGGTTGGGGGATACACTGGAGAACTGGCAGCCTACCCTAATTCTTTCTAGAATGGAGCTACGGGTGGGAACCCGTTGGGCAACCCAGAACTTGAGACCGTTGAAAAGAGTTCCCTCGTACTTCCCGTTCACTCCATCGTACACAATAGGGGCTGCCATGGTGACATGCTGCTGAATCGGGGATGTCTGACCCTAACCCCAACCCTCCACCCGATAGCCGCTGACCGCTGAGATGAACAAGCGCAGTGAAGGCGGGAAGCCAGGGCATAAAGATGATGAATGAATCGTAATCCGTAGCTTGCTAGACGAGACTGACAACAGGGAGTTGCGAGTTGTGGTTGTGTTCCGAGAGGGAGAGAAAGGGTCGCGCCTTGCTGCGGGCGTGTGAGATTCGGGCAAATATTTACACAACAGCCAGCGCTGTTGTTGTTTTGGAACAGACCCGGCTTAAAACCACAGATGTCAGATTGCTGAGTTGTGACCTTGTGACCCTGTGTCGACGCTGATGAATCGTTAAGAGATGAAGAAAATGGGTGTTTTATTGTGGTGTTCAGGTTCGGGTGCGGTTGCGTCGAGACCCACCTTCCGCGTCGAGGCGCGCTGTCACGCGATTTGCTTAACTAAAGAGAGCAGAAAGCTCGCTTAACTGCTTAAACGGATTTTAAACAGGGTCCACATTCGCTCGCTCATTTGCATTTCATCTGAAGCGCTGCGCCAGTCGGTTTCAAGACTCAAAACACCAACTTAATAACCAGAGGGAGACAAGGAGGTGCTCACTTTACTTTTGGCGCCAGAGTGGCCCTTCCCTGCGCTGTCATTTTGATGTCGAACTCGGGTAGCTTTTCCCATTTTTGTCTCAATTTCTCACGATTGGAGGGGTCCAACCGGGCGAGTTGTCTCACTCATCCGCTGCCCGCCGAGACTTGAGTCGGCCAACAGGCGCTGTTGAGATCGGGAGGGCCGGAGTGGAGTTGATCATTGGCCCTCGCAACCGAACGTTGCACAGCCCCTGGTTACAACAAACACATAACGAACTACCTTAACCTTCTCGAGGGTGGGAATCTGCGAAGCATGCAATTGCTGGCTGGCCCAGATTCCGAACCACCATCAAAATGGGCACCCTTGCCACCATTGCCCTCGTCGTTTTGGGCATTTCATTTTTGGTGTTTGTGACATTTTTCGGCCGTCTCCCAGCACTCAGGTGAGATGCTCTCTCTCTCTCCCCCGATGGCAATATGAGCACGCTCTAACACACTCAGACGCACACCTATCGCCTGGTTGCACCGGCTGCTATGGGTGCATCTCCCTAATGGCCTCACAAGCCTCGACCAGCGCCTCACCGGCGGCAGGGTGACGACCTCCTGCTCCCGTTTCGGCAACTACATGATGTACGACCGGCACCCGACCGTCTTGGTACGCACATCCGCACATCCAACCCCACCACCACCCTCCCCCCTACTTGCCTACTAACCCCCCATCCCAGATCTTCTTCCTCATCCTCCTCATCGGCGGCGAAGCCCTGTACCTCCCCAGCGCCTGGCCACAACTCAGCACCATCCACAAAACAGCCGGCACCATCGCCATGATCCTGCCCTACCTCTTCCTCTACCTCTCCGCCAGCTCCGACTCGGGCGCCATCACGGCCGCCAACCACGTCGCCGAGATGGCGCGGTACCCCTACGACTTCACCCTCTTCCACCCGGGCGCCACCTGCACGACGTGCCGCCGCCTCAAGCCCGCGCGCTCCAAGCACTGCGCCGTGTGCAAGCGCTGCGTCGCCCGCTGCGACCACCACTGCATCTTTATCAACAACTGCGTTGGCGCTGCCAACACCCACTGGTTCATCCTGCTGCTGCTGTCCACCGCCGTGCTGACGCTCTATGGGGGGTTGTTGGGCGTGGGCCTGATGACGACGCAGATGCGGCTGCGGTTTCCGGCGTGGGCGATGCTGCCGTGGCGGGCGAACGGCGGGGAGGGGATGCCGTTTACGCAGTGGTTGGTGGTGTGGAGCTGGGGGATGCAGGACGCTGGGCGGGGGGCGGGGGGCGGCGTGGCGATGGGCGCGGTCACGCTGCTGGCGCTGATGACGAGCCCGCTGGTGTGGGCGTTGCTGGGGTATCATGTGTGGCTGGTGTACTGCGGGACGACGACGAACGAGTCGATGAAGTGGTCGGATTGGCAGGCGGAGATGGATGAGGGGTTGGCGTATAAGAGGAAGATGGATGCTGGGAGGGTGAAAGATATCAGGGTCGAGCCGGCGTGGACGCGGTGGCCGGTGGAGGCGGAGCAGGTTATGGTGAGGACAGACGATGGGAAGCCGCCGGGGAAGGAGGGCTGGCCGGGGTTCGGCGAGTGGGAGGCTGCGTGGAGGCTGAAGGACGTAGAGAACCTCTACGATTTGGGATTTTGGGACAACTTGGTGGATGTCTTCGTTCCGGGCTTTATGTTCAGGGACCCGCACGTGCCGGTAGGAGAGGCAAGGCTGCGGCGAAAGAAGAAGAGAAGAGCGAGGAAGATATACATAGCGTAGGTAGGGAATGGATAGATAGGGGGTATTATAGACTAGTGGGCGTAGTTGGGGAGCATGGCGTTGGAGCATCGAAGAGCACATATAGGGTATCAATCTATCGTCTTTCGGATCATACATCGTACACGTAGTTACACACCCTGTCCCGCCTTGGGCCGGCCTAGAATGATACTGGCTGGGGCCTCATCCTTGCCGTCCTTGCCTCCGAAGCTGCCGCCCTCTGGATCTGGTCAAACGTGACAATCTTTTGGACGGCGGGCTGCGCCTGTGTGATCTTCAACGTCCTGCTATCCTCCACCAGCCCAGCCATCTGGCAGATCGCCCACCTCGCCCCAACCACACCCACGCCGTTCCCATCCGTGTCCGCATCGCCCGCGGACGTCACCCAGACCTCGTTCTGCCACCCCTTCTCCGCCCCCTCCAACCACGTCATGCCCCCGGCCTCCACCTTCCTCAACTCATCCCACACGCTCAAGCACACCTCCTCGACACGACTACGCGCCTGCTCCGGCTGGTCTTCGCGCAGCAGCTTATCAACTTTGGTCAACACGACCGCCGTCCTGACCTCGGCATCCCGCAGCGTCTCCAGCACCATGCGGTCGCCGTCCTTGATGCCCGCCACCGCGTCAATCAGCAGCACCGCCCCACGCAACATGGCCCGCCGCGCAAGGTATTTCTCAATCTCCTTACCCCACGCGGCCTCCGACCCAAGGCCATACCCGGGCATATCCACCATGATCAGCCGATACTGCGGCGGCGGTTCCCTCTTATCGCGCGCCGCCCGACGGACACCTCTACTCGCGACCGCGTCCTCGGCCTCCCTCGCCTCCTTGGCGCGCTGCAGCGCGGCCAGGCGCTGCTGCTTGGTCGGCGGGCCGAACCCGTACGCGTTGAGGCTCTTGGTGGAGCCGGCGGTGCGGCTGGTGATGGCGAGGCCGGCGCCGCGCGCGCGTAGGCCGTGCGCCTTGCGCGCCGTCTCGGCGTCCGCCCCCGCCAGCGCGTTGATCAGCGTCGACTTGCCCACGTTGGACCGCCCGATCAGGCAGACTTCGGGCGTGTGCGTGTTGATGGGGATGGTCAGGAATCGCGAGGCTGAGTAGAGGAATCGCGGTGGTTGTGAGGTGAAGACACGGCTCGCTTGTTGAAGAGTGTCGTGGTGTGGGGTGGGTGCTGTCAGTGCGCGCTGGTTGGGGTCGTTCGAGGGTGGGGGGAGGTAGGAGAGGGCGGGGTTGGAGGCTTCGGCGAGCGGTCGAAGCTTGGGCTGGGTTTTGGAGGGGGGTTTTCGGGATTTTGACTTTGAAGGGGGCGACTTCGACTTGGAGGGAAGCGATTTCGAGGGTGACTTCGAGGGTGACTTCGAGGGGAGGTAGTGGGACGGGGAGGAGGAGAGATGTCGGGAAGTGTTGGTCTGAAAGCGTTCTCGAAGGGAGGGTGGGTGCCCTAGTCTGCGGGAAGATGGCCGTTTGAGGGCGCTGGCTATTGTTGTCGGTAATAACCTCGTGGGTGTGGCCATGGTGCGGAATTGGGCCAGCGAGCCGTCGAGTCTGCTTTATTGGTGCTGGTCACAGATTAATCGATCGACGAAGTCAACCACAGAGACATCGATAATTCTGGACAATCTGCGTGCCTGCCGGGAAATAATATGCGATAGGGGTTAGGGTTAAAGTTTCCCAACCCTCAACCGCAGTTTTCCACCACCAGCTCCAAGAACTCATTCGCCCGCCACGCCACGAACAACCACCACCTCTCCGATCACAAGCAAACAAGCAACGTCCAACCCAACACCAACCTCAACCTCACCAATCACCACCCCAATCCCAACAACCCCCCGCCCAAAACAATGGCAACCACCCGCTCCCTCTACCGCTCCCTCCTCCGCGAGCTCCCACCGCGACCCCTCCTCAGCACACCGCGCGCCCCTCTCCACCAGCGCCTGCGCGACAACTTCCAGCAGCAGTCCGCCTCCGCCTCCGCCTCCGCCCCGCCCGCCGAGCTGCAGGCGGCCCAAGCCGAACAATACGTGGCCTACCTGCGCGCCCAGCGCACCTACGTGACGCTGCTAGAGCGCTATAACCCGGGCATGGGCATGGACGAGGAGGAGCGCGTAAGGTTGACGGCGCGGCGGGTGGGGATGGATTTGCCGGTGGAGTATGATGTGGAGGGGGAGGGAGATGTGGAGGGGGGGAAGTAGAGTGGTGGGAGGTGGAAGATCAGAAGGGGGAAAATGTGAGGGGGTTACGTTGTATGAAAGGGTGCGTTGGGTATATATCTGGGCTCATCACTCGGCGTTTGGAGAAGGGGGTTGGTTTCTTGGGATTGCTTTGGCTTTGGCTTTGGCTCAAGGGTTCTGGTATGTCATTGGCACCTGAGGTTTAATCTGGAGGAGCGAGTGCTGACGGCATCGAGGCAGTGAGTGGAGAAAAAGAAGCAGGTTGAGAAGCTGTATATCAGTCGAACATGTACATTTGCATACAACGCCCGCCGCGAGGTCAGCGGTGCCGAGAGGACGGGACATACTCCAATACAACAATTGCCAAATACCTTTACCATGGCGCACCGGAGATGGGACTTGTGATGAGACGCACGAGACGTCCGCCCCCGTGTTCAATGTAGTTGAAGTTGTGTATTTTGGTATCAGATAACCTTCCAAAGTATGGATTTGAGATACCACGCTCTTGAATCGCCGTCCCAAAACCGCCAATCCATCCATCCCATAACACCCAACTCATATACATCATTGTTTCGTTCCTTCTTTGCCCGTGTGTCTGTGTAGAAATAAAACGGCAAGGGGTATCAAGACCGCCATTAACAACAACCTCAAAAGGGTGCCGCCGTCGAAAATGCTAATTACTTTGAACCACCACCACCACGCCCTTGTGTGCGAAGCAGAATGTCAACCGGGCCAAACCCCCCCTTAAACACCACCAACACCGCCCTCCTCAAAGCTCTCATCCCAGCCCCCGGTCTCCAGCAACCAGCCGCCCACCCTCTCCTTCACATTCCCCACCGTCTCCCCCAGCGCGCTGTTCCACTGGTCCTGCACAACCCGTACCTTCTCCTTCAGGTCCTCGGTCAGGCGGCGGGCCTCCTGGGCCTTCATCTCCTCGACACGGCTCGGGTCGCGGCGGTCGTGCTCCATGGCCTTGACCTTGGCCGAAACGCAAGCCTCACGGACCTCGTGCAACAAACAGAGCAAGTTGGTCTGGCTCTCGATGAACTGGTAGGTGCTCTTCTCGGCGTGCAGCAGCAGGCTGAAGAGGTACTGCAGCGGGTGGTCGAGGTAGGCCGGGTTCTCGCCGAACTCGGCGGCGGGGATCTGGATGTGGAAGCCGTCGAGGTCGCCGCCGGGGATCTTGTCGAGCAGGCGCTTGAGGTCGGGCGCGATGTCCCAAAACGCATTCAACTGGACCTCGACCCCGCGCGCCACCGTCTCCTCCACCACGTCGCGGAACTCCTGCGTGCGGTGCAGCACCTCCTCGGCGTAGGCCTGCGCGCGCTTGGCCGCGTCCTCGACGAAGAAGGCCTCGGCCGACGCCACCTTGTCCTCCTGCCCGGCCACCCGGTACGGCACCAGCACCATGTCGCGGTAGCGGTCGTTGCGCTCCGAGAGCAGGTCGTACAGGCTGCGGTGCAGCGCCTCGCGCGCCTCGAAGATCCACTTGAGCAGCGTCAGCTTCTCGAGCAGCTCCGGCTGCTCGTCGCCCTCCTCCTGCGGCAGGTTGGGGTTGGACTCGTGCGTCTCGTCGAAGAGCCGGCTGCGGAGCGACTGGAACAGGTTGGTCGCCCCGTTGATGCGCGTCTGGAGGATCTCGTTCACCGGCATGACTACGGCTGCTTGGAACTCGTCAAAGTCTTTCTTTTCCAGGTCTTTGAGGTGGCTTTGTTCGTCTGTTTTCGCGTCGGCTTCCGCGGCGGCCGCTTCGGCGTAGCCCATGGCGCCGGACGAGATTTGTTGTTGGAGGTGTTGGCGGAGGGCCTGGCGCCGCTTCTTCTCCGTCTCGCCGGCTTCGGCTCGCATCTTAGCACTGGTCAATTTGAAGACTTCTTTGATCCCGTCGACTTCCGTCATGTCGCTGATCACTCGGACCTCGCTACGGGTCTGGGCCAGTTCGGGGTGGTTGTTGTTCACGGCTGGATGGTGGCGCGGGTACGGGGGCGGCAGTGTCACAAGGCGAGAGACATCGAGATGCGCCGGATTTGGCGTCGCTGGGGTCGAGGATGAGGCGAGTGAACTGCGAGAAAAGGCCTGGGGGGTAGTGACTGGGTCCTGGTCGTGCCATCCTGACTTCTCCAGAGGATAAGACTCGCGCTTGCTCGACCCCGCGCCGGGTGATGGTTGGGGCTCGTCGTCAACCCATTGCAGCGCCTCCCGGGCCTCCTTCGGAACGCCCATGTATTTGGACTCCCGCTTTGACCTTTCCATCCTGCCTCCAGGGGCTCCAGTCGAGTCCGCTTCCCACCAGCGACTTGCGGGGCGGCCGCGAGAATCCTCCTCGTCAAGTGCGTCGCTGACACTCATGCTCAGAATCGGCGACAAGGACGGCATGAAGTTCGAGGACTGCCAGTTCTGGTTGGCAGACGGGCTCGGTGACGGTGGTGCTGGTTGGCTGGATGTCGGCGTGTTTCCGCCCAGAGCAGACCCGATAGAACCCCGGTGTGATCGGGGCTCGGATGACTGTGGTGTTAGTTCCACGGTCCCGCTTGTAACCGAGTTGGTGGACTCTCGTCTGGCAGGCATCGGCCGGAACAGATCACGCGTCAGGTCCAGAATCTCCGATCCCATAGCCCCGATCGCCGCCCCATACCGCTCCCGTCGTATCCTCGACTCGCTCACGAAGAATTCGGCGAACAACCGAACCCGTTCGGCATCATTTGGTGCCGTCGCCTCGTTTCGAGCGAAAGCCGCAAAGCGCTCGATGGTGCCCCGCGCAAATTGATCGGTGCTTTGAGTAACGACTACATGTTTAGTCAAGAATGGTGAGGGCGACTGCGGGGCGCTCAAGGGCCCAGTGCTCATCCCCCGATGCGATGAAGAGGATCGGCTTCCTGTAGGCGGTGTGGGAAGTGCCTTCGGCGCAAGAACATGGCGCTCCGGCTGTTTCCCGGCGCTCGGTGACATCATGGTGGGTGTTACCTGTCCTGATAAGACCTGTGCTGATCCGTCTGCCCGTGGCGTTCGCGACTCTTGGCCGCTCTCCATCGACTCGCCCGTTCTGGGGGTATCTCCCCCTCTGCCTGTTCGCGGTGTCCCGCGGCTGATCGTCAATCGTCTCTGCAGTGGCCCGGGCGGGCCCGGAATCACAATATCGGAGAGGGGTTGTGGTTTTGCCGAAGTATCGATCGAGCTACGAGTAGTACCTCTTGTCCTACTCTCACTCCTCCGCTCGAGTAAGGTCTGTGCCTTGTCACCCCCTCACGGCCGGACTCCTCGTCAACCCTCCAGCTGGGCTCCCCGAAGAACTAGATTCGGGAGGTGGGCTCGCCACAGGGCTCTCAGGACTTGCAACCTCAGCACCAGCATGCACAGCCGTAGTATGTGATTGCTCAGTGGATAGCGAGCTAGGACCCGGCATGCTATCGCCGTCTCTCCAGTTTGCCGGCGTTAACGGCACCGGGCCCAAAGCAGCGATCCCTCCGGGCGGTGGTCGTCGGGTCGGCGGCGACACGATCGGCTCGTTTCCGGACGGCATTCGCTGAACACTCTGAGACCTCGCCGTCGATGGCGGCGGGCCAGGTGGAGGTGGTGGTACGGGCATGGCCGGATCCCACCTCACTTGCGATGAGGACCGCGATCGAGCCGACGTCGGTGTGGAAACGGCCGGGGTTGAAGCCGCTCGTCGTGCCCCCGGCGCCATGTTCTGAGAGGAATCCGAGTCGGTTCTTTGCGGTATCTGAAGCGTCAATGGCCCCGGGTGGCTAGCAACACTACGCGACAGCATACTAAACGACCTGGTTTGCGGTGGTGGCTCCATAGGGGGGCTTGCTTGTTCCGCCTCTCGCCTCCTCCCTAACGATGGGAGCCCAAAACGTCTCTCACGCGAAGCACCTCTCATTGCGGGAGGGGGAGGAAACGATGTGTTTGCGACAGGTGGTTCCGTGGCAACCCTCTGTATTGGCGGCGGCGGGGCTCTAGCAACGGACACGTTGGCTACCTGGGTTTGGTCGAATACCATACTCATAGGTCGCCCGCTGCGGGGAGGAGAGTAGGGCGGGGGAGGTAACGGCGACGCTTTGTCGTGTTGTTAGTTGAGCAACGCGCCACGAGGGATCGGGAAGCTCACTTTGAGGCTCTTGGTAAGACTGGGCAGCCTGAATGTGCTGCATTCGATCCGGAACCGGTCCGGCGACGGGCGAAGAGATCCATTGCTGCGGATTGTATGGCTGGATGGCGCTCAGGGGGGTTTGGCCGGACGAGAAGGCGCCATGAGAACTCACTGACAATGCCGACACCGGCGTGTGGTTCGGGTTGTGGCCATGAAATCCGCCTAGCGATGTCGTGTGAAGAGGATTTAAGCCGGCGCGAAGCCGCGCCGTTGGATCTCGCGGGGAGCTCATCATGATGGGGAGGCGCCGTTGTCGAACTCGGGCCTTTGAGCCAGATCAAGATGTTCACCAACGACCGTCACCCTGGAGAACCCTCGTTGGCTGCTCCGGTTTCACGGTCCTCGGGCTGTGTCAAGGCGACAGCAGAGGCCACACAACGCGGTCACGACGCCATTCACACTCGAATTATGTCGACTTCGGGGCTCGCTAAACAAATCGAGACCTCAAAAGGCCGTGTAATCGTACTCGGATCTCGGTAACCACCGGCAGTGGAGGCAGTTAAAGTCGTCCTGAAAAGCTGTCGTCCCTCCCAAAGCGCGGCTGCGGCGCGAGGTGGTGCAAGCTGCAGCTGGAGGCGGGAACGTTGCAGGAGGCAAAGAGGGATTGCTCCAGGCCCGACACGGAAGCCGAGAAGAGGCGACGGTGGATTCGGCAACCTATCAGCCCCCTGGTGTGGGAGCAAGTTGCGGGTGGGTAGATTAACTGTCGAACGTGCATTGAAAAGCGGGAGCCACCCCTCCCGCTTTCCGGTGGTCAAACTGGGGGTGGTGGGCGGCCTTGGCTCTTTCAGGTGCCTTCCGAGACGACCCTGCTCCAAGAGGGGTTGCGCTCCGAAACAAAGCCCTGGCTGGCTAGCCCTTCAACGGTGCGGCCTGCCGAGTCGACGGTGGTCAACGTCCAGCCATTCAATGTCGTAGTTTGTCTATCGAGACGCTCTGCTTGCAGCAGCAGCAGTAAACATCCGGATAAGGCACGAGATGAGTCCCTTATGGCGATCACCAATGGATCATCCCGTTCTTGTCCAACCTCAGAAACATGTACCATCCGAACCTGACCCGGGCTCAGTCGTGCAGCAGACACGGACGTGCAGATGGTGGGTGCTACATCGATCCGCAGACGGGGTCGCTCCGTGTCGCGAAAGCGTTCAGGCTCTTGAGAGAGCGGTCGGAGCGCGCATCAAGGGGCCCGACAGGGGCCGACAGGGGTTCCGGCACGCATCTTCACCTTGCCCTCCGAGCCCTCCCGAGTCTGACCAAGAAGCCACGAGCGAGCCAACATCCCGCGCAAGGCTCACCATCACGCCCGAGTCTCGGCCCATTCCAGCAGCTCCATCCTTGACCCATGCGTGCCATGCTCACAACGCGACTGTGGCGAGCGTCCGTCGACGGAAGAGGGGAAAAAGAGTCGGTCGATGGGGTGACAAGCCATGATTGGACTGTTGCTCGAGGTCTGTGCCGGCAATCTATTCTTGGTTCTGGGCAAAATTCACAAGGCCGGCCATGATTCGCCAGAAGCTGTGCATGGGCTGTGATGCATGCTGCCGGCGCTTAACCCCTTGCTCGATTCTTGGCGCATGATTCGACTGTTGCTTGTCGTTGCATTTGCAACCAGATGCTTCCCTGCGACTCCGCTCCGCAACTTCGGACATACTCGGACAGAAAATGCACGTCGCCGTGGTTTGCCGGATAATGAGCGAGCTGTTCGGCTGTCAAATCGACTAAGAACCATGAGATTCGATATCCTCCCACCAGAAATTGGTGCCTTTTCTTGTACGACACGAGTATGTGAAGACTGTGCCAACAGTTCAGCCTCAAGCTCAGGCGAGCTGCAAGGGAAACCCACCGACGACGTGGCTTTTCTTGTGGCCAAGGTCACATAAGTATCCCTTCAGAGGTCGAACGTTTGCTGCCCTCTATTGTAGCAGGAACCTCTACGGCTCGTGGTTATGAACTCATTGCGCGACCTCAAAACTGCTCAATCTGTCCATTAGTTAGGCCTGCCCAGAAGCCCTTGGCTCTCTCAGCTTGATGAGGCGGTCTTCGCAGACTCAGGCCGCCCAATGAGACACAATATTGCATCTATCAGCTCATCTCTGCCGAAGCCCCCACACACTCTAATAAAGCCTGGGGATTAAGATATTAATAGCGGTGGGTTTTGCCCAACGTGATTGGTTCGTGTGTGACTTTGAGAAACTTACATGGCAGTTCGCATCGGAAAGCCTCAATGCCGAAGAGAATTAGCGGATGAGTGGTCTCGATTGCGTTTGCAGGCGTCGAAAACAACAACCCTGACAACTCAAAATATCCAATTAGCAAACTGAACCGAGCTCGCCGCAGCCGTTCACGAAAGACGATGCAGAGACCAAGGCAAGCGATATTACCAGCTACAGTTTAGGAACGGAAGAGGATATTCCCGAATGCGACCTTGACTCGTGATGATGCTCTGGCTGAGGTATGACTGAGATTCGGTCGCGTCGACTCGGCACGAGACGCAAGATGCTAAGTGCCACATCAAGACAAAATCAGCCAAGAGAGCAGTTTCCAGCCGTTGAGCCTTGGCAGGCGTGTTTCCAGTCGGCTGGGGCCGAGGTGTTCTTTAATTAGATCCGGCTTCAGTGGCCGAGTCGGCATCGGAGGAATCGCCGGGACTGTGGGTCACTTCGGGTTTCCAGCAACCGGCGTCGGCCGACCTCGAACCGGGACCAAATCAGTTGACTCGGTGTTTCCCGCCAATACCCAGCCATAGTCAACTACTCCCCATTGTTGGAGACTATTCGACTGTCAGCGATGTCGAGCCAACGCCGGTCACCAGTGGCAGTTCTCTGATCACACAGACCGAAAGCCCCGTGTGGTGACAAATTGGTCGTGGTTCCTTCTTGGCCGCTACTAAAAAAAATGCCGGATCTTTCATGGCGTCCCAATTCTTAGACGGCCGGACACGTTGTTGGCGGGGATGGATCCCAGAGGGTGGATGTTGACCTCAAATTCAGGGCGATTCTCAGTTAGCCAATCGCCCATTCATTGCCAAAACAATGAGTCTAATAATTGGAATCCAATCCCGTCCGAGGGGCAATCAGTGAAGGCGCCCGTGGTATGCGCGCCTACCAAATAGCAAGGACAGGGGCAAAAGATAATCATGTCATGCTGGGAAAGGCGAGAGGGGAGCTCTAGGCGACTGGAAAGCCCCAATCCACTCGAACGAGGACAAACTATCGTGAACCCCACCCCGTTGGGTCACTAAAACGTTTTGGGCGGCTGCGGAAGCTTGCAGTATTGTGGCAGAATCCGAGTCTGCATCCAAAAACAAACCGGGTGATCGTCAGGGGATTTGCAAGAGGTGACCTGGAAATCAAGAAGCAGGAACAACGAAAGACATCGAAGCTTGTTTGGGGCAGCTGCGCACGCTTTGGTCTGGATTTGGCTCGAGGTCCCGCAAAAGTGGCAGGAACTGGACCCCACCAAAGGCGGTGAGGGTCAGCGCATGCCCCTGCTCCCCGCCCAACTGGAGCCCGCTGAGTTTTCTAGAGCTTTCCAAGCTGCTCCTCGGCAACTCCCCAATTTATTCATTTGGGCGAGCCTCACCCATCTCGCACCTCTTCCCATTCTTTTCCATTTGTCTCCGCGTAAACAACCTCTTGACAGCGGTTGTTTCTGACGATCGCCACCCAACTCCTCGGTATGTTTATTATTTCGCATCCTCCACGCATAAACACGCCAATTGCTCCCTGATGATTGTTCAGCTGGCACCAGTCATAGGGCGACTTGTACTCCCTTCCCTTGATGACGACGCTGCGGTCCACCAGGCCATCTCTGATCGAGCACCAATCTATTCAATATTCTTGAGCTTCAGCTTCGAAGAGACCGGTGCTAACCAAGACAGATATTGACTTTAGGTTCCTTCCTCCCTCGACAACCGCCAACATGGTTCTGCACAACCCCAACAACTGGCACTGGGTGAACAAGGATGCGTCGCCGTGGGCGCGCAAGTGGTTCGATGACAACCTTCCCAAGGTCGAGGCGAAGGAGGGGGATGTGACGGCCAAGATCAGCAAGATCATCAGCATGGACGGAGACGTCGACGTGGCACAGCGCAAGGGCAAGGTCATTACGATATTTGATGTCAAGTTAACTCTGGAGTACACAGGTACGTATTGCCATAGAATTACAAACACTAGTTCCCGCGCCCTGCATTGTTCCAAACTTCCCTCGTAATTGTCGATTTGTCCAGTGGTGGGCTAAAATCTCTGCGCTCCAGGCTCCACTGCCGAGGATGACGACGTTTCGGGTACCATTACCGTCCCGGAGGTCTCGCACGAGCTCACCGAGGACGAGTTCGTGGTAGGTTTACCCCTTGGAATGGGTTACCTGTAGCCGCGAGCTAAGGGCATGGCAACAGTTCGACATCGATATCTACTCCGAGTCCAAGGAGAAGCAACCTGTCAAGGACCTGGTGCGGTCAAAGCTCGTCCCCCAGCTCCGCAGCGAGTTCGTCAAGCTCTCCCCTGCCCTCGTCGCCGAGCACGGCAAGGACATCCAGCACGCCCCTGGTTCGAACCCGTCCAGCGGTTTCTCGACTCCCAAGTTGCACCCCCAGGCAGCTGCTGCCGCCAAGCCAGCGGCGACGTCAAGCTCCCAGAGCAGCAGCGGCGCCGTTGTCAACACGACTACTGTGACGGACACTGAAGAATTCCGCACGACAGCCGAGGAGCTCTACAAGACATTCACCGACCCGCAGCGGATCGCCGCTTTCACGCGAGCCCCGCCCAAAGTATTCGACGGCGCCAAGAAGGGCGGCAAGTTTGAGCTTTTTGGTGGCAACGTCTCGGGCGAATTCCTCGAGCTGGAAGAGCCACGCAAGATCGTCCAGAGTTGGCGTCTGGATCAGTGGCCGGCGGGCCACTACTCGACACTGCAGATCGAGTTCGACCAGAACGATGTCGACGCGGTCACGGTCATGCGCGTCGAGTGGAAGGGTGTGCCCATCGGTCAGGAGGAGGTGACCAAGCGTAACTGGCTAGAGTATTATGTTCGCAGCATCAAGCGGACCTTTGGGTGAGTATCTGCCACCTGCTTCCTGGCCCGCAAGATCTTGCGCTAACACCTGCAGCTTCGGCACCATTCTTTAAGAAATAGCATTGCGGGAGGGACGGCGTTCGGCGGAAGGGATAAGGTGGTACGACCGGTATGCATGGTAAGGGACGGCGGTGGCATCTGAGCTTGGTATGGTCAGAGCCGGGTCTTTCGCGTCAAGATTTATGGTGATGGCTGGATACCACCCAGCAAGTTACGGCGTCACGAACAAATCGATGAGAAAACGACAATATATACACGAGCTTTCTCCTTTATCCGCCTTCTACGCGCCTTTGCCTCGCCTCTCGTTTACCTTTCTTGTGGCATGTTAGCTGCTCGGATTGCTGGGGTCGATATTGACAACGGTGCCCCCCGCCCTTTATAGCCGCAAGTTGGGCGACGATTGTCTCGGGCGACTTCTCCAAGTAGAGTAGGGCAAATGCACGGGGACTAATAATACCGTGAGCTACTCAGTGGCATAGCTAAACGGTTACCACTATATCTAATCCGCAGCAGGTCACTAACGCGTCGTACCTATATACCATGGAGGCCAGGGCTAAATATAATAAGGAACGTTGCTGCGCTACTTAAGCAATTATCCCCCGGCCATTGCTGTCAGAGACCCCGTCACTGTTGACTGGTTAGGTCAACCCGACCAGGGGTGCGGCCGCCCTCGGCGCCGCCCACAGGACAGACAAACCTCTCTCGGCGAGCCTCCTCCCCAAGGAAAAGATAACCGAACCTACCTTACTCTAAACCTCACACTAGTAGTTCATGAAGTGCTTACCGCAGCCGTATCGGTCTTGACTGTACTGCGGTCATTCACGAGTAGTGTCCTCACACGTGCCGTCGCAAGTGTGCAGCGTAACGGTATCTTATTTGCCCTACTCAATCTAACCTACTCAATCTAAGGGGTAGCACTGCTACGCCCCTATTCACAACGGACAGTTGTTCACTTTCGACACGGACCGCGAGTTTGTAAGCCACATGAAGAGTACACATGCGCATACTTTGGAGGACTGCGAACTCGGTGCTCTCTGCCAGATGAGCCAACGGCCATCTGTCTACGACTTATCATATTGCCCTTTTAACTATTCAACCATGTTTCCGAACGAGAGTCTCGACAAGCGCATATCTCACGTCTTTGAACACCTCCTCGGCCTTGCATTGCTATCCGTACCGGTGGATATGGACGGCTCTCAAGCTGGCGCCAGCTCCCTCGCCGCGTTTGACTCATGGTCTCCCATTTCGCACTCACAAAGTTCGCGGTCCGGTAGACTTGATAATGATGACTGGACATGGTCAGAACCGGGCTCCGTCAATGACGGCGGTGTCCTTTCTAAGGGTATTCGTGGCAGTGAAGGCGTGTCACCCACCACCATAGCAGTGCATCTCGGTACGACGATGGAACAAAATGTACGGGAGGCCGAGCAGCAGCCAATGATGCGGGATATATACTCAGAGGACGGACTCGATACCTCGCGTTGGTTAGACAGCATTCCTCAATCCCCCTACTCCGCTACGCCTTAGGGTTTGGCGGATGATCCCTTGCCAGTTACAAAGGAAAGCTATAGCGGCAAGACTGGACTGTCTACTATTTTCCAAACTGATCTTCTGAATCTGTGTACTGTGGTGGAAAGGAGGGTTCGAGGTAGGAAACAGCTCGCCCAGTCCCATCGGTCACTCCGAGGACCTCCGCACGAGCCAGTTAGAGTAATTCGTCCGACTAGTGCCCGTCAAGATGTTGAGCACATAGAAAACCCAGGAATTCAAACAACGTCGCTCGTTCTACAAGACTCTGAGCGTTTTGTAGCAAGCAATGATAACTAGGTACATTCGATGTAAGCGTTGCCTAGGTAGATGGTGTTGCCCGTGGACTAGAAGACCACCGCGGGGATGCGAAGGCGGACAGGTAAGGTATTCACGGTTTGGAGATGCCGTAACCCGGGGATATTCGCACCACGTCTGACACAGTGATTAATTATCTGGCTTCGGGTTTGTGTTCACCCAAAGTGGGGTAGTGACCGGAAGCCGAATCTCGGAGCCAAACGGTTGGATGACCCGCCGCTTCCTTCACGCTCCTCCTTCCCCCATAACCTGAAATGTTTCGCTGACGACCTCAAATTTGATATTTTCCGCTTCGAATTGATATCACAACCGTAATCACCACAACAAACAACAATGGCACCCATCTACAAAATCGCTACGATCCAACTTGTCCCAAAGGTGAGTTAATGATGTCACACTTACATAGTATGGTTCATGAGCCACGGTTCGTCTCGACTTGAGCACCACCAATCGTCCCAAATCGAGTCATATACCACTGTGTGAACCTCTTCCGGCCCGCTATATCGTGACTTATCGCGGCATATCTCCCCCTTCCTCCTATCTATCCGCCTGCCATCCTCTTCATCTCACCCACAACGCACTTACAACTCACTTACACCCACCCCCAGGATATCGCCGTCAAAGACAACTTCACCCGAGCCGAGTCCTTCATCCGACAGGCCGCTGCTCAGGGGACACATCTCGCCGTGCTGCCCGAGTATCACCTGACCTCATGGTGCCCCGACCACCCGGACTTCATCGCCGCCTGCGCCGAGTCCGCGACCTACCTCCCCCGCTACCAGGCCCTAGCCCGCCACCTCAACATCAACATCGTCCCCGGCACCATCTGCGAGGTCCACCCCTCCCCCGCCAACAGCAACAACAACAACAACGGTGACACCACCGCCCAAGAAATCCGCAACATGGCCTACTGGATCGAAGCCAGCACCGGCCGCCTCCTGGCCTCCTACCAAAAAGTCAACCTCTGGCACTCCGAGCGGCCCCACCTCACCGCGGGCATCGCGCAATCCGCGCACCGCGCCTTCGACACCCCCCTAACCTGGGAAGGCCCCACCACCACTGCTACCGACTCAGCGCAACAGAAGGAGAACCACCGCGGCCGCGGGCGACCCATACGCGCGGGCATGCTGATCTGCTGGGACCTGACCTTCCCCGAAGCCTTCCGGGCGCTGGTGCGGGACGGGGCCGAGCTGATCGTGATCCCGTCGTACTGGGTGTGCGACCGGAGCGACCTGGAGGAGGCGCGCAGGCGGATGAATGCCGACTGCGAGGGCCTGTTCATCGATAACGCGCTCGTGGCGCGGGCGTTTGAGAACGAGTGCGTCGTCGTGTTTTGTAACGCGCCCGGGTTGAGTGGGGTGGTGGCGCCGGTGTTTGGTAGGGTGGGCGGGGAGGGGTTGGGGGCGAATGAGGAGGTGATGAGGGTGGTGGAGGTGGATTTTGAGTCGGTGGAGGTGATTGAGGAGGTGTATAAGGTGAGGAAGGACTTGGCGAGGGAGGGGTGGCACTATGGGTATTCGATTTGTGGGGAGGAGGAAGGGGAAGAGCGGGTGGTGAAGAGTGGCTCTTCCCGTGGAAGGGGGTGGGAGAAGTTGTGAAGGGAGTTCCCTTTTTGGCGGTATTGTTGGTGGTCACTTACACCTTTTCCCTGCCTTGCCTTCCGCATGCCAGTTGGTTGTGAAAGGTGTTGTAAGGACTCGGGAAGGAAACCGAGATTAAAGCACAAGGACCACCTACCCGACATAACTGTGTCATTGAGCAATGCACCCACCTGAGGTAGCCAACACAAACTGGTTCGCGGTCACTGCATTACCTTTCAAGTTTACTCAGCTTAAAGTAGATCCAGAACCCCATTTTTTCATGGTTCTCTTCGACCATCAATCCTTACGCAAATAAACAACCATGGGAGACTCTCCAATGGCCGTCCTCATGGCCGACTCCTGGGGGCCTCCTACGGCATCACCAATTTACGAGGAGCCAGCCCTCGAAAACGTCGAGAGCCTCGAGGGCTACGCCCCCGGAGGCTACTACCCAATGAATATCGACGACCGGCTTCGCAAGAACTTGGATACCTATACCATTATTCACAAGCTTGGGTTTGGCCGCTCTTCGACCGTTTGGCTGGCAAGACGGGATAGCGAAAGCATCGGCCAAGTTCCGGTTTCCTTCGTTGCGCTCAAGATCCTGCGTGCCGACCTTAGCACCCCGAACACATACCCCGAGTTGGAAATACTTGGGCGTTTACAACAGCAGGGCCGAGAGACCCACCGAGGGCTCGTCCACATTCAGGATTATTTCACTGTCAGTAGTGCCAACGGACATCACTGCTGCTTTGTGCTCCCGTTCTTGGGCCCAAGCCTCTATAACAAACGAGTCCTGGCTGCCATGAGCTGTGAGACACGGGAAAGTGTGTGCGAGCAACTGGCCCACGCCGTCAAATATATTCACACATTTGGGGTTTGCCACGCTGGTGAGTATTTAAAGTCCCTTACCTCCCGGGTGGGGCTGCTGCGTTGCGGATTCCTGACGTCCATCACAGATTTAAGCCCCCTCAACGTGCGCTTCAGGATCCCAGACGTCGAGCACTTCAATGAGACAAGAATATGCGCTAAGCTTACTCCGATACAGAGCTGCGCAATTCGACGGATCGATGGACAACCTCTTTCCAAGAATTCCCCCCGCTGCGTTGTTAAAACAGCGGAGTTCCAAAACATCCACTCGAACTACTTTGAAGAGGTCACCATCATCAGCTTCGGAAGAGCATTCTCGCCGCCGTCAACACCAACACTTCAACGCTCAACTGCGATACTCTCTCCAGAGTTGCTCTTCGGATACCCCCCCTCTCAGAAAAGCGACATTTGGCAGCTCGCGTGCCTATCTTCTTGGCCCACGAGAGGGAGTTGCCGTTCCTGATCCATGTCGGCTTCGAGCATCTAGTCTGGGAGCTCACAACATACTTTGGGCCGATACCCGACCACTGGGCTGGAAAGTACCAATGGGACAAGTACAAAATTGTCACTCGTTTGGGCACGACATGCGACTCGGACCTTGACCACTGGTTTGACAGGGCCCAGCCGACAGAGTCGTTGGAAAGTCACCTGGTCAAGGCCGAAATGGCGCCGGAACTCGCCACACTGTTGTATAAGATGTTCGTCTGGGAGCCCGAGATGCGGCTGACTGCTGATACGGTGTACCGAGAACTGTTGCAGCAACGGTTGAATGTTGAGAGTAATTGGCTCGCAGTTGGGTCGGTTGGTTGACATGGATTATCATCAGGAACAATAGAGAGCGTAGCAAGCGAAAAGAAATAAATATAATGAGGATTCCATAGTGTCGGTACCCTTAAAGATGAACAGACCGCTAAGTTAAGGTACAGTCAGCCCAAACTTTGTTCGGTCAGGCAGCAGTTAGTACTAAATCTCGATAGTATACTACTAAGGTAATAACGAAACTAAGGATAAAACGGTAGTAATGGACAATGAACCCTACGTAGAAACGCTTATTATATGCTGAACAAGTACAGAGTATCTTCCAAGGTAATAACGAAACTAAGGGATAAAACGGTAATAATAGACAATAAACCCTACATAGAAACACTTATTATATATTAGGTAAACAAACACAAAGTATCTTATATAAAGAGACACACCATTCTATCTTCATCTATTAGACTATCTACTTACCTATTCTTTACAACCCCTCGTATATAAAACACGAATCTCCCTCAACGCCCCGTTCGCCCTATGGAACCCTAGTCCTTTGGCGTCTTCTCTGTGGCATCTCGATTCTTCGCCGCTGCGAGCATAACCCGGAGCGCCTTCATTGCGGCGCCTTCGCCCGCCTTCGCCTTCGCCGCTGCGAGCATGGCCTGGACCGCCGTCATCGTGGGACCTTCGCCCGCCTTCGCTTTCAATGACATCAAAGCTTGTGAGTCGCCTTGATGTTGCTCCTCCGCCGCAACCCCATCGCGACCTTTGATGTCGTTGAAGGTGAAGGCGGGCGAAGGTCCCACGATGACGGCGGTCCAGGCCATGCTCGCAGCGGCGAAGGCGAAGGCGGGCGAAGGTGTCACAATGAAGGCGCTCCGGGTCATGCTCGCGGCGGCGGAGAATCGAGATGCCACAGATAAGACGGCAAAGGACTAGGGTTCTATCGAGCTGGCGACCCGAGTCATGGCCGCGACAGCGGAAACCAACGGTACGTGAGAAAATTCGTTCGGGAATGAAGTCCTTTATATTCCTAGCCTTTGTAATAGGCAAACACCACCTGCTGGAAACCAAGGACAGCAGCCGAACACCAACAAGAATGCACGTCACGATGTGCTACACAACCACGACCCCGACTCCGACTCCAGCGCCCACTGATACCTGCGGCAGTTTCGCCGCCTTGAATCGGGGCGGCATGCGTCCCCAAGGGGACTCAGTGCACCATCCACATCACGTTGTGTGTTCTGTCTGCCCTGTTCCTCCTCGGTGTCCTTACCTTCTTTGTGGGCGTAGGCGTCTACTCCTGTCGTTCCAACTCCAGGCACTGGAAAATCCGCGAGGAGTCAAGGACGTCAATGGCAAAGCCGTAAAAGAAGAGACTCAACAGAGTGGTCTTGTAAGTATGGTGTAGAATATTCCGCCCGCTGTCCTTCCACCCCGGGAAAAGGCGCCCTTCCGAATCTAGTCTAGCATTTGCCAAAACCTGTATACTTGTAACTGTGTCCCTCGCGTGCCCTTGGTATAAATAGAGCGCGTTCTCTCCCCGGTCTGCTCGGTGCGTTGACCGTCAACCCTATTGGCGCGCCTAACCATGTTGGGCGGATAGTTCCAGTGCTGCGGCTTTGGATATTATCCACCAGTTCCAAAGCGTTTCTTAACTTCCGTACGCCCAGGATACGTACACGAGCCAACCCCGCCCGTCTGAAGCGACAGGCCAATATTCTGCTTGGGCTGGGAGACGCTGTGGGCCGAGGCGGCGGAGGATGGCCTGTAATTAACCGGTTGCTACTCCGTACACGACTACCCTACCGAGCCTACTAAGGTAGATTTGGCAACCTCGGAACGGCAACCACCCTCGGGAACATCCAAACTGGACATAAAATGACTGCGGCGAAGCTCCTCCTTCCGGCCAGGCGGGCACGGCTGTCTGCGTTTCTGGGACCACGGACTTTGATGCAAATCTGACCTCTTCGTTACCATGCGTCTCCTCGGTTTCACGCTCGTCGCTGGCCTCGCGGCCTCGGCGTATGGACAGAAGGTTAAAGTCAGTAAGTAGCACCCTCACGGTGGCGCACCGCGTTGGAGATGAGGAAGAAACCCAAGCTGACATGATGGAACACAGTGCTGCTCGGTGACTCCATCACCGAGATCACCTGCTGGAGGCCGATGGTGTGGGACCAGCTCACGACGGCCGGGCTGGCGGGCAACGTCGACTTCGTCGGCACCATGAGCAACCTGCAGGGGTCGTGCTCGAAGCCGTCGGGCTTCGACGTCAACCACGAGGGCCACTCGGGCTGGCAGGCGTACGACATTGCGCGCAACAACATCGAGGGCTGGGTGCAGAACACCAAGCCCGACATCGTGCAGTTCATGCTCGGCACCAACGACGTCAACATCGGCAAGCGCAACGCCCAGTCCATCCTCGAGTCGTACACCACCATGCTCAACGCCATGCGCGCCGCCAACCCCAGCGTCAAGGTCATTGTGCGTTGTCCCCCCTTTCTCCTCTCCCCCATCCGGGACCATCCCGTCCCATCCCATCCCAGCCACCACCAACTAACCCATGCATCACCACAGATCGACAAACTCATCCCCACAAGCTGGAGCGACGCCACCGTCGAGGCCGTCAACACCGCCATCCCGGGCTGGGTCTCCTCCCACACCACTTCCGAATCGCCCATCGTCATCGCCGACTGCTCGCGCGCGGCGGGCTTCACCAACGCGATGCTGCGCGGCGACGGCGTGCACCCCAACGACCAGGGCGACCGCTTCATCGCGGAGCAGGTCGGGCCTAAGTTGATTGAGCTTTTGAGTGGTAGCGGTGGTGGTGGTGGTGGTGATGGGGGTGGTGGGAACCCTGCGGCGACGACGACCGCGGGTGGTGCGCAGCCGACGGCGGGGTGCGCGGCGTTGTGGGGGCAGTGTGGTGGGTTGGGCTGGGCCGGGCCGAGTTGTTGTTCGCAGGGTGCGTGTAGGGTGTCGAATGATTACTACTCGCAGTGTCAGTGAGTGAAGAGAAGGAAGGGTTGTGGTGTGTTTGGTATGAAGAGGTTTGGGTGTGAAGACCCCGAAGGCGGTACAAAGAGTCTCTCGCAAACCATCTATGGTTGTGTATAGGCAGGCACTACATGCGTTTAAAATACCAGGAAACCATCTTCTGGCTGCACACGTCTGGCTTGAGCAAGAAAAAGAACTGGAAGCTCAAAATCTTTTGTTCGATGACTTGCGTAACACATGTATCACACTGGTCTTCACATTGCCGAGGTACTTGCTGCCTTGGTGAAAACGAGGGCAAGTTGGCTCTGCATCAAAAAGATGGAAAAAGAATATGTTGCTCAACCTTCGCTTGGTTGCCAGAAAAGCAAAAGTCGACACGAGCCGGATTTGAACCGACGCCTCCGAAGAGATGAGATTTCGAGTCTCACGCTTTAGACCACTCAGCCATCGTGCCTTGGTGTTTCTTCTGGGAATAACTGGACCTTATCATGGGCCAACTGAGGCTTGGCACCCTATCGATGTCGCAATGAAGCGGAGCTTCGCGGTGCAAGGCGAGTATTCACTTACAGCAACGAGCCCTCTTTCTGCTAATCGTTGACGCCCATTATAAGGATGGTATACGCCCTCAAATTCCAACGAGGACCACCGCAAAGGGGGCAGTGGCTTCATCGGCACTGGCGCTGGCTCTCCAAACATGTACCTGATAGTCCCAGATCAAGACCTCGAGAATTCGAGTCTTGTGGTAGACTTTCTAGTCGCGGCCTGACACACACCCTAAACGATAAAATTACATAAAGCTTCAAGTCCAAATATCATATGTTTAGTTACCACAATAAGAATGTTAATCTGCAGATAAAATATTTATTCTTTATCCACCTTTTCTTTCGACCCTTCCTCTAATTATCCCCCAGAACCCTCAGAAGTCACGGCCGCCTAGCAGGAAGCTCGTTTCGCCAACTAGTGCCAGCAAACTTTATCTTCTCATGCCTAGGCGTAGCTGACTGGGAGAACATTCCAAAACCAAGAAGAAGCATCTATCTTCGCCGGTCCCTCCTCTCAGTTCTGTCGTCCAAGTCCGCGTACCTTTGCGAATTATCGCGATTCTCGCGCCGCTGGGGAGCAGAATTGCGGTTCTGTCTGTCGTCCAAGTCCGTGAACCCGTTGTTGTTGCCGAGCTGGCGAGCGCTGCTCCTCTCCTCGGCGGGCGACATGCCACAAAGAGCGGAACCCATCTTGTATATTAAGGGTTTGGTTGGCCTTTTGGCTTTTGTTGGTTGTTTCTTGGTATATTGCAGTGGGTACTGCCGGTTGGTTAGGGAGTTGCTTCTCCTGGTTCGAGTGATATCACTGAGGGCTTTTATAATAGGTGAGGCGCTGTTTGGCATGGGTTATATTTGGTAACCTGGCGGTTGAGATTGTTAACCCTCATTGTTCTGCTAAGTTCCAGCACATGATAAGACGACTTTTGTTCTATTTTAGGATAGGTGTGTGAGGAGGAATACAAAGTACGTGACTGAGGGCATGTTGGTCTTTATTACCCTCTCTTTATTCTCTGCCGGTCTATCCTTGTCAATCGAATGAGCCTAGGAAAAGGGACCCGAGTAAACAAAGGTCCCCCACAGTCTCCCTCCCTTTGCTTGGGCGAGACTTCCGCTTTCTTGAGTGCATAGCCTCCTCTCCCCTGCTTTTCGTAGCCTTCTCTTCCATGCTTGGGTGAGAAACCCTCTTCCCCTTGCTTGAGTGGTGAGAGGTTCTCTTTCCGTCTCGCTTCTCCGGACGAGGCAAAGAGGGGAGGCAGCAGAGAAGCGAGAGGAAGCCCATTTTTGAAGCGGGTAGGTGTCGTAAGCTGCTCCGGTTTGGTGATATTCTGTTTTGCCTGATTGGTAGGGATGGAAAACTTTGATATTGGGATGAGTATAAAGTAGGGTCTTTATATACTCCCTCGGGGGCGGGAGGTTGGGGTGACCGTTGGGGTATAAATCTCTAAGCGATGGCTACAACATAGCCATTCGCGAAAGGCCGACTTAGCGTATTATTAGGACACGTTGAGAAAGGTCCTAGATACATTGCACGGTTTAGGTACCTAGACATATAGAAATTCCATATGTTCCACCACATGTTCTTTGCCGCTCCCCCCACCGAACTCTTTATAGGCACCTAGTTAATAGGGTCCTGTCCTTACTGAACAGCCGTCTCTTCACTATCCTCCCCACATTCCTATATCGTTCGGTCTTTTGTAGCCGAAGGTTTCCCACCGAAGTTTCGGCGCTCTCGAGAAGTGCTTGGGTAGGTGATATTGACCGGGAACCACTCGGCCACGGGTAACCGAGCTCAAGGCCGCTCGAGGAAGGTGGTTTGCTTCGTTGAGGTTAGGTGTCAAACAGGTGACAATTACTATGCCGTAATCATCTCATTGAGCTATATGCCTCGTACCCCGAGAGGAGTGGAAGTACAAGCTCGTCATCTGGTAATCGGTTTCCGGGTTGGAAAGATGTCGTGAACCCTGGCTTGAAGAAGCCCATGGATTGGTTATAACTTATAATTGACATCCAGCGGACAGGGATAGATACAAAACAAAAAGAACCTCGACGTAATTGTGCGCATCCAGTAGTAATCCAGAAAGCAGTATTTGGTCATGTTCGAGTTTTGATTCGCATCATTAGGTGAATGACACCGACAACCATCTAAGCCAGAGCTAAATGAGCAATACAACCTGCCCAATGCAATAAAACCAACTGTCCTTAGTTCTCCGCAGCCATGCCCCCATTCTCAGGCATCACAATATCCCGCAACCCGAAGCGCGTGACAAAGTTGTTCTGCTTGACGAACCAGGCATTGACCGTCTCCCATTCCGAGTCCGGGTCGTCGAAGCGGATCTGGAATCTTCGGTTAGCGGAATTCCAGGAAAGAAAAAGGAGAAAAGAGGAAAACATACGTCAAACCGCCGCAACATACTGGGCACCAGCTTATAAATCTCCAACAGACTAATATTCTTCCCAATGCACGTGCGACTGCCCATCCCAAACTGCAGCATGGTCCCATTCATCACCTTCACCCTCGCCTCATCCCCCTCCCCCTTCACCTCCCACCGCTCGGGCCGATAAACCTCCACATCCTCCCCAAACACCCCCTCATCCCGATGCAGCACCCACGCCGAACACCCCACCACCGTCCCGCCTTCCACCCTCCTCCCCGCAATCTCCAACCCCCCCGCCGGCACGATCCGCTCCATGGGCAAACCGGGGGCCGGGTGCAGCCGAAAGGCCTCCTTGACGCACATGTCCAGATACGGCAGCGCCTGGCTCTCGTGCCAGGTAACCAGCCCCGTCTCATAGTCAGAGAAGCGCCCCTCGCGGGCGGCGGCGTCGATCTCGCGGCGCAAGCGGGCCAGCGCGGAAGGGGTCTTGAGCAGGAAGTAGAAGACGGCGGACAGCGAGATGGCGGTGGTCTCGGAGCCGGCGAAGGCCATGGATACGGCCATGGTTTGGACGAGGGTGTCGGTCATGAAATCGGGGCGGGCTTCGCGGGCGGCGAGGAATTTGGAGAGCAGGTCGGGGGATTTGACAGTGGGTTTTTCGGAGGTGGGCAGGACGGGTTCGCCGGCGGTGGTGAGCTCGGGGAGGCGCTCGGCCATGCGGGCGCGCGCGAACTTGGCGACGGGGAAGGTGGCGTCGAGGATGCCCCATTCGGAGAGCTTGAGGTAGAGCGGGTTTTTGAGGAAGATGCGGTCGAGGAAGGGGATTTGGCCGATCTGTGGGGGGTGGGTTAGTAGGTATTTTGGGGGTTGTGAGAAGGGGGTTCTTGGAGGGGGACGCACGGGTGCTACGTAGAGGAAGAGCTTGGTTAGATAGGCTACGATCCCGTCGACGTCCTCGTTCTTCTCGATGAAGCCGTGGCGCTTGCTGTAGGTGATTTCGCCGATGACGTCGAAAGCGTAAAACTGCAGCCACTGGGTGAAGTCACAGGTCCCCGGTTTGTCGATGTACAGACGCTCGGTCTGCTTCAGAAACAGCTTGGTCGTGTTGTCCACAAACGGCTCGTACTGCACCAGGGCGGACATGGCAAAGGCCGAGTTGACACAGCGGCGGAACTGCATGTGAAAGTCATTGTCGGTGGTGCTGAAGAGTGACGGCAGGCTGTGGCCCTTGACCACGGACTGCTGGACGACGTAAAAGTCCGACTAGGCGGGTCAGCATTTCTGCTAGCTTATGAACACGATATCACTTAAACACACCTTGATGAATCCCTTGTTGAGTCCATAGATAGTCTTCAACGAGTCCGGGTCGGAGAACGACAGCGTGTTCGGCCCGAGCCGGACGACAGGGCCGTATTTCCTGTGGAGGGCGATATGTGACCTCTCGGGCCGTCGCCCGTAGACATCAAAGAACCTCCACCAATCTGTCAAGGAGGCCAGGAACGGACCGGGATACTTGCTGAGTCCATTGTGGTACCTATTTCTCGCCAGCCATGCGACGACGACAGCGAGGGTTATAGGCAGCCAGTGTTGGCTCAGGACCTGGGCTATTTGGTCTGTTATCATTATGCTCGATATTGATCGGCAGGGCTTTCCTTGTTGAAAAGGCCAGGCCAACTCCGTGGTCAGGAGGGTGTTGAAAGGGATTGGTGCGTACCGGTCGTAGTATGACGGGGGCTGTATGCGTCCCTCTTTATCTTTAAACGAGGCGTCCGTCAGGGGTGGGTACCCGCCAATGCCGAGCTGTACGGGATCAGGTCGGGGTAGGCCGTCGAACAGCCGCTTGTCAGGCAGGACAAATCGGGGAGCAATCTACGCCGACGGTCAAGGTTGGGAAGGGGACCAGTCCCTGGCCGGCGGTCCTGCACAAGCGATCCCGGCATCCCATGGGGCGCGGGAAGATATTGCAGAATCAGCTCGCGCAACCCGGGACCGAGCCAGTCTCAGCCGACAGTTGGGTTCCCGGATTGCAAGGCGCGGGATTCCTGAAGCCACATCCCGAGACACGCCCGCCCGGGGTGTTCTGTTCCCGGGAAAGAGGAAGAGGGAATCATGGCACTGGACCCGGTGTAGGTTTCGGAAAGTGAGGAAGAGGGTAGCCAGCACGTAACAAACTACCTCTTCGAGGCAAGCAACCGAACGATGCCGGTAGACCCCGTGGACCCCTTTCGGCAGAGAGTTGGTAGGGTGTGTGAGTGTGAGTGTGAGTGTGAGTGCTCGCAACCCATGTCATCTGTCGCGTCTTACAAGCCCCGTTCCCCGTTTCTCCCACCCCCGTCCCCCCGTTCATCCCGTTCCCGGGTGGTGGGCTGGACACATACACAGACACACAACCGTAACAAGCGACGTTGGAACTGTATTGCCGGCGTCCGGGGTTCACATGGAATGTTGGGTGTCCACCTTCAGCGGGGCCGTGGAGCGCAGGTCATTCCAGTCTTCCTCGTGAGGGGGAGGGGCAACGGCAGGCCCAGAAAGCCCCAGTTCTTTTTCCCTTCCTTCCCTCCCCCAATATCCCGTCGGCAGATGTCAGGTCCAATCGCTCAGCCCAATTCCCATCCAGACCTGGAATCCCGCCGGGCTGGCTGGGACTGGCCACGAGCACCCCCCAGTGCCCCCCAAGCCCTTGGCAAAGACAAAGAAGCCCCAAACTTCCCCGTCCCCACATGGACTTCCCGTCTTCTTGGCGGTGCTTGCGGTTGCACCCAGCGCATGGGACCCTGTCAGCTGGTGGATCCCGTCGGATGGGCATCGCGGCATGGCGATGTTGTGGTCGCGCGGTGGTTTGCGGGTGTTTCCAGAAAGTGAGCAAGATAGAACAAAAAAAGGTGGTGCCGAGGAGAGCATCATGGGACGATAAGGTTAACGCAGAGTAGCAGCGGGCGCATTTGAGTTATCCCGTCTGCACTGCACCTTCATCTGCGCCCGCGTCTGCCTGCTCGTTGCGCATACCGAAGGTACCGTAGCCATCTCAGATCTCAACCTCCAGAAAACGACATGCCGAAGTGCGGGATGCTGCGAGATCAAGATTTGGCCCATCCATCCATCTCCGGCCTCGACAGCCGCATCAAGACAGTCAATGACAAGCGCGCCAATCGTCGGGATCGACAGCGTTGGTGGCCAGATGATGCAATGCGAGTTCCATTGAAACTCATGGAAACCACCAACAGGCAACACTGGAGATAATCCGACGAAGATAACGATCGCTAACGAATCCGGAAATATGGTTGGGTCAACATCCTCGCGCCTTCGCGTTTGGGGGGACTGGGGTCAGAACAGATGCAGACAGCGGCTCTGCCGGAAACGATCGAGCACACTCTCTGGCTCTGCACCGCCCTGCCTCGCTTCATCGGACCGCGTAGACGAAGCAGGGCTCCGAGAGTGGTCGAAACATATGCCGAAGGCAGTGTCGAGTCGTGGCGCTAGCCTTGCTGCAGCGCTGAGGTTTCGCGTCTTGGGGCCTTTCGGCAGATGATTTGGGCGCTGCAAGAGGAAAGACCAGCACGGCTTATGTAAGCTCAACCACCCGAGCCCTGTTCGCCCCTCAGCTCACCTCTTTCTTTCCTGGGCACCTGAGATCCCCCACCGGGCGTAGGGAAACCTTGGACATTGAAGGTCAAAAAAGCGTGGGGACACGACAAATTATCTGGTCAAATAGCTACTGCACTGTAGTTTTTATCACTGGTTATTACAGTACCTAGTTATCAACAACGCTGTATGAGTTCATGTAAACGACTCTGACAATGTCCGTCTATCCTACTCCAAGGCCCATCACGTCCTCACTCGGTACCTAGAATTGAGAGAAGATGACGATCCCAAAGCGCCTTAGTGAAAGGGAGAAGGAAAATAAAAATGAACGCCTACTCCGTGTATCCGAATGCTGTTGATTACCTACTACCCCCCATCCCTCAATCCATTCAAACCAAAGAAACACCCCCTTCCATCACGGGTCGGCAGCAATCTTCTTCCCCTTGGGCACAATTGCCCCCTGAGGAACCAGCGTTCGAGCTTCCCCGTCGACCGGGGGATGGGTGACAACGTCGTTTTCTGATGCGGTGATTCCGGCCTCGGCTATCGACGGCACGGATTCAGGGGCAAACATCAAGAGAGCTGGAGTCGAGGAGGCCCCGTTATGGGCGCTCCCCTCCTGGTTGGTGGCAGGCCGAGGCTGGGGCCGACGTCGGGGTCGGGGTGCCGGTGCAGGCCCGGGTATGGGACGACCCGAGGACAAAGAATGGAAAGGAAAGGTGGGCGACAGTGGCGAGTCGACATCGGCATCATATTGGGTCGGGGACACGGGCAACGCTCCCACGCCGTCCGGGCCTGACGAAGCAACGAGGTCCTTATCGGAGAAAACCGCCTTCCGGTCCAAAGGCGGAAATGCGCCGGTATTCGTCACCGTTATGGCCCTCCGCCGCGTCGGCCTCGGGGACAATGCTGGGCTTTTTGGGGAGTTGGCCGGTGGTGCCTCTGAAGGAGCATTGTATGGCGATCCTTCGCACGGCCCCGGCCCCGGCATGCCTCCCGAGATGGACGCAGGGCGCCGGGCATTCTTCCGGAATCCACCACTCCTCCCTCCATCCGCACCCGAACTCGCGCCCGCAGACGCATTCCCAACCCCAGCTCCAATCCCAGCCCCAGGCTGAGCCCTAGACGTGGACGCAGACTGCCCCTAGTTCTCATCCTCGGAATCCGACACCTCCCCGGGCGCAAGCTCGCGATACCGGCGGCTGGCGAGGTCCTCCTCTAAGCCGCCGTCGCTCTCGGGGTCGACATAGCCCTCGCCGCCGAACAGCGACAGAGCGACGGGCAGGAAGACGAGGGCGTGTGTGGCGGCGAACGCGACCAGCGCGACCCACACGCGGAAGTAGTAGATCTCAAAGATCTTGCTCCTGGTGAAGGCGAGCACGGCGACGCCAAGCACTTTCGTGATGGTGATGCCCGAGAAGACGCTGCCGCCGACGTTGGCGAGCGCGGTCCAGGCGCGAGCGTCGCGGCCGCGGAAGCGGTTGCGGGCGCGCTCCATGAAGGTGCGGCTGGGGAACATGAAGGCCCGCGCGATGTGTGCGCAGAACTCAACGGCGATGCCGACGCATATGATCAAGTTGACCAGCGACACCGCGTTCAGGCTGACGCCCATGAGCGCCATGGCGCCGACGATGTCGACCAGCGCCATGCTCACCGTGACGGTTACCACCGCGGCCGTAAGGACTGACCCTAGAAGAAGCGAGGATACCAGGAAAACGATGCCGACGGCTGAGCCGAGCAGGGCGGCCGTCAGCTGGACGATGGTCGCGTACTGGTCGAAGAAGATATAAAAGACGGAGTAAGGGAAGACGGAGAGGCCCGTGCTGGTGCTGACGTCGTGCGCGATACGGCGGGCCGAGGCGTACGCCTTAATGAAGTCGTCTTGGCTGCGGAGTGGGGAATGCATGGCGCGGAAGTGGCTGGCACGGATGGTGGTGTGATCTTCGTCAACGACGACCGCCGAGCCATACGAGGCCTGCCCGGCCAGGGGGCAGTCTTCATTGGTTGGCGCGGTGAGGAACCTCTCGAGGTAGTGGACAAACTCGTCGCCTTCGGGCATGCCAGCCATGGTAATGTTCCAAGTGGGATCGCGCCGCGAGAAACAGGGCGTGTGGCCGTCCACGCAGCACTTTTCGTTGTCGGGATTGAGCCACTGAAAGAAGTCGTCCATCCAGCCGGCCGTCGGGGACGCGATGTATGACACCTCCTCCCGCTTCCGCTCTTGCTCGAGGATGTTGGTGAGAGAGAGTTGTTGGCAGGTGGTGAAGCGAGAGCAGATCTTTTGCTGCTGTTCCCTCTCGGTGCCGTTGAACCCGCGCGTGACAAAGTAGACAGGCGGCCCAGCGTCGAAGTAATCGTAGAGATCGTTGAAGTACGGGATTAGGTAAGAGTCGTCGGGGATCGCGACCCGCTGGTCTAGTCCAAGTTGGACCTCGGGGAGTAACGCGACTGCGGCAGCAAAGATACCAAGGAAGATGGTAATAACAACCGCCTTGGTCTTTTTCCCTAGTAGCCTCGGGGCGTACGTCTTGCGGATGAACTGCTGGAGCAAACTCTCCGATGGTGCTTCGTAGTACCGAGCCCCGTTGTTCCCGCCGTTAGCGTTCAGGTGAATCCTCGCCGACTTAACCTGCACACACGGGAAGCAGTCCGCCCGGAAGTCCTCGACTCTGATCTGGTTAAGCGTGAGAACCGAGACGAACATGGTGACCTGGAGGATCGCGTTGATGAACACGGCGCCAGCCGCGTAGATGGCAAAGTTGCGCACCGCCGGCATTCCGACAAACGCGCCCAGTGCAAAGCAGATGGTCTCGGTGATGGCAGAGAACAAAATCGAGGGTCCCATGCGACCAAGCGCGCGGGAGATCCTGACCTCGACCGCATCATCGGGATGACTGATGTTCACCCGCTCGAACTCGTGAACGATCAAGAAAATGTTGTCCACGCCGACGGCCAACACAATGAAGGGGATAACGTCGACGATAATAAGGGTCGCCCTGAGGCCTACCCAAGAAAACAGCCCAATAGACGCCGTGATGGACATGAGCACTATGACGATCCCCACCACGCCGAGGGTGAACTTGGATTCAACGAACGAGATAGCGGGGTTGCGGATGAGGTCTCGGAACGACAGCGTTGTGGACCCGAGAGCAATCGATGCGTACAGGAACATGATGATATAGCTAATGACGATGATCTTGGCGTCGGTGTTGGTCGACTTGTTCAGCTCTTCCTCCAGACTGATTTCGGTCGAGAAGGAGAGCCTGAGGTTCCGCTCACTAGCTTCGTTTTGGAGTGCCAGCAGCCGATTCTTCATAGCCTCCTCCCAATCCATTGCGCGGTCCGCCTCGGGAGACCCCTCGGGATAGTTGTTCAGGACCCAGGTCACTGTCATGGCCGTGGCATCGGCGGGGTCACCAGACTTGGCGTAACCTCCGAGAATCATGTTCGGCTCCAGAGGTTGACCGTACTCAGGACGGCAGTTGACCGGTGAGTCGGCACACTCTCTCAGCTTGGCCTTCCAGTCGCCACTATCCACCTCCTGGGGATCGTTGTGGAAGTATGCCGCGACTGACTGAACAACGCAAGCATCGCCGGTGGGCTTGAGGCAAAGGTCCTGAAGAGTGCTCTCAAACTTACTTCCCCTGAGACTCCGGACACTCGCCTCGACGTCGATCCACCACAGGAGAGTGTCACGGTCCAACACCGGCGCAGGAGCCGAAGTGTTAAGGTCGTTCACGAGGAAGATCTTCTCAGTTCGATAGAACGGGCCAAAATTGTCGTCGTAGAAGGCCTTTTCCTGAGCTGCCTCTGAAGTCGGGCTCACCCATAGGCGGGCCGGGTCCTGCTCAATCTCGAAATGGAACCAGCCAGCGCTGAGTAAGAGCACCACAAGGGTGCTGCCCACAATGGTCAGGGCAGGGAACCTCGCAGCCATATGCCCCAGCCGGGCGAAGGCGGCGTCACACCATGTGTTGACGATGTAGGTCTTCTGCGGCCGGTCGAACATGGCGCCGTTTTCGGTGATTCCGCCCTCGTCCTCGTCGTCACTCGGCGCTGCATCCGTGAGGAGTCTGAGCCGCTCACTCCTCCGCCTTGTATGCCTGTTCCAAGCCAGATGACCGATCACGGCGGCGGCGCACAGGAACAGAAACACGCTGTATGTGAGGATGGACGCAAACGACAGGCATGGCAATGCCCCAACGTGGCACGACCCCGCCTCTTTAACGGCCGGGAGCTCGGGGCAGACGGCGGGGCAATCGATGCAGGCGCAGCGGAAGTTGGGGTCCTCGTCGTTGCACTTCTTGGGCTTCATTGGGAGCGGGTCCATATCTTTCTGTGGGTAGCTCCTCGGGAAGTTCATTTGGAACGGCGAGCCCCCAAACCGTTCCTGGCCGAGGAACTTGAGCAGTTGTGTGTAGTTCTTGGCGCCACCACCGATCAAGGCCATGGCCTTCGAATTTGTCGGCCCAAATTTGACGTCCTTGCAGCTGTCGTAGAATCCTGTCCCATACTCTTCCGAGATGAGCTGATCGAGCTCCCTCACCAGCGTTTTTCCGCCCTTCTCCATTGTCTGTGTCACGTTGATGAAGAGCGACTGGTCGGGCGAGCAGGTGAAGGTGCAGAACATGTTGTAGAAGTTGTCCTTGCACGCGGGGCATGTCGAGATGATCTGATTTGCTGTTTGAAGGTTGGACTTGAGTGTGTCGACCTGCTCGGCGTTGCAGCAAACAGGGCCCTGAGCCCATTTCGGGCCACAGAGCTCGGTCAATTGCTCGCGCAACTTGGCGTCGGGCTCCTCGGCGAGTCCATTATCGACGCAAGGTAGCTGGCCACTGAAGAAGTTCTTTGAGCCGCAATGGCCCCGAATCGCACAGCGACCGGCTTCATGTTTCGGCGTGTAGATGGTGTCGGCGACGGCGGACCCCAATGTCGTCAGCAGGAGTCCGCCCGATGCGACCAATCTCGGGAGTTTCGTCATGGTCGTTAAGAAGCCGCTCGGCGGCACGACAGGACGGTGGTCCAAATAGCTGATTGAATAATAATGTTTTCAGCGTCCGTGGTAGATGGGAAAATGCTGAGGTTGCGGTGTGGATGATGTTTGTTGGGAGATGGCTGTGGAAGGAGCTTCCCCCGAAGGCGGCGACCCAGGAACCAGCCAGCCGACCGCCTGCCTTGCGAGCTGGGAGCGAGGAGCATGCCGTCATGCGTCATGCGGGCGAGACGCACGGATCGACGTTGATTGGTGGGTCTTTCTGGGGTGGTCGTGTGTTCCTGAACGTTTCGTCGCTTCGGGTTGGGGTTGCACCAGGATTCCCTGCCAGGACCTCGAACGGGGAATGCTGCTGCATCAAGGCCTCCATTGCTTGGCTCCTTTTGGCTCCTTGGACATGACAACACCACGACTGGACAAATACGAGATTCCAAAATGTTTATTTGATCCAAAATTATCTATTGTCTGTCTCCGGGGACAAGACTCGACAAAATATTCTCATGCAGTACATCTATCCCGCTAATCTCGAGTCTATGCTCTAGTGACGACTGATCCCGTTTGTTGTTCACGCCGTCCACCTTGCTCCCAAAGGTTGTCAGGTAAATCTGGTCCAAACAAATGGGGTATCTTCCAGTGTATCCGTCATAACCCGCCGAATATCCGTGCTTCCTACTCCAAGTCACCATCAAGCCAACCCATTTTAAACAATGCTAGCCGCTCATCCAGTACACCAAACACCTCTAGACCACCCCAGAGAGACATGGGCATGGACCATCCATGGACCACCCGCAAACCCTCAAGTTCTTCCGGTGACATAGAAACTGCCGGTGAGCGTTTCCATTTTCCAGCCGTCATTCTTGAGGTACGCCCCAACCGCCTGACGCAACCGCGAGACCCCCCCAACGCTGTGCTTCCCCACGCCAGTAACGACAGTGAAGCCGTTCCGCTTCGCCAGCGCCTTGCGGTCCTCGCCGAGGTTGTTCCACCAGTTCCACACCCGCTGCTTGGCGATCCGCACTCCGTCCATAACGAAGACGCCGTGAAGGTCAATCATGGTGGTGGTGCTCTGCTGGGCAACGTGGGCTTCGGCTTCGCGCGAGGCGTGGGCTGTGAAGGCGGCCCTTCCCTCCCTGGCGCGGTCGGTATAGACCACGGCCCCTTGGCGGCCGAGAGGGCCCATCCTGCGAAGGGCGGCGGCGGCACGGAGGTCGGTGGCGCCGAAATCAGTCCTCACTAGCGATGGCGGAAGGACCGTGGTCGTCTGCGGTGGGAGGCGCCGTCCTGCGCCTGCCATTCGGGGGTTCACCGCCGTGGCAAAGTCCTTTGCGCCCTCAAGCTCCGCATCGTTGACGGCGGAGGATACCGCGTTGTAGTTGATCGCGACGACCTGCTTCTTGCCGTGCGCGTTTCCCTTCCGCGCACGGCCCCGTCTGCCTTTGGGGGACTGCCAGTCCTCGTCCGAGACGAAGAAGCCATCAACGCCCTTAGGAAGGGAGCCCTCATCCTTGAAGAACTGGCGATCAAGTAGGCCGTCGAAGGCGCGTTCGAGATCCCCTTCGTTCTGCTTGAGGATGAAGCGGATCGTGTGGTCGCCCCAGCCGTCTCCGAAAACGAGCTTGAGTTCTTGGATCTTCTGCTCCTCGCTCAGGTTTGTCTGCTCAGTGAGTCTTTGGTTCTCAGAGCGGTCCGAAAACTCCGAGATGGTAGTCGTACAGGCGGACGAGTCGGCCCCATTGGTGCTGGTTGCTGCCTCGTCAAGGAGCAATTCCTCCGTCTCCGATGTGGTGCTCAGGCCTGAGGGGTCGAAACCAGTGGCTGCTTCGGCCCGTGCTGTTTCGGCCAGCAGGTTCAGAACGTCCCTAATATCCTCATAGCCTCCCGCGATATCTCTATCGTTGGCAATCAGGAGAATGAGAGACTCGTCCAAAACTGAACCAAATTCCAACTGCGAGTGATGGTTAGCCAAGGCTGCGTTGTGCTGTGGGTGCTGTGGCAGGGGCCCTTTGTGAGCACCGGGCCACGTTTTCAGCGGCAGGAGCTATGAAGGTCACCCTCCCCCAGCCTATTGCAAAAAAAAGGGTGGGACTCAAACACACGAGAAGCTTCTTCCGATTCTGTTCTGCCACGTCTCCGTTTGCACCGTCGGGTGGGCGAGATCCATTCATCCCCGGCCAGTCTTGATGTTAAATCTCTCGTAATACAAATATGATGCACCGCCTGAATGGCTATTAGGCTTGTACACGAATGCGTCGTTCAAGAGACCGTGGAACTGCAGCAACATGGTGATGAGGTGCGGTGAACGATGGTTTTCATCAACTCTCAGGAGTGGGGAGCGAGGGGTTTGACTCGTCGCGTTGGGCCGTTCATTGGGAGCCTGGGCGCTTGGGCGCTTGGGCGCTTGGGCCAACCCACCAAACTCAATGTGACTCGCAGGTGAACGTTGGGTGACTCGTCACTTGCACGCATTCGGTATGCAAACACCCAATTCGCCTCTTCAATGGTCAGGCATTTGAGTGAGTTGCCGTCGGTGCCTTGCAATCCGCCGCCAGCCGCATCAAGTTCTCTGTCTGCATATACTGTGTCAACTTCGCCCTCCACATCAAGCAGCGGTTTGAACGAGGGGCGATTCTAGGTTGTCCTGAGTGCCCCGCTCGCTGCCTGAACGACCTCGATACCTGGGGACCACGCAGAAAAAGTCTTTTGGTGTTGAGGGATGCACAGACAACCTGAAAACCTCCCAGAAAATAGGTATCAAACCCGATAATGGGCCTCGCCAAAGCTGCAATGTGACAGGCCGCCGTTGAATTGGCCGGCAAAGCTCAGTCCCCTGGTCAGCCCAACATGTGGCTCGGAAACAGCCGACACGCACCATCAATTCATCCCACCCCATGCTGCCTCGGCATCTGTTGCAAATCAGGAACGTCGCAAGAGATCGAACACAGCAACCCAATTAAGACACTCTCATACGCTGAGAGTCCCAGGCAATGGGCATGGAAGATCGAAGGCCACGCAACCAAGGAAGTCGTTGACAGGGGTTGCGCCAACCCTAGCCTGGTTCAGACGTCGCTTGGGAGTCGCTTTCCTCAAACGATGTTCCTTCCCACTTCTTCTCCGGCACCTTCCGGGCGCCGCGGCCTGCCGATCCACGCGAAATCAGGAGGTTTCCTCACTTCCACCGGACCTTCCCCGTAGATCTTCCCGAACATGTTCGACCAGTGTGTAAATATAAGTGTTTGCCAACGCCTCATCTCAGCCTTTGCCAGTTAGGTACCAGAAATAAGCCCACGTCCGCCTGCCAGAAAGACAAGCGGTGGGCATGGAGCCCCAAAAATTTATCAACGGGCCCGAGCCCTTGAGAGGGTGCGTCCAGACATCTCCCTACCTACACAACCCCCCTACATTGGTTGATGGCAAGATCACTAACCTCCTCGCAGCCCAGAGGTTCCTTACAAAAATGAAAGTAAAAGCAATCCCCCCCTAAGAGGGCTTGTCCTCGTCGCGGCAATGTACTTGTAGGTAAGCCCGGTCTGGCCAAAGAAGATACATGTGCTAACGGGTTCTCAGCATGGAATGGTTTCGCTTCATCCGGGAAATTATTTGGCGCAATACCGGATTCGACTCATTGAGGGAACTCATCCCCTTCATCCAGGAGTATGAGCCGTGGTTTGAACCGCAGGTCGTGCCCGTCCCGGTTCTGGGAGGGACCAGTGAGGTCGACGGGAACTCGAGGACGACTGGAGCAGAAGAGGAGGAAATCCAGGCCCCATTGGCTGCCTATCCCAAGGCCAAATACTACTCGGCGGCCGACTACCGCAAATTGTATCTCTCGGGCACCCTAACGCCAACTGACGTTGCCGAGGTCCTGTTGCCTCTAATCCGGCGGGACGTTCCCGATCCAACTGAGCACTCAAAAGCATTCTTCGAGACGCGAGTCGACAAGGTCCTGGCGGCAGCGAAAGAATCGACCCAGCGGTACAAAGAGGGCCGCTCGCTTGGACCACTGGACGGCGTACCCACGGCAGTAAAGGACGAGTACGATGTAGACGGGTACCGCACTTCTCTCGGCTCGCGCAACACCTATTACTCCCCCGAGCAGGGCCACGGGACCTCGTGGTGCGTCCAAAGACTCGAAGCCGCCGGTGCCATTAACCTCGGCAAACTCTCCATGCACGAGTTCGGCCTCGACACCACCGGTAACAACCCGATCCACGGCACGCCACGCAATCCGCACAACCGCAACTATTACACGGGCGGTTCCTCTTCGGGCACCGCCTACGCCGTCGGCGCGGGCCTGATCCCCATCGGACTGGGTAGCGACGGCGGAGGCAGCATCCGCATCCCGGCCAGCCTCTGCGGCGTCTTCGGTCTCAAGCCAACCCACGGCCGCCTATCTTTCCGCCCCGGTCCCAACCTCTGCATAACCTGCGCCTGCCTCGGCCCCCTGGCCTCTGACGTCGCCTCCCTCGCGGCCGTCTTCTCCGTCATCTCCACCCCTCACCCCTCCTCACCCTTCCCCCCACTCCCCACGCCCATATCCCTCGGCCTCCCACGCCCCAGCGACGCCAAAGTCCTCGGGATCCCCCAAGCCTGGATCGCCCGCTCCACCCCCGCCATCCAAGCGCTCTGCAACAGCCTAATCCGCAAGCTGGTCGCGTCGCACGGCTACACCACCGTCGACATCACCATCCCCTTCCTCCGCGAAGGCCAGCTCGCGCACGCACTCACCGTGCTCACCGACGCCGCCACACTCCTCCCGGACCCTCGGGGCCTCACGGCGGCCAACCGCATCCTGCTCGCGCTCGGGCGCGCGACGCCCGCGACCGACTACATGCTCGCGCAGAAGCTGCGCCGCCTGCTGATGCAGCACCTGGCGTGGCTGTGGCGCAAGCACCCGGGCATGGTGATCGTCACGCCCACGACGGCGTGCGAGGGCCTGCCGATCGTCGACGACGCCGCCGAGATGCGCTGGGGCCTCAACGACGGCGACCGCACCATGCGGAGCATGGAGTATGTGTGGCTGGCTAACTTTTGTGGCTTGCCGAGTTTGAGCGTGCCCGCTGGGTTTGTGCCTGGTCGCGGGGGCACTGCGGATGTGCCGGTTGGGTTGATGGCTACGGGGGAGTGGTGCTCTGAGGAGCAGCTGTTGCGGTTTGGGATGGTGTTGGAGGAGGTCGGGGCTGAGAGGCGGAGGAGGCCGGCCGCGTGGGTGGATGTTGTTGAGGAGAGTAAGCGGAGGGGGTAGACTAGACGGGAGGGTGCCTTTTTTGCATTGTATAGAAAGGGGGGACTTAGAAGGGTGGGGGTCTATTTATGGTTGTGTCGGCGACCTTGTTGTACATATAGAAATCCATGATACAGAGATTCATGATACAGAGACCCGTAATACAGAGACTCATGGCCCCATCTCTTGTTTGGGAATGACGGAGGAGCCCTTGCGAGGCATTCGCCAATTTCGTCTCTTGAATCAGATGGGCCCGGAACGCCGCTTTGACGGTACCCCCCTAAATAAACAACAACAACGACGACAAACAAATCTACCTCCTCAGAAAAGATTGACAATGCCAGCCACGTGAGTGTTTAGTTTGTTTGACAGGTACTCGAACTCGTCACCCCGCCCATTTTCTGCGCGGTACCTGCGCCCACCCAAACAACAACACGCACCACAAGCAACCCGGGCGTGCCATGCCCGCCATTGCAACCATAGCCGGCGCAGCAAAATGGACTGGTTGGTTGCGCTCCGCTTTTATTGGTTGCCGAGATGGATGAATCATGCAGAGGGAACAGGCCAGCGCCTATGTTGCAACCAATTCTGGCTTGGGACAGCCGCAAGAGTCCTGCAACTAAATTGAAGAACTGGGGCGCTGTGTGAAGCTATCCTTAGGTGAGCTTGAGATGGAAGAGACTGTGTGGCAATTACCCCTGAGAATAGCTGCGAGGTGGGGCCGAAGCGCCGGGCATTGAAACAGCTCGCGGTCTTAACGAAGCAATGTGAAGTACTTCGTCCCAGGTATGAATGACCAATGCAGAGCGTTGTGGATTACCTGATCCGGCGTGGCCGGACTCGACTTCCTGTACCAAGCCTTGCAGCCTGGTTTGCGGGCTCGAAAGAAACAAGCTTGGTGATCTTGGAGATCAGCAAACACGGCTTGACAGAATGCGGGACTTCGATTCCAGGTTTCTAAGCCGGTAACTCAATCCGGCAGGAGGTGGTGCTGCTTGATCTGGTCGCCGTTGTGGAGGCAAGGATCAAACAAACACACTGGAGCCTTGAGACTCCTCCTGGTAAGTGAGGCAAATGTGAGCGGGACTGGGCGAATCTGCGCATTTGAGTGAACAAAATACAGCACGCCCTTGTTCTCATCTAGGCGGTCAAATCCTTTCTGCTTGTTGGTGCATCTCCCCTGCCCGATTTGCATCTGACATGAAAAGGAGTTGGTAACTGGCAGGTGCGAGTTGTGCGAGGGGTCAAGGTGGATCTTAGCCGCCAAATTCAACACCCATGGGACCCCTGCACACGTGATGGAGGCCGCTGTGGTGGCTTCGCTAAAGCACCACTGCAAGGGGCCTGGGGGTTGCGCCTGATCTCGACCGCCCGAACTCCGACAGGGCAGCCCCCCAGCGGGACTGATTTTGCCGTTTCCTCACAGGAGAAGACGCCATCCTGGCAATCTGTGCCTGTGCCTGTGTCGGTTCTCCGTGCCCGAGAACTCAACCTACGCCTTTGCAGCACGTCTCTCTTCCGCCGCCGCACCCCGGAGCACAGCAGCAATACCGACGGCACAATATTACCTACCTCGACGACCGTGAGGAGCTATCGCGACAATCCCAACACCAACTAAGACACCTCACAGCACCGAAAACGCACCCGTGTCCCGGTCCTCACCCGGCCCCCTCCTTCATGGCCAGTTAGCAGAGTAATTGCACGAGCCGCCCCGGTATAGCTTCCGCTCTCGCACGCTCGACACCCGACGACAAAACACTGCTCCCCTTGCCCGCCGAGGCCCCAAGTCACTCTCTCCGAAGGCGCAGCTCTCTCATTCGCCGACAACGGGACTAAAAACACTCGCCCCGGTTCTCATACAGTGTCCCTCCTTCCCGCCGATGGTAAACACACCACACAACATTGCCCGCTTTTGATCCCCCACCACGAAGTACGACGACAGGGCGCTCATCGTCGGGCTCTCGCCTCCCCGAGGCCCCAACACCCAAGTCTCGATGATGGTATGTCAAGACCCCCATGGTATCCAGTTCTCGCTACCGGGATGATGCGTTCGGCGTTCGGTCGCAGTTGCGCATCCGCCCGCCTCAACGCGGAGGCCCGTGTCTCCGGAACGGCGGCTCGTTTTGCATGGATTAAAAATATGGGTCCTTGTGGACCAGGGAGTGTTGTGTGCGACAGTCGACTAACTGTCTTCTCTTCCGCAGACCTCGACTCGACTCCGAGATGTGGGTGGCAGCTTTGCGAGCCGACGCGGTCACGCCAGCCAACTGTCGATATCCGACCCCAGCCACCACGTCACCGAAGCGATAGGCACAATGTACGGCGACGACGAAGACTCGGGTGCCGAGGACAACCGGCCGCTGAGTTTTATAGCAGCCAAGTATGGGGGCGAGAACTTGGACAAGACTCAGAAACCGGGCGACCCGGCCGGCGACCGGCTGCGGCTGGTTCGCACCATATCCGACCAGACGAAATCTCCGACGCATTTATCGCCCGAACCGAACGGTATCAATGGCCCTCCTAGCCTCAAGAAGGCTCAGACGTTCCCCGCGAGGTTAGCTACCGAGCCGAGCGGATCGAGCGGCCGTTCCAAATCTCCGTTGCCCCCATTATCACCGAACCCGTCCTTGCGAGACGTCCAGGACGCCGAGGCGGCCTCCCAATTCCCGCTCGCAGGCATCGACAACCCCGATGACATCGCCCAAGAGCTTAGTAACCTGCAGGCGCTACGGCGGATGTCGATGGATGTCGGAAACACCACGGATCCTGATCTACTGCAGTTCTCTGGCGTGTCACTGATGGAGATGCCCTCTATAGCACCGTCGGGCGATGATGACGAGGCCGATCCATCCCGATTGCTCTGGGTTCCGGCCAGGGTACACCCCGAGCTCGAGCCGACCGCCTTTAAGAACTTCCTCGAGAAGCGGGTGCAGACAATAAAGCGGAGGTCCGGGGACTCGCTTCTTTCTGTCGAGGGATTACAGCGGAATAACTCGGGCAGCTTGAGACGGAAGAAGTCAATGCTCTCTCGCCAGGTTAACAACGGCAATGAGGTCGGGGAAGGTTTTGATGGTGCGGAAATGCTGGCACGACAACGCTCCCTGAACGAACACACCCCTGAGCTCAGCCTCTCCGAGCTGGTCAACGACCCAACCAAGGCGGTGCAGAAATTGGCGCAGGAGTCGAGGCAGGAGAATGGTGGGACCGACAACCCGATTCTTCCAATGGCCCCGGGCATGGGACTCAGGCGGTCGACAAAGACCACTTACCGGAAGGGCGGGAGCCAACGTTACGGGGAGCGCGGGACCTTCTCAAAGCGGCTTGCGGCGAAACATTCCGACAAGGAGACCAGCGAGGAATTGCCTCCACTCCCAGCAATTGACCCATCGCTCGATCCATCCATTGGGAGACCTCTTACTAGGGTCCAATCCGAGCCCATAACCGAGAACTATTCGCGCCCTACTCGGACGGTGCGAAGGCAGCAGAACTTCTCGAGGGAATCCCCTGCGTCTACGTCTTCGCCGACGACGGCGTCCGAGGAGCCGATCAAAGAGGAAACCGCGAGGCCCGGAGCGCCTTCTTCTCCGCCAAAGACCGAAGCGCTTCCCGTCCGGTCATCGTCGACCTCGGCAGCACACTCAGCCCCTTCCCTTGTACCTCAAATTATCGAGACACTCCCGGCCGAGGAGAGCCCACAATTAAGTCAGCCGCTTCCCGAGAGATCGTCTTCTCAAAATGGGACCCTGCAGAGTCTTCCCGAGCAGAGCCCCATGGACCCCCCAGCTCGCTCTAGTAAAAGACCTGCCTTGAACAAGGGTTCCAATCTACCGGTCCCTACAGCAAGGTCAAATAGCGTCAAGGAGCAGGGGTCGGCAAACCCGAGCGCACTCAGCGACATCAACCAGCCACACGCACTTCCCGGGAGCGGTGGTTCCACTACCAGCAGCTTGACCTTCATCCCCACTTTTGACAGCATCGAGAAGAAATTCGACAGGAAGAGCAAAGAGAAGGATGACAGCGAAAGTGTGGCCTCCCATAAGTCGAGTTCGAGCTGGAAGTGGTTCAAGAGTGACGATAAGGAGAAGAAAAAGCGGGAGAAAGAAAAGGAGAAGGAACGTGAGCGTGAGAGGGAGCGTGAAGAACAAGCTAAGAAAGCGAAAGGCAAGGCTGTCGACAAGAGCCACGATCATGCGCGGATGGATGTTATCCAGAGCTCAATCGACAATGTCCCCAAGGGCCGCGAGAGCCTCCGGCTGGATCGGGACAGTATCGAGGGCTTGCCGCAAGACGAACGGAAGAAAGAGACCAACCGCAAGTCAAGTGAGGGGAAGAAGGAGAAGGAAGGCTTCTTCGGTGGCCTTTTCGGAGGCTCGAAGAAGAAGGCCGACAGAGACTCGCACCACAAGAAGAAAGAGCATCGACCACTTACCCCTGACCCCCCGCCGCGGCCGCTCCGCGCCGATATCGACTACGCCTGGACCCGATTCCCGATCATTGAGGAGAGAGCTATTTATCGGATGGCCCACATCAAGCTCGCCAACCCTCGCCGGCCGCTGCACAGCCAGGTACTGCTTAGCAACTTCATGTACTCGTACCTTGCCAAGGTGCAGGCGATGCACCCACAACTTCAAATTCCAGTCTCACCGCAACAAAAGAGGCAAGAGGAAGAACGGAAGCGGCGCGAAGCGGAGGAAGCACAGCTGCAGATGGAGCAACAGGCCGCCCAACAAGCCGCCCAGGATGGGAACTTTGACTTTGAGTACCATCGAGTAAGTTCTCTCTCATACGAGACCTTGATTACCGGTAGCTAACCCACGTCCAGTCTGGCAACCAGTACGGCGATGCTCCGCTGCAGCAAGACGGCACCGCTCAGTATGTAGACGACGGCCAGATGTACGACTACGATCATGGCGATCATCATCACCAGGATAACGGGGATGGTTATGCCGATGAGCAATCACAAGCACAGGGTCACGGTCAAGGCCATGCTCGCCAGGGCAGCGGCAGTGGACAACAAAACTACTACTATGCGCAGGACACCAACAACCAGCGGCGCGACGACAACGACGAGAACGGCGATATGTGGTAGAACCACGCCGATCGCACGCGCGTCGGAATAAACTCTAGCGCCTCCCGCGTAGGCGACAACAGCCGGGCGAGTGAAGGCCCCGAGCAGCAAGGCGTCCATCCCCCCGCCGCGGACAAAGACGAAAACCACAACACGCCTGGGCCGCGACAGCGCAAGCGGTCGTTGTACAAGCGCATGCGCGTGTGGGCCGGCGCCATGGAACCGCCGTCCCTCCCCTCGCCACCGTCGTCACCACTGCCTCTGCGACGGCCACAGCTCCCACCCCAGCTGCCCGAACTACCGCTCCCCTCACCCTGCGATTTCTCGCTCTCATCTTTCTCCGGACATCCCAGGGCTGACTGCGCGGTGGTGGTGGTACAGCGCAGATCTTGCCCCGTTTGAATCCCGATCGGGAGGGGGGGGGCTTCCCTCCTTTTTCTGGCGCTCCGCTGCGGGGTTCAAGAAAGGGAGGGAGGGAGGGGTTGGACGGACAGCACGCTAGCACGACGGAGGTTTAGCACAGCACTGCACAACACTGCGCAAGCGCGGCGCGGGTGCGGCGCGGGATATGCGCAACACAGCGAAGCATGCATGCATCCATTAACTATCTTGTGGACCCATGTCGGTATCTCTCGAAAGGGAACGGAAGCGGAGTCGCGGATGCATACTTATGTTTTTGGTTTTTTGGCTTTGTTGTTGGTTTTCTATTGATGGTTTTTTTTACACCTCGTCCTCCTGCGTTTTTTGCGTTTCTGTATTTGTATTGTTCAAAGCATAGCCTGGCATGGGTGGGTTGAAATGGGTGGATGGACCGGTTTCCATATCAAGGAATGAATGGATGGATATGGGTGGGTGGCTGGCGACGGGGTGGGCTTCTCGCTTAGTTGTTTGGGTGAAAGACTGCTGTTGTTGACAGAGTGAAGGTTGCGGTGTTTGCCTGCCTGCCTGCCTGCTACCGTCTGAGCCAGGTTAGGCAGGTACTCATATTATATATGTATGGATAAACAAATGAGCGGGTATTCCATACCGTATACTTTTGCTTCCTCTCCAATGTTTCTCTCTTGTGGGCTGTTGGGTGCTGCACTGTGCCTGGTAAAGGCCCTGCGCTGTGTGGTTGTGATGTTGCATGGTGTTTAGGGGTTTGTTTACTTCTCTGCCGGACTTCACCGCAGTGCGGCACCACAGTCGTCCGCCGTGCAGTTCGAACTCAGGATGTGGTGAGCGTTTGCCTCGTGCCTCGAAAAAGACTGGGAATTGTTACGTAAAACTCCTGAGGTGCATGAATGACATTGGCCGGTTTGCATCCCTGTGATAACCTGGGATGCCTCCGTGTCCCAAGGGCACGCCGTTGGGGATCAGGCGCCACAGGCAGGCAGCCTCGAAGAAAGTAGAATGGGTTTCGATGTGCAAGCCGGAGAACTTGGTGGACAAAATCAGGGGTAGGGACTCTGGTAATAAGGAGTGGCATGGAAGCTATAATTTAAGGAGAAGGGCTCGCCTCGCTGAAACAGTCAACTGGCCCTGGCCCAGGGCGTGGAAGGGAACGGCGTTCTCAGACCTCTGTAAAATGCCTAATTACCTCTATTAGACGTTACCTATAATAATCGCATTCGAAAATAGATCCATATAACTGAGCCTAACATTCTGGATGATCAATCACACATTGCAGAGAGCGTGGTGTGAATAAAGGTATTAAATTAATCTCCAATTCGCTAGCTACAAAAGAAGAAATGAAATTGGTTCCTTCAACCTACATTTAGAATGAAGAAAGGCAAAAAAGAGGGGGTGAAGAAGGGGTGTCGTCGAGGTCGGGGGTGTCGTCGGCATCGAAGGTGTCGTCGGTTATTTCGAAATGTCGCGGCGGCGAGGAGTCGAACCGGTCGTCTATCGTTTCGATGGGCGCGGAACTGGCCAAACCGGAGATTGACTTCAATTAGTAGGAGGCGATGACAGTGAAAGGTGCGGATCTAATATATATAGTCTGTGCTAGGCGCTGCCCGTGCGTGATGACGAAGATGTGATGGCGAAGACGGGATGGAACAACGTCTCGGGATGACTGCGCCATGGCCGGTAGGTCCAAGCTTCATATTGGTAGTTACGTACGGCCGTATATTCGATGTTAAGCTTAATATACGGAAAAGGAGAGGCCTTGTATCTCGTTTCCCCCTGAGGAACCCCTGAACCAGCCTTAGATGGAAATGTGGGTAGCCAGCGCGTATCAACCATTCCAACCGAGGCCCTACGCACATAGGCTCTCTCTCATGAATGGGCCAGTCAAAGCCCAATTCACTGAAGCGTGTTTAACGATGGTAACTCTACACCGGGTTGCCCGTGGCCTCCCACGAGCCGCTCAATCGTTCCACACTTAACCTCGCCCCCCAACCTCATTCGGCAGCTCAACCCCCAACAGATTTCACAGAATATGTTGGCAAGCACATGGATATAGGGAACTATGGGGAGGAATGTTACCCCCATTTTACCTCCACTTTACACTAATGTGTGCTTGTAACTGTAGATGTATCGGCAGTTACGCCTGGGATACGACATAAATTGGTTTCCCTCCCCCATCCCGCCTTAAATTTTTCCAGGGCTGCTCATGTTCTAGTTCATTCCCTACCCTATCTACTCATGGAAGCAGTCTTTTAGGGGTCCTCGGATAGTATGCAGCAAGATGCACCGTTGGCAATGCCAAGTACCAAGCCACAACTCTGTCCAACCCAATACCTCCACCACCATGCGGTGGCACGCCTGCTGATTTGAAGATGTCGAGATACTCCTTGATTCCTAGGGAGCTAGGGTCGATACCTTTAGCTCGGATTCGGTCTTCAAGAACGACGGGGTGATGGATACGCTGTCCACCAGAGAGCACCTCCTGACCCCGCATAAAGAAGTCGAAAGCATTGGTGACGGCAGGATTCTCCGGGTCCAGCATGGCATAGAAGGGCCGAGCCGACTCTGGGAACTTGTCAATGATGTAGAAGTCGGTCTGGTACTTGTCGCGGATAATCGCACCGAGCGCTTTCTCCTGGGGAGTGCTCATATCCTCGTCGTCGCTGACGTTCCGAAACTCTGCGGGTCCTTTTTCACGAAGCAGCTTTTGGCCGTCGGCGAATGAGATGCGGACTTCCTTTCCGGGCTGGGGCACTAAAAAGGGCGGGGACGGGTATACGCTGCGGACGAGTTCGATCTGGTCTTTGCACCGGACCTCCAGCTGACGGAAGATATAAAGCAGGAGGTCTTCTAGAAGATACATGACCTCGTGGTAGTGGCTTTCAATCTCGGTCTCGAGATCCATGACAATGAACTACGCGAGCATGCCACCTGTCAGCTAAGGTAACCTTCGACCCAGGAAGCTAGAAAGCGGAACCACCTAGGAGTGGGAAAGCTCTCAGTGACGACTACTCACCTCGGTCAGATGCCGGCGGGTATTTGAATTCTCGGCCCTGAAGGCTGGGCCGATGCTATACACCCTCTTCCTTCCGCCTGCGATTTCGAGCTGCTTGTAGAACTGTGCCGACTGTGCCAGGTACGCCGTCTTTCCGAAGTACGGGAGCGTGAAAACCTCGGCGCCCCCTTCCGAGGCAGCCCCGATGAGGCACGGCGGTTCGAACATATTGAAGTCGCGTGTATCCACGTACTCGGTGAAGAGCTTTCGAACGGCCATCCGAATGTCAGATATGGCTTGGGTGACGGGAGCACGCTTGTGCATGACCGGGTCACTGATGTGTGTGGCCAGGCTCGCTCCGGGAACAACCAGCTCCTTCACCGTTAAGTTCGCCATCCCATCCACGACTTCCTCTTCCTCGTCGAGGCCTGTAGCGGCCTTGTTTGCTGCTGCCAGACTCAGGCCTAGGACGTCAGGGGCAGGGGCCTCGCAGAAGACCTTGCTGAGATGCAGCTCGTAGTTGGTAACACGGCAGCTCTTGACCAGACCAAGGGGTCGTTTGACCGTGGCTTCCACCGAAACGAAGCTCTCCGGGTTCAAGGACCCAACCCACTTCACCATCTCTCTGCTGACACCAGTACCGGCACCGGCAACCACGAGACCTTGGATGGACCAAGATCCTTCCTCCCGGAGTTCGACAAACGCCATCTTCTTGCCTTGCATCCGTGCATTCTGAATCCAGGCTCGCACCTTCACTGAACGATCGACGTGTTGCTCACCAATGTCGCGGAGGTGCGTGAGCGCGGACTTGATCTCGCGTGGGAAGAGAGTATCGCCGTAGTTGTCCTCGGCGAAGTCAACCTCGACCCCGCCCGAACCTGCGCTGGCCGTCGACATGGCTAAGGGCTTTGCAGAAGTGAGGGGAGGGGAGCGGCTTGTGTGAAGTGTTAGGTACGTGGGTGATGGTAAGAATTGGGAATTGGGGGGGTTGCGCGTGAAGGCACGAAGCCACAATTGGATTGGGGTGATGGGATGGATTCTGGAACATATGTGATCAGACAAAGCTCAGCTACTCTGGCCAACTCGACCTGGAGGGCCCCATGTTTGATGTCAGCCATGAGTCACAAGCGGGCAGTCATGGGTCCCGCGTGGCTTTGGAAGTAGCGTGGCGGTAGCAAGCCTACTGGTTAGTTGGTCTCCTGTTGGTATTTGTTATTCTGTTGGTACCTTGAGAATACATGCATCTCATCCAATCTGAATCCGCCGTCGGAAACCGAATTCGGATCGTTGGAACCAACACGCCGGTTCAGACAACAACACTGCCCCCTTGCAGCCGCTCGGTGCCCCTGGGAACAGGAGGGGGGAAAGAATTGTCACAACACTGGGTGTCGAACACTCTACAAACAGGATATAGATGAAGGATCTCTTAAAACATAGGGCAAAGGCGATTTTCCATTGCATCATTGTAATCTATCCGAGGAACGACTGTCTATGCTGTAAAGGAGATTTCATCCCTAAGGATCAGCTTTGCACCAGAACAGGCACGGAACACCCGACTCTCAGGCAGCGTATCGCTCCCACGTCACAACCGAATATCGAGGTCCATCGTGCCCGAGCATTTTCCTTGGCAATCTGTTCAGTAATTCCGAACATAAACTGCTAACAAGGACCCAAAACCAGCCAGATCCGAGGTGAATGGCAACTCAGTATAATCTTTGATCATCTCCTCGACACGGGGAGAGATGTTATCGGATCTAGGTATCCTAGCACGTCAGCTTACTCGACACACTGCTACACACAACTCTCCCAAAAAAAGACTTACTGCTCTCCCCGCCCAACCCAGGAGGCACCCTCCCTTGGAATTTCACACACCCTATCCCACACCATAACCGCGGGTCTCGCAATATCCGCCACGATCTGCCGCACCGCCACCCCCGGCGCCTGCGCAAAAACGACCGCGGACTCGTCCACCTCGAGGAAGCCGCGCGGGTGCTCCAGCACCGTCATGCCCAGCTCTCCCAACACCTCCCGGTCGACGTCCTCGTACAACGGATCCTGTGCGTAACACTGCACTGTCGTTGTTGGGCTACGCCGCGCGAAGAAGTCCCTAATGCTGAGGACGACTGCGTGCTCCGCTGCCACCCGCTCGGCCCTTTCGACCACCGAGGGCCGGTTGCAGGCAAACGCGACGACTTTGTCGACGTGTGGGAGGCGGCCGGCGTCAGCCATGCCCTGGAGGGTTGCTGTGAGTTTGCGGCAGGCGGCGCTGGCGTCCCATTTTGCCTTTTCCTGCTGTAGGATGGCACGCGTCTCGGGTGCCGGGCGGATGGGGGCCTCGGGCACGACCTCGCCAGTGGCTAGTAGTACTGGGACGGTTAGGACGTTTGCATTTATGGCAAGGAATGCCTTGCGAGGATCGAAATCGGTGATGTAGTGAAAAGCAGTCGAGGTTAGGTGGTCTACGGGCCGGAGGTCGATGGAGAGCATAGCATTCATCAATACCGAGCCATCTTCTTGCGGAGGGTAGTGTACAGGTACGGGGTATTTAACACCGGTATGGAGGGAGATATCTACTATCTTGCCGTCGATCCCCGCTATCGAAAGTTTGAGCGAGAGCGGCTCGATCTGGACGCGGTGTATGCCCGACTCGTCTATTTGCCGAACTAGGCTACGAATGGCAGCCTTGGTGAAAAAGGGCGTGCCGGAGTCGTAGATCGCGTTGATAGGGGCCAAGAGGGCCTGGATCTCGGCCCGGGCTTTGGCCCGCTGTTCTAGTATCTCCTTGTCTCCCCTATACCAGCGTCTCTCCTCCTCTTCGACTTCTTTGATGACATGGGCGGGGATGGGTAAAGGGTAGTACGGCATCGCTTGGCCTAAGTTTAGTCGAAGTGGTAGGCGGGTAGGGAGAAAGCAGTCTCAGGGCTGATTGATGGTGGCGATGGTGGGCTGTTGTATGCGAAGGAACGGAGAGGAACTGGCAACATCGACAGTGTGGTGGATGCAGGCGAATGGGAGAATTAGCCGCCCGTAGAGCCAGGAAAAGCTGTGAGCGGGGAGCCGGAGCTATGGGCGCAAGAGTGAATTATTCCCGCGCGTACGATTTGTTATGGGCTGGGGCCTTTACTGCAGCGAAGACAAGGGACCGGTGCGCGAGTACATCAACGACACCGAAAGGCAGGGTTCTTCGAGTTGAGCCCCGATCGACAGCCCAGAACTGTGCGGAGTCTTCCTATCTGATCCCAATCCAAAATACATGATATCTGTCCCTACATCAAGTACTCCGACTCCTTATAGGAGGGCGCATCGGCCGAGGGGGCTCATTGTGAGGAGCTCTTGTTCGAGACTGTCTTCTTCTTCTTGACGAGTCTCTAACTGGGCCGCCATCACCGCGCGCCAACCTTTGTACCCTCAGAGCCGCCGCCACCCTCAGAGCCTCTGCCGCCATTAGAGCCTCGGCCAGCTCGCCCGGCTCCCAGTACTGCTTGATGAGAAGCAAGTCCGGTTCCCCGGGGACATTGCGGAAGATCGGATCGACCCACCGTTTCGCGCTGTCCTCACTAGCGAAATATAGCACGAACCCGCCGAGCGAGTTGCTGCTCGCAACCCTGTCTACCGATGATGGCAGTCGGAACTCGATTTTCCGATTGTTGTCAATTGCCGGATTGTTGGGAAGTGGAAGGAGGTAAGCCGCTTTGTTGACGCTTGCCTCGGTGTAGTATTGTCCCGCTAATGTGGAACGGGGGAAAACGAGGCGGATCTTGGGCGGCGAGGAGAGATATAGGTAAACGTGGATTTTTCCATCGCTCCCCATGTTAATAATAGCGGTTGGGTTGAGAGAGTCGGACAAAGGCTTTCACTCGGCGATCTCGCGGGAGGGAAGAATGAAAGGCGGGAATCCCGAATCACTCAGGAGGGGGTCGACGGACGAAGTGAGATGGAAAAGCGGGGGTGCGAGTGACTGGAGATGACGGTACTTAGGTAGCTAAATATTGTGGTGGCTCGGTGGGCGCTCGAAGCGGCATCGCAACTGCACAGCCTCACCTGTCTGTGTGGGATGACTGGCCGTGGTGCTCTGTATTAGCCGAGAGTTGGTCCTTCCATCATTGGATTCGGGCAAACCGCAGCGGTTAATCCGTGGGACGGACCCCAATTAGGTACAAGCTGGAAATACGGACCCTCACCGTCTCACGTCGTCCACGAAACACAGTATGTACATACATAAATGCTCAGGCACGTAGATAGTCATTAGTCACTCAAACCTCCCTTCCACCCAGCTCAACCATGGATAAAGCCGACCTCGAAAAAGGATCGAACACAAAGCCCGAGGATTATTACCAGGACAGGGAGCTCCGCATCAGTTGTAAGCCCAGACCTCAATTTTCGAAGCATCACCAAACCGAGGCGCCCAGAAGTCCAGAACACGAACACAACAACGGCTAACCACTGCACGCCCCGGTCAAGCTGACCAACCCGGGTACAAAACCCCTAGCATCGACTCCCATGACATCACAACCAACACACATGGCAGAACCAGCGTAGGCAGCGGAAGAGGCCGAGAGGCGCATCGCCAATCCGGGCAATCCCCACCACCACGCAGCAGCCGCGACTCCTACGGCGGCGGCAGCCCGAGCCCCCCGACCTGGACCGAGTCGGAAGCCCGAGATGTCAAGCTCGAACCCGACGATCCCGGACACTGGGTGCTCAACTACCACCTGGGCAATCTGGTGCTCAAAGTGCGGCCGCCAACACGGCATCCCGTTCGGTGGCTCGTCAACATGGTCCCGTCGCTGCTGCGCGGCGAGAAAGTCCTCTTTCGTCGGAGCAACGGCCCAGGAGGAGCCGACTCGGCACCACCCCCGAGGTTCCGCGTCAACTTTGCCGAGGTGCAGCGCATGAAGCTGCGCAAGCTGCAGTGCCAGGTCGTGCGCGATGTTGCCGAGATGCGCAGCCATGGGAGGGAGGCGGAGGGCTGGGAGGAGAATCTAGAGAAGTATGGTGAGTTTACCTTGGTAGGTACCTAGGTACCTACCTAGCTGCCACCCTCGCCACCGTTTGCCACTTGAAGCCTGCCTGTGTTGAGAAAAGGGTAAACTGATGGCGGCGTTACCCATTAGTGAAAGCTCTACAGGACTACGATTACATGCAGAACCGCGCGCGGTCGAACCGCGATCCCTTCCTCGTTACGGGGGAGTATTACACGGATAACTACATCCTCGGCCAGTACCTCTCCGCCGGACTACAGGCCCAAGAGCTCGAAACGGCCGGGTCGGTCGGGGACTGGGAAACCGACGACAGCAGACAGACGGTCTGCGGCACGCGCGGTGACAACCTGTCCAGAACGTGGTTCGTCAACTTCAGGCGGCGCGTCGCCATCGCCGCCGTCGGCGGGCTGTTTCTCGTCGGGCCCATGTGGCTGATGGTGCTGTACAACAAGCTGTATGCCCAGCTGATCTCGACGACCGTGTTTGTGACGGCGTTTGGCATCGTCATGGCCATTTTCCTGAATAAGGATGACGCTGTCCTGGCCAGTACCGCTGCCTACGCCGCTGTCCTGGTTGTGTTCGTCGGGACGAGCACCAGCGGGGATGGAGGCGCACCACCTTCGTTGTGATGCTATCGCGGACAATCTACTCGAGCAATGTATTTACGGACTTTTATAAACCTAGAGACCTTCCTGCTATCTCAGCGAGTGGCACCTAGTTAGCCAATCTCGCGCCGGATTGTGGTACTAATTACCTACCTAGGTACCTACCTATGTAATTATCGAGTTTCCACTCGGGGAACTTGTTGGTCCCCGGGGGCGAAACGGGAAGTACCATGACAGATATATGTTTCTAGGGCGGGGCCGTGATAATTAGGTACTTAATAGGGTAAGGAAGTGTTTAGGATCGTGTCTTAAGGCAAAGATTCGATGTTGAATGTGGTGTTTGTTGAGACCGCTCGTCCTACGTCTAACTTGGGCTAATCCTGAATATGAACCCTAAGTCTACAATTCCACCTTCATTACCATCCTTTCGTGGGTGCTTCTGCCATATATACGAGCCCTTCTTGTAGGACCATAGCATGGGGTTGTGAACATGAATGGAAGTGCATTGTTAACAAATGAAGGTTCAAGTTTGGTATCATGGACACCTGTCATCCTGCTGTTGTGTTCTACTCTCTGCCGTAGACCCATTCAATGACATCGCTGTCGCCTTTATGCTGGTAGACTGACCTCTTGTAAAGGCGCTTCTGGTAAGGTCTGCAAAGACTTGATCGATTCAAGAACTTCTGCAAGAACCGCCTGGAGTTTCGCCTCAAAATCACCCATCTCCAATTCAGCTTCAACGTAAACCCTCTTCTGCACAGCATTGGCAGCATCCCGTTTGCTCGTGGCCTTCGCCAGCGGTCTGTGGAACTCGTTTCGCACTCTATTGTATAATACTTTGGCTGCATTGACCTTTGAAGCTAGAGGCAACGAACCAACGAGGGGAAATGTTAATCAGCCATTATCCCCATATGGAGGATCAGCCTGACAGCGTTGAAGGGTCAGTTGAACAGACTTACGCGGATACTCCTCCCCCGACGGAAGCCTCCCTCCAGCTTCCGAAATCTCATTTGCCTTCTTGACGATCATGTCGCAAAGAGCGCGTTGCTGGTCCTTGACTCTGTCATCTTCTTGAGCCCAGGAAATTCCTGGGAATTTCTTGGGCTCGATACCGTCGATGACATCCGCGATTGCGCCGAGGATGTTGATCAGCTCGGCGAAGTAGCCTTGTGGGGGGATTTGGGCGTCAACAGATGTTTGTGGTACGGAGGGGAGGTGATGGATGGATTTGCTGGGCTTGGATCTTAGGAGCTTTTTGAACATTGTATTGGCTTTGTTGAGTCTGGGCAGGGATGGTGGAGGGAAAAGTCGCTGCGACTTTGCTTGACTTCCAGGTTGCTGTGGGAGGAGAACGGAAGGGTGGGGAAGAGGGGTGGTTATACGAATAACTGCAGAACAGTTCGCTGCGGCGGCAGTGTAGGGAGTGGTTGGTTGGACTCATGCTGTGTCCGGCAAACGCCTGGTCGTCTTGGCGCACGTAGGGACGTGGCACACCGCCGCTAATTTTTACAGGCGCGTACCCAGGCGGTAAGAATCCGTAGACGGCGCCATCAAACGCCCACAACGGCCGCAATTGAAGCAATTCGCATTACTATAGCGATTGATCTTAATCGTTTTATTATTATATCTGTTTTTTAACTTATATTAACCGCCTATATACATACGTGCGCCTGTAAGATAGTCCGGTATCTCAACGTTAACTAATATACTATTATCTAACTAATGTTTAATACCGGCGACCCTCTTCCTAATATCGCTAGTATAGTTAGATATATACTATGCTATTATCAGCGGTTGAAACGACGATACGATATATCTAGGGAGCTGTTTCCTATAACGAATAGTTGTTTTAATATAGTTATATTAATACTATAGGTATTGGAGGTCCGTCCCTAAACTTACCCTAGTAAATACCCCCTTAAAACTAATATAGCCGTACCTATAGAAGTTAATAGAGTATCTCGAAACGAAGCCGGACTTATATATCGACGAAATATAAGTCTTCTTAGTTGAAGAATCCTATATATTTATTAATAAAATAACGATTCGAAAGAGATTAAAACAAATAGGCTAGACCAATAAGAAGCTTACCCACCAACCATCTCAATACAATAAACCACTCTGCCTCAACTAGATACATAAGATTATACAGTTTACCGCTAAGATATTTATATTTTATAATAAATCTAGAATAGATAGATATAATAGGATATATCGTACCGGATAGGCATAGAAAGGAATTGCACTATATATAAACGCGTTAATAGATTGTAGCAAGCGCTTCCATATCCTCCCAGCTATCTTTATAGATAGAATACTCAATATCTTAATCTTCAAGGGGTATACTAATCAAGACAGCTTTATTAAATAGCTTCGACTAAACGTATTACCGAAGATAAATACATTCCCCAGCCTAAACAGTATCCTAGTAATAGATAATACATCGTAGCATTACAATATACATATCCATACATTAGTAAAGAAGTATAGTATATTAATCTAGTATCTCCCACTATATTTACCTAACTTCAATCCTATCGAGGCGTTTTTCTATAATATCAAAGTATATATCCGATGTAAATATCAGTACTATAGCGGCAACAGTTCGACAGAGGCACAGTTTAAAGAATTCCTCCATCAAGTAATCAATAAAGTCAGAAGCAGAGAGGGCGGGCTATACAGTTATTACCGAATAGCTTCGTTAGTATTTAGAGAAAGCAATTAGAGTAGAGATAGTCTTATCAATTATACTAAACTATATACTAAACAGCTATATGTCACGAACAGCCAACGAGGGGCGTGCTGGAGACATGCCACCACGGGGCGCGGGCCGCCCCGAGCCAATCACCGGCGGCCAGCTGGGTGCTCTGCTCTTGGCACGACAGAGCACGCTACGCTCTGGGTGCTCTGGCACAGAGCAGGGAGAGCACGACGCTCTGGGTGCTCTGGCACGGAGCATACAGAGCAAGGTACGGAGATACCTCAAGACTTAGATAGTATATAGTCACTCGTTCTGGAGAGCTCTGGGAGTTCTCCAGTTAGCAATCACAACTACAGTTCGCTACAAGCTCGAGAGCCTACTGTTGAGACAAGTCTTTGTTGTGCACCCTTTGGCTGCACCGAACCTAAGCACCCTTGAGAGAATACCTTCGACCGATACTGAACCCTAACAGGACGGGTCCAGAGACAGGTTCGTCACACGTTGCTAACTCCCTTTGATCTGTTACAGTTCAGGCTCGAAGGTAAAACGACATGGCAACTCAACCGACGCCGGGCCAGATCACGGCCGCGCTTCAGAGAGTCACCGAACGACTCGATGAAACTGAAGAAGAGCTTGCGAAGACCAAGGCCAGCAACGCGGCATTGGCAGCCCGACTTGCGGCGACCGAGGTCCACACCAAGGACCCGGCCAAGACGAAGGTCAAATTGGAGCAACCCGAGAAATACGGGGGCGACCAGGAAGCCTTGCCAGGTTGGATCACGGAGATGCGGAACTATCTCGACCACAACTCGCACCAGTTCGCCACTGAGGAATCCAAGACCAGATACGCCGCCACCCGACTCAAGGACAAGGCCCTCAAGTGGTTCACGGGAACACTGAGTGATTTCCTCGGCGGAGCAATCCACAAACCCTTCACCAAAAAGGTCTTCGAGAACTACTCCGAGTTCGAGAGTGAGATTCAGAAGGTGTTCGGCGACAAGGACGAGAAGTTACACGCCCAGGAACGGCTAGGACGGCTGAAGCAGACTAGGTCAACCACCGCCTACGCCACGATTTTCCGACAAGACTCCATGAAGGCAGAGATAGACGACGAGGGGCTGATGCACCTGTTCTACGGAGGGCTGAAGGAGGAGGTCAAGGACGAGCTCTACAAGGAGAGCCGACCTGACACGCTCGACGAGTACATCGCCATGGCTGTCAAGATTGACGACCGACAGTTCGCCCGCAAACAACAGAAGAAGGGCAGCGAGGTTCAGCGATCCGCAGGCTACCACAAGCCCAACGACAAAAAGAAACGCCAGCACCAGAGCACGTCATACGGCACGCACTCGGGACCCATGGACGTCAGCGCTGCCCAGGCACAGTGGGCAGGAAAGAGAGATGGTGCCAAGGACAAATCAGGCATCACCTGTTACAACTGCGGGAGGAAGGGTCACTTCAAACGTGACTGCCGCAGCAAGAAAGAGTGGAGACCGGTTCCAGGGAAGGAAGCTGCCACCATCGACCAAGACACGGTCGGAAGAAGAACCCGGTTTCTGGAGGTCGCAGCCGCCAGCTACACGCAGGACGACCTCGAAATCGACATTGACCGAGTCATCGAGCAGGACGATGAACTCACCGACTCGGATCAAGAAGACTTGATGAGCAGCAACCACCAGGAGGGAAACGACACCGCCCACCATGCTTTCATCGAAACGGATGACGAGGGAGAACTGGCTCCCCCGCGGTACATCCGACAAGTCGCTGAGGACTGGGGCATCACCCTGGTTCAGCAAGAGGACGGGCAATGGCGAACCCACGAGGGTGAAGGAGGAGTCAGCCCGAACCTCATTTTTCTGCAACAGAAGGTCCTAAGCCAACGGCAAAGGATCGAGGAGTTGTCAAGAGAGAAAGAAGAACTCGAGCAACTTCTCCAAAGAAGGAACGACCAGTACGGACAACTTTGCGCGGAACTCGATTTCGCCAGAGAACGAGTCCAAGAGATCACCAAGGCCAACAACAGGGCCGGGGATCACGTCGAAAAGACATTAAGAGAGGCACAGGCCTTGCAGGACGACATCCGCCAGGCACTTCCGCACCACACACCGTGGGATGGACCCACCGAAGAGGCGGAAGGATACGAAAACGGAGTACGATACCCCGAGCAACTTTTCGACTACGCACAGGAACAGAATGCGGCGAAAGGAAGAAAACAGCAGAGCTGGGAAGAATACTGGACGCGACATCAGCACATCGTGCGCGCCGGACGACAAACCTCCGACCTTGAATGGTGGGGTTTTCGGGGCGAGAACAACACGGAGGG